ATCTCTGTGATATTATAGAGTATTTTAGCATTTAATAATTGTAGTAAGTGATACTCATTGTAGTTTCAATGTTGCCTGCATAGATTATGTTATTACTGGGCCAATGATCATAATCACTAAGATGACAATCATATAATGTCTGGGTCGTATGTAGTACAGTAGATTGTGTGTCTGCAGCATATTGATTTGTGTTTGGGATACTCAGACAGGTGAGTTGAGTTCTGCATTGTAGTATGTTGTGTGTGTGTATGTGATGCATAGAACTGCATAGAGCATAGATGTAGTAGAGTGTAGATAAAGCATAGGCAGGGAGCTCAAGGCTTATAACCTGTTAAGAAAGGGGAAAGAGAGGTTATGTGAGAGGCTTAGAGGGATCACACAAAGAGGGGGGATAGTGGACTCGGCTCACTCTCTCACAGCTTACTTCATTGTCTGTTGATTAGTTAGTCTATATATACTATGTAGGTATGTCTCAGATGTAGAATGTATGATGGAAGGTATTCCATCATCGTTCGTCATTGCTTGTAATGTAGTTTATATCATCTGAGACATGCTCTCGTGTAGTCTCGTCTTAACAGATTGTGTTTCTCTGTACATTCTAATGTGCAGCTATCAATACAATACTTTGATAACACCTAAGCAATCTCAATTCATTCCGTAATTCCTATTCTTAGGTTTCGCGATCTTCCGCCCTCATTACAAAATGATCATGTATAATACAACAGCCAAGATAATTTGGCTGTGCGTATCACTACGCTCCTGACCGGCACAGCTAGACCAAAACAAACGGCTTCGAACTGTAATATGTACAAAACAAACATTTCCGTGATACACTAATTCAGTTCGTCATATTAGGGTGTAATAGAGCCTCAAAAACCTTTCACGATTCGGCATCGCGGATAACGGCTTCTCATGCATCCGTTCGTTTCTTGAATAGCACTTTAGCCTTCGGGTTTGGACTCAATCGAGAACGATGGTATACGTTCTCCGGTCGCACTCCTTCCACCTCCGCTTTCATGTCATAATTCAAAAGCAGATATGCCATCATCGCCTTGAGTTCATTCACTGCGAAGAATCGCCCGGGGCTACAAAGAATGCATCAAGTAAGTGTAACGGAGATAAACGCAGTATGAAGTGCATGAACGCACCAGGCATGACGTCCGTGTCCGAATGCTAGATAATCTGGACTCGTGAAGACCATTTGATGCTTTACACTCTCCTCAGTGCTTTGCTCGCGCAACCTCGAGAACCGGAATCCGTCGAACTTGTCCGCGTCCGGATAATGAGATTCGTCACGATGTATTCCTATCACGTTCGCAGCAAGGAATGAGCCAGCAGGTAAGAAGGTGCCGTCTGGTAAGGTCAAGTCGGACATTATCTTGCGATTCAACGATACTTGATAATAATTTCAGTAGAGCATGGAATGCATACAAACAGACCAGACAGATTTACCTAGGTTGATGCCATTCATCCGCTGGCTCTCTTTCATGAAGCTATCGAGCTTCCACATCTTCGTCATTGCGACCTTTGTCCATCCTTCCTCCTTGATCACTTGCTCGACCTCGTCTCGTAAGGGTCCGATATATTGTGGCTCAGCCGCGAGGTGGAACAGCGCGTGAGTGAGGCTCTGATATTCACGGGATCAGAAAGTTGTTACGGGGAGAGAGAGATTGAGCCTACGACAGAGGATGTATGTATAGCAGCAAAGTTTATGTGTAGCATCCTCATTATCATATCCCGAATAGTTTGGTCCTTCGGTGCTACATCGATCAGCCATGAAATCATGTCGACCTTTATTTGGTTAGCCTCTTCAGTGTAATGCATGAATAAGGTGCGCCTCACTGGTTTCCCCGGCCAATCATCGCCATTTTCGGCGCACATACGAAGTCTCTCCTCGAATATAGGTCGAAGGAACTTCGTGACACCACGGACAGTTCGAGCTGTCGGGCTGAAATACGCACCGACAATGCTGGAGAGAAATTTGTTCCTTTACTTGAGAACTGAACCTCACGACACCGAGACACTCACGGGCGCAAAAAGACGGGAGTGTCCTGAATCATGTACGCTGTTTCCATGACATCAATACTGAAATTGATGCTGAGTTCATTAAATTCTGCGTTTCTGCCTATAACGAGAAACAGAAGTAAGAATTAACAAGTTGTGCGAGGAAGTTGCGACTGACAAAGAGGAACGCCGACAAAAATCCTGTTGCTGGTTCTGCACACGACGTTTCTCACCAAATCCAGTGCAGGTACAGCGACCCAATCTAAGATGTTCAACATATCATTCCTCGTATCTCGGATATGAGTAATAGGTATCTGCCGTACCGTCACTTTTAATGGGAATAAGGTCATTGAAGGCACACTTAATCTCATCGAGGATGTCGTCGAACAGCAAGCCCAAAGAGCGGGTTAGCTGGTTACTGATGGTCGCGAAATGATATGAATTCCTAAATGTGTCTTCTCCGAGTGACCAATGGAGCGCAAGGTCCTGGGAGAACGCAGTTCAGTATGCAACAACACACGTGATAAAGTAGTCTATGCCATACCTCTATTGCCGCCTCATTGAAAGAGGCCTTGCTATCTGGAGCCTTCCGAATCTCTTCGATGTTTTCGCGTTTGTTGATTATAACAGTGTACCGGTTCATTTCAGGAATCTTGAATGTTCCATTTCCATACTGAATGTTTATGTTGAGCGAGGTTGTTTATATGTCCACACTACAGTAACATACCTTCTCATATGCGCGCTTGAGGATAGACTTGGCGTTTGCGACGAGATCGTATGGCACGACGTAAGATGAGAGAACTCCAGACGAGCCTTCCAGAGGGACATTAACCTATATGAAATTGATAAGATGGGTTCCTGAAATACTATTGTAAGCTTACAACTAGTTTCCAATTCTTGAACAATCTGGACAGGGAGACGATCGCAATACACATCCCTGCTATAAAGAAGGAATAGTACTGGGCGCGATTTTCATCGTCAGAGAGTCCTAACGTCGAGTTCGTTTGTGCCAGAACGGGTTTCCAGTCAGTGGAGAACTTCATAGCTCAGGATCTTGTATGGTCGTTCAAGTATGGAGGAATCGCACGAGACGTGAAGATAAACTAGTATAAGTAAGTTCTGCTTTATACGAAAGCTCGCGTGAGAGACCCCGCGACCTCCGTTGCTTCGTTCTCTGGAGGCGAATACATCCATGTCTTCGTATTCAAATACAGCTTACGGGCCGCTACTTTCCCAATCAGTCTGACGGACTTCACGAGGGCAGATAACGGAAGCGAACCAGTTTCTTCGGAGGAGAAGTCCATTTTTCTAATGGCCAATAGGGTATCGCCATTTCGGAGGGAACTCACCACAGGGGGGTAGGAAGCATTTACATAAGACTCGTACACACGGACTATAGTTGTTAATCTTGCAGTATGTGAATGGCAGGAGCAGAAAAGAAGAGTGACGGAATCTCGAGAATTTATACCAAAAGAAGGAAGCAGATCTCTTTTAAGAATTTCTGTATATATTGGTTGCCGATCCCGTCTCACATCACGTGATAATTTACCTACTGGGCAAAACTGGATTTGGAGTAACTATTCGTTGGTCTCGTGGAATTCAAGCATCACGTCATGCAACATACAGACAATCCTATACATATTTTATCGAATGGAATGAAACCCCATATGAGAATCTGTTTCTCATAGTCATTTACACAGTGTAAAGTATGGCTTATGACTCCATAGTCAACGTTCAGTGGCCTTTTACTGTCTTGATAAGTTTAGGTTCACAGTGAGAGCCTATATTGGAAGTGACGCAATTGCTTCGGCCTCGGTTGCACAGAGCAACTTTTGTGTAAGGGGTCCTCACTATAAGGCGTAAGCAGGTTTTATGTACTTTTCGAAGGGCACGGCCTATATCCGGCGGGACTTAATTGGGGGGAAGCGGGAAGTATCCAGATGCCGAGTGAACGTGCTAAAGGAAGGCTGTTTTACTCACCCTGACACGCAATGTGTTTGTCGAGAATCCGTTTTCACGTGAAGATCTTCGCTAGAATGAATCGTAAAACGTGCTGATAAGTGTTATATGGAACCTTATGATAGGAGAAGGGAAAAAAGTCATTTATCAGGAACTTTAATATTTGATTATCGTACCTAAAAACGAAATTGATAATTATATGTTGATGCCATCAATATTTTACAGTAACACTCGAATGTGCTAGTAAGCTGGTTCAATTGCTAGAGACACAGCTTTCTGAAATAGATAGAAACAAGAGGTATTGTTATTGCCATGATCATTTTACATTTATAATTTACATCACTTTCACACTGATACATACTGTAATGTTGAATCCTTAAAAACTTCAATATCAGCTGTTCGGTAAACCGGTGTTAGTGCTTGTGTAACATGTATACACAGAATATACTGTATGCATTCACAAATTAGATAGTCTTCTTGTATGTGTATGTTGACATTCTGTATACAGGCTTCAGATGACATAGATCATGTTAGTTGTCCCAGCACCCCGCCTTCAGTTTGATTTTGACTATCCATTTCATCGTTGTATACAACTTCGGGTGCAGGGGCTAGATATGATACTAGTACTCAGACTTTAGGTCCAGAAGGAGATCTAGTGAGTAGTATGACCAGTTCATATGCAAGCCCTTGCACACCTGATAGTATGACTCATCACAATCAGTTCATTTAGATGCTTGATATCAGGACAAGGCGGAGAGACGAACGCTGTTTAAATGAGCACTTCTAACTTAGCTTCAAGTTTGAAAATTCTCCAGAGTAAATTTGGAATGAAATTCCTACAAGGGTAGAGTAGATAGATTTGAGATTTATTTCAAGGTAATGCTTTGCAAAATGTTCTATTGTAAAAGCATCACTTTGAGCCCTAGAAGTAGTACATTCCGATTGATTCCGACGTCCCTCTCTAATTTCTAATCAGGAATGTTCTTGTGCTAAATGACATCCCTCGTCATCCGAACGCTACGACATAGGGCACTATAGGATTTTTTTTTCTTTTTTTTCTTTTTTTTCTTTTTTTGAGCATACACAATCTTGTCCAGATGACCAGTGCAACAAAGAGCATAGAAATGGCAATATTTAATGAAACGCCAATCCCTTGACATGTTCGGCAATGCGAATGGTGACACCTTATGCATCTGTTCGTTTCTTGAACAGGACCTTAGCTTTTGGGTTTGGGCTCAACCGAGCACGATGATACACGTTCTCCGGTCGTACTCCCTCGACTTCTGCTTTCACGTCATAATTCAGAATCAAATATGCCATCATCGCTTTGAGCTCGTTCACCGCGAAGAACCGGCCGGGGCTACAAAGGATGTATTAAATAAATCTAGTGCTAGGCAATCTGGTGGGAAGTTCATGAACGCACCAAGCATGACGTCCGTGTCCAAATGCCAGATATTCAGGGCTCGTATTAACCATTTGATGTTTGACACCTTCCCCGGAGCTTTGCTCGCGTAATTTCGAGAACCGGAATCCATCAAACTTGTTCGCATCTGGGTAGTAAGAATCATCACGGTGCATTCCTGCAACATTCGCGGCGATGAATGTGCCAGCAGGTAAGAAAGTGCCGTCTGGTAAAGTCAGGTCGGACATTATCTTGCGATTCAACGTTACTGGATAATAGTTCGGCAAATCACGAGACTGCATACAGCTAGTCAAAATTAACTTACACAGGTGAATACCATTCATCCGCTGGCTCTCTTTCATAAAGCTATCGAGCTTCCACATCTTCGTCATTGCCACCTTTGACCATCCGTCCTCCTTGATTACCTGCTCGATCTCTTCCCGTAATGTTGGGATGTAGTTTGGCTCTGCTGCAAGGTGGAACAGGGCATGGGTGAAACTCTGGAATTCAACCGCGATGAAGCAATTAATAAAAGCTGTCACGATGAAAGAAATGTGGCTTACGCTCGAAGATGTGTGCATAGCAGCAAAGTTTACTGCAAGCATCCTCGTTGTGAGGTCCCGAACGCTTCGTTTCTCGTTCTTCGACGCTTCGTCAATTAGCCATGAAATCATGTCGACCTTTATTCTGTCGGTATCCCGAGCGATACATCCAATATTTTACTTACTGGTTTCCCTGGCCAATCATCGCCATTTTCGTCATACATGCGAAAGCGCTCCTCAAGTAGAGGGCGAAGGAGCTTCATTGCCTGGCGGACACTCCGGGCTGTCGGGCTGAACAAAGCACCAACAATGCTATGGAATGAGGAGTGAAACGGTCGTCAAGCTGCCACTGTGGCTTGCAACACTGTATCACTTACGGGCGTAAAAGAGTAGGTGTATCCTGGATCATGTATACCGTTTTCAAAATATCGATAGTGAAATTGATGCTCAGCTTGATGAATTCTGGGTCTCTGCCTACATATAGGAAATAAAAACATGAATTGCTGGCCGTCCAGAGTATGTCGGGACTCACAGAGAGGGACGCCAACAAAAATCCTGTTGCTCGCTCTACAGACAACGTGTCTTACCATATCCAGCGCGGGGATAGCAACCCAATCTAAATGTTCGGCATATCATTTCCTGTGACTGAGTATAGGTAGTTGATAACTATCATACCATCACCCTTCACCGGAATAATGTCGCCGAAGGCACATATAATCTCATCGCGAATGTCGTCGAATAGCAAGGCCAAAGAGCGGGTTAGCTGGTTACGGACGGTTGTGATATGATATGTATCTCTAATGAGCTTCTCTCCGAGTGTCCAACGGAACGCAAGGTCCTAAGGCAAAGTGGTCCAGCTCAGTATACGACACTCGCGACGAAGGTGGACCACACCATACCTCAAACACCGCCTCATCGAAAGAGGCCTTACTATCAGGAGCCTTCCTAATCTCTTCGATGATATCACGCTTGCCGATTACAACTGTGAACCGGCTCATTTCAGGAATCTTGAATGTTCCATGACTGTACTGGATGTTTAAAAAGCTGAATGAACCTCGTCGCGTTTTAATCCCTAGACTTGAGACAGACCTTCTCATAAGCTCGCTTGAGAACAGACCTGGCGTTGGCGATGAAATCATACGCGTCGATGTACGATGAGACAACACCAGAGGAACCTTCGATAGGTACGTTAACCTATGTAGAGTTTTATCAGCTAAACTTCTCAGCGAGTGTCAGAAGCTTACTTCGAGCTTCCGATTCTTGAAAAGTCTGGACAGAGAGACAATCGCGATACATATTCCCGCCATAAGGAGGGAATAGTACTGAGCACGGTCCTCGACTTTATTAAGTCCCAATACCGAGTTCGTTTGCGCAAGCACGGATTTCCAGTCAAGAGAAAAGCTCATAGCTCAGAGTCTTGTAGAATAATACCCAAGTATGCAAAAGTCAAGCGGGAAGTAAGGAAGAGCTGGCGTGTGCAAGCTATGCTTTATACGAAAGTTCCCGTGAGAGAACCCGTAGATTCCGTTGCTTCAATTTCCGCATTCATTTACATGGCATCGATGTGACTTTATGCCTCCGTAGTCAAATGCATGGAACGGGACCCCTCTTTCCCGATAAGTTCAGAGGACTTCACGAGAGCAGACAACGGAAGCCGGACAGTATCCTCGGAGGAAGAGAAGACCAGCTTATGACCAATAGAACACTGCAGGATCGCTGTCGCAGAAGACATTCGCCACAAAGGCGTAAGCAGCATTTATGTAAGATACGGGGGGGCACAGCCGAGACCTGGCACATGAATGGAAGAAGTGAAGGAAAAACAACTAGATGTACCGATTGAGGAAGCAATATTTCTCTACGTACGAATTCGGTACAGTCGACGCCGATCCATTTACACGTGACAATAAGAATGCAAATCTCAACTAAACTCGGGGCAGTTTGAACCGAGAGTTATTCAAAGTAACGACACGTGAAAACGGGCAATGCACAGTTTTTATGGTAAGAGAATAATCCTGGACCTGGATATATAGTTGAATACTGACAAAAGGAATTGATTAACAATTGATGCGATCAAACCTTTTCAATTTCCATTTCGTGTACATTAATGATAATTCAGTACGGATGGAGCGGAGCTGACATGTAGTTGTGTGAAACCAAAGCAAGTAAAGTTTGGGCTCACATGCAGCATATTTTTTGCGAACCTGCTTTTACACGAAAATCTTTGCTGGAATACAAATGCTTTTGAATGGATTCGGGACTGGAAGGTCTAGCAGACGTTCAAGTTGTAAAGCGTGCTGACAATAGTGTGTGATACTGTATGAGGGAAGGCAAAAACTCTTATAAGAACATTTCAATATTCAATACGTTGTACAGGAAAAAAGAAATCAACATTCTTACAATATCATAGCATTATTCATTGACCTTCCCTACTTATCCAAGTCCGAGATTAACAAGCTAGGAAGCTTTCGGAACTTCCCCTGCATCCATACACGATACATCTTCAGCTGGCGTTTTCGGTTCACAAGTAATCGACGGTCAACACCGAGCTGTTCGATGGAGAAGAGCGGATGCGTTGGACAATTGGGTGGTGAGCGGTGAATTGCAGGATGCAGTGTCGTTGGAAGGTATGGAGATAGAGATGAAGGTGATGTTGCATCGGTCGATTGAGCTATGACGGTGCTGGACGATGAATTGAATGGCGTGTTCGTTCCCGTGACAGTCTTTGGTGCTGACGGCGCCGAGGACCCGTCCGTTTGCACTGCGGCGTTATCTGTGATGGAAGGCGTGGATGGCCGGGGACTCTCTGTCCTCGGCGTATGAAGTGCCGAAAGTGCACTTGTTAGTGCAGAGATATTTGTGGATGCGTCATCTCGGATTTGATTTTGACTGTCATCTTCATCTTCGTAGATAACTTCGGGTGTAGGCAGGATCTTATCTTTTGGCTGAGCGAGAGAACCAGTGAATAACATGGCTAGTTCATCTATAAGTATACGTTCATTCACGCAAAATATTCAGCACGATTAGTCCAGTCGGGCGAATCTATAATCAAGTAAACAGACAAACCAAGTTCGAAGAAATAGACGCGAGTCTTATCACCACGGATATAGAAATTATCCTCCAATAAACGACCTTCTTTGAATCGCAGCTGCGTAAGGTCATGTCGCCCATAATCGCGCAAAACAGCAACTCCTCCTGGCTTGAGCATCTAAATAGCGTCATTCAACAAACATAAAATAGTCAACTACATTATCGTGAGCTTCATGAAATAGTAAAGATACCTTGTAGATATTCGAGACAGCTTGTGCCCACTCATTTGGATGCAGAGCACTCAGGACGAAGATCAACACGACAATGTCAACAGACGAAGGTGTTATCACATCCGGAAGGCAGTCCGTTGAAGTTATATCCCATACAGATGCTCGAATAGAGCCAACAGGAGGCGATGTGTAAAGTTCGTTGTGCTGATCATGATATCGATTGCAGTTAAGCATTTACAATCGAGAGTTTCACGAATATACAACACGCACTTGTACGAGTTTTACTGCGTGATTGGAATAGTCAAATGCAAAGAGCTGGAGGTCTGGGTTTTGATTTGCAGCTAGTAAGGGAAAGACGGAATTTCCTGCACCTATAAGTCATTCAGTCTACAAAATTTGAAGGCAACCGGTTGACAGTTTATTCACCGCAACCCAGTTCCGCGACAGTGATGGGCCCAGCCTAGACAGGAAATATATTGTTCAGATATGGACGTCCAATACGAGGACAAAAATAATACTTACATCTGGGTGGGTGGCTGCCACTAGTTCTGGAAACTCCGTATGTAGCCTTGAGTGAATGTCGTGTTAGATTTGAGTCCCACTAATTCATCTCAAATTCTCCACACCACAAACCATTTGCGATTTCGGAAGAAATTATCCGCATTCATCTTGTAGAAATTATCCCTTTCCGCGAGGGAGTCATCAATTCAACGCGTGAACTCGGTGGTAGTTGCTGGTATGGACCCTCACCAGTGTTTTGCGGGCTTCTCATTAAATTTCGCCTTTTCTTCCTCTGGTACGGGCTTTGCGCGCTGCCGGGCCAAGGAAGAAGCAATGCGTTCATGTTGATCTTCCGGAGGCGGGACGTGATCCCAAGCATTCTCACTCCAGACATCTGAATTCGCTGTAAGGTATCTGTCTTGAAAGCACGTTAGTCGACGACACAAATACCGACAACAACTTGTATTTGGCTTGAACATCGCACCTTGAACCGAAAGGTGGCTTCTCTGCGTGCACGTCGTGAACCGAGGACGCCGTCTTCTTTCGCTCGGAGTCCGGTGTTGATGTGATTGGCGATACCTCATTTTGCACTGGCGGAGATGGCATCATGAATATTGTTTGGAGCGGGGATGGTTGTTACGAGGGATTTCTAGCTCTTTTGATAGTCAGGTTCTAGAGCAAGCTGTGGAAAACTTAAACAGATTTTACGCGTTGCAGGTGTATCTGGGCTAGATAGAATAGGATGAGTGAAGATAGACGCGCAAAGGCGGGAAACTCCGAGAAGGTTGAGAAGGTACACAAGGCATCAGCTAGATTATTATTTAGTTCTGCCCAACTGAATGATCTAGCCTGCTTTTGTCTACTGAGAGTGGCATACTATACCATGATCCCTCTTTGCCAACGATCCCTCTTTGCCAATTTGCATTTACACACAAAACACAACACCTAATACTCTACAAAAATTCATGGGGGTGTGTTTTTACTATTTAAAACACAATATCTCTTTTTTTCTACAAAAAAATTGATAGAGGAATTAAAAACCTGTAAATACTGCTATTTCCACTAGTTGCAAACCTTATAATTAGCAGTTTTAATTTTTATAATCAAGTTAATAAGTTGATATTACTACAAATGTATATGATTTATACACAAGTACTTATAGTATTTTTCTTGAGAGATTTAATGGTGGTTGTAAATTAAAATTAAGTAAAGATTGTTTTGAGAGTGACAAAAGTGACAGATTCCCAGAGCTTGTACTGCGTCTTGCCAGAGCCAAATTTCTGTGACAGAATGTGACAAAGTTGGCAAAGAGGGATCGCATCCCTCTACAGCTCATAAAAAATCGTAAAAATTATTTTGAAAAGATATTGTGCTTTATTATGCTCTGATATACATATATGCAAATTTTCAGATCAAAATATTAAGTGGTTTTGGAGGAATAAAAAATTGGCAAAGAGGGATCATGGTATAGTACAATATGTCCGTGGGATCGGGGTCCGCGTGGACGATCACCTCCAAATCACTGCATCCAAAACTGCACTGCATATGCAGCGATACACGGCCTCGCTCAAAGATTGCGACGTCTCTGAATTTTCTGGACTGACTTGGACCTGACGCTGGTGTTGGTAGCCGGGGTCACTTACCTAATCCGCAAGTGCAGCAGATGCGTGAGCAGCTTACGGCTTGACGAGTGTGTAGTGTCGCAACGACCTCACTCCGTCCTTCGTCCTGCTTGCACGTTCACGGCTTCGCTAAATTTGCCAGCGGACCCTCGTTGTCGTCTTTCTTGCCCCATCGCGGCGCAAAACGCTCTCCCGACTCTCGCATCCATCCATCTCCATCCCAATTTCCATCACTCTCTCCCCTAACGCGCCGGCGCGCGACCACCGGTCATCATGGCTTCGTTCCTCCCTCAAGGCAAACCTCCCACAGACGACGACCTCTTACGATTATACGAAGAAGTCAGACGTGGCTTCCAGAGAGAATCTCCATCCAACCTGGACGACGTGCGCATCTCCTCCGGCGCGGACGATCTTGGCGCATTCATTGACACGTACAGGGAGGAGCCAGTACCGGCGGATCCTCCCAGTTACGAGCCAAGTCAACGCTCGGGGAATACAGCCTCTCCTTCATTTCCAGAGAAAAGTAAGTCTCACTATAGACATGTGGAAAGTCATGTTTGTTTGCTGACAATATTTGTAATAATTCTCTTCGAAATAAAGGCGACGGCTCGGCGTTTTCTGCACCGAAGTCGCCGCCAACTGGGCGCGGGACACGACCTCTACCAAAACCACCGAGTGCAAACGGCTCGAGAAGCTCATATGGAAGTGCTTCTCCAGGAATGCCGGAGCCGCAACCATATGTCCCAACTTCGAGCCCGCACCAACTTGACTCCAACCATCGGTCATCTGCTGGTTCTTCAAACGGATTACCACGTCGCTTGCCTGTAGCTCCTGACTCCGGGTCGCCCTCCTACCCGGGTGATGCAAATTCAGCACGGCCACCCAGTTCGGCTTCGACAGATGGAGCACGTTCCTACGGACTTCCTTCTCAACCCCGGATTAACCGACCACCACCTCAGACAAGTTCGTCATTCGCTTCCAACTCGTCAGCTAGCTCCGCTCGCGTTCCTGCAGCATCTACACATCCATACGCCGTAGCTACACCTATTTCCGATTCACCTTCGTCCCAGCTTGCATCTCCGAATTGGTCGCACCTTTCTGACAGCCGCAGCAGTCCCAGTCCTGCAAATGGATATCCAGGTGGCTCTCTTCTCGCTCTCTCAGATTCTGGTCGTCCAAAGGGCGCTCAGGCACCGGCTGTGCCGGGCCAATCTATGCTATCCTTGAACGGCAGCCTTCCATCGCCTTCAGCGATGGGCTCGTCAGCTGACGCTTATGCAGCTCCGTCTTCTAAAGATGGACCACCAAGCTATATTCGCCCACCATCCGATACTTCTGACTTGTATCGTTCTCCAGACCCTACCTCTCGTACATATACTCCACAGCACCTTTCCCCAGGCTCAAGTTCCAATGCTGGTTCTTCAGCGCGACCAGAATTTGACTTGATTCCACGAGCTTCTGCCGAAGATGTTCACTTGCTTAGCCCGTCTTCATCAATGGTTGCGACGAATAATACGTCTAGCGGTAGCAGTTTATTGGACGTTCATGCAGTGACTTCGCGTGAGTTGCCGGTTCGTTTAATTATAAATTTTCCCATGATATTAAACTTGCTTATCAGCAGCAAATCTTGGGCGATCAACATCGCAGAGCTCAGCAACGTCCTCTTTCAAATCAGGTTCAGGACTTCCGACTGCCTCTACATCAGCTACGTCTCCTTCTCCGATATTTGCAAGCACAAGCCAGACAGCTACACCGGGCCCTTCAAATTACATGACGCATGCAGCCGTCAACAGAGGTGCTTCCATTACCTCGTTTCAATCATTGGGCTCCGGCGGTTCGGCAACCTCTCGTTATGAAGATGTTATCTATGACAATGTCTACCGACAAACGAGCGCGAGTGCTGGTGCTGGAAGCAGCCGCATCGATCGACATTACCAGCGGAACCAACGAGAGCGTGTTATTGACGATATCAAACGTCAGTTGGCTCTGCATGAGGACTACGAGAGCGAAGAAGACTTCGATGAAGAAGAGGAGGACAGGTTCGTGAATCTTGCATTGCTTTCCCACATTGCTGTGCGTTTGCGGGACAAAGTACCACGAGGGACACATGTTAAGGGTGGTATCCCATATCCGCGTGCATTTACAGGAAGGGACATAGTGGTAAGTAAATTTGTAACGAATATCTTCAGTAAACTGATTCGTATTCTTCAGTCAACGATTCAAGCGCAGATACAGCGCGAACTTCTGAACATGCACGTCTCTTCAAGTGATCGTCGCCTTGCTCTCCACCTTGCACGCAGTCTACAGAATCAACTTTTCTTCTACGAAGTGGAATGGGGCGGACGCGTGCTACAAGACGGTGTTGAAGACGTGTACATGTTCCTTGATGACCAGGAAGGCGGTTCGGATATGCGTAATCGGGAGGTGGAAGAACTTCCGACTGGTGTATTTACGCCATTGACGAAGTGCTATTCACCGAGCTGCATGGATGGAATGCCATACGCGTGTTCGTCTTACAGCTGTCCGCGAAGGGTAAGTAACTAGGATTCTTCTATTGCTGAGAAGTGGCTTACTAGGCGTAACAGAGAGGACTTGTCCGTGAAACAACGATTCTTCCGGAAACGACAAAAGAGCCTGTAAGTAAAGCATTCTTTTTAACCACTTCATGCCCTTATGCCCCTCCAGAAAAGGAAAGACTGGGCTGAATTGATCGACAAATCAATTCTAAAATCTCTGCCTGAGAGCGAGAAGAATCGCCAAACGTGTGTAGGACATATCATCGATGTGCTTCCCTCATTGCTGATTTTGGTCTAGTATTATCCACAAAGCTATTGATAAGGAGGAGCTCTACGTACAAGACCTTGATTTAATTGAAAACGTATGTCCGCAAATGGATCCAGTCGTGTGACTCACTAAAATCTGTTCAGCTTTTCATGAAACCACTTCGCTTGGCCGAACCTCCTATCATTCCTCTTACTGAGATCGACAGTTTCATGGAAGATGTGTTCCATAACATTCTCGATATCCGTGATGTCAACCGTCGTTTGTTAGAAGTCATGGAAGTCAGACAGCGCGAACAATATCCTCTCATTCAGCGTATCGGCGACGTCTTTCTTACGGCCGCTACGGACTTTCGGGTCGTGTATGCGGAATACGTAGGCAACCTTCCGGTTGCGGAAAAGCGCCTGAAGGATGAAATGGAACAGAATCCTGAACTGAGACGTTTCTTGGAGGTGTGTATTTTACCTTTTACCAAGAGGCGACACGACGCTAATCCGGTTTCTCTTAAGCGTTGCCTGCGTGCCCAAGAGTCGCGAAGGCTCGATCTCAAGCACTTCCTTCAGAGGCCGTCGGAGCAGTTACAAAAATATCCGGTCGTCCTAGAAGCCATTTACAACGAGACAGCGGAGGGCAACCCGGATGCAGATTTCTTGCTCGAAGCCATCCAAGCGATCAAACAATTACAATTAGTGGCACAACTGCGCACATTCCAGGCTGCCATGGGGAAGGGTCCAACTGCAAATATTGACTATGCTACGCTGGTCCCAGAGGAAGCTAAAAATGCTATGTCTAAGCAGGAGATGAAGCGTCAGGCGTAAGTTTTGTTTGCTGGAGTGTGTGGGTTGCTGTTTCTAATCAAGATCCAGGATCATCTTCGAGCTAATCCAAGGAGAAATGATGTACGTGAAGGATTTGGAATCAATTGGGACGGTAAGCATATTTCTGTCCTTTTGATGAGGAACGATGATCTCATGGGAATACAAAGATGTATGTTCAACCATTGAAGAACGCAGACCCTCCGATCATTCCGCATGATCGGTTATCGAGTTTCTTGCACGATGCATACCATAACTATGCGGAGCTTTACCATCTCCACCGGCAACTACTGAACAAACTTCACGAAATCCAGCGTGACGAGCATCCAGTAATACGCACCATCACTGCGCCTGTTCTTGATGCCGCGCTGAACTTCCGCGACGCATATATGCATTATATACCCAACAATCCTATCGCCCATTACAGGATTGACGAAGAAATGCAAACCAATCCTGCTTTCAAAGCATTTGCTGACGTTAGTGCATTTTCTATTATGTATGGTTATATCTACTAAACTGTTCCAAAGGCCACCATCAGAAATCCAGATTCTCGCAGACTGGACATGAAGAACTTTGTTCATCGTCCAGTAGCTCGATTGGCGCGTTACGAACTACTCCTGGGAACTATACTGAAGGAGACACCACCTAACCATGAGGATCGCGAAACTATTCCGCAGACACTGGAGGTCTTGAAGTCACTGCTTAAAGAAACGAACACTGGAGTCAAGTCTGCAAATGAGAGAGTTGAGATTTGGCGCTACAATCAAAACTTGGTCTTCAAGCCTGGGGAGGCAATTGTTAGTTGTTCCTCTTTTTACTGTCTTCTATCTCTGTTGACATTGTCCTTTAGGATATGGACTTGCTTGATGAGAATCGCTCCCTCATTTACACAGGTAAACTCCTACGCCAGCCTGACACAGGCTTCGAATGGAGTGGGTGGACCGAGCTCTTTGTTCTCCTCTTCGACAATTACCGTAAGAGTGTGATCAATGGCTTCATGACATGTACTGACTAATGTTGTGCATAGTTGTTATGACCAAACCAAAAGACAAAGACGGAATCACGAAATATCACGTCAACCGCAGGGTTAGTCTCAGAAAGCAATATGCTTTTGTTTATTCGTGTCTAAATGTCTTCTTCAGCCTATTCCTCTGGATCTACTAACGTTGGTGAATTTCACGGACCCACCTCAGCAACGGAGCAAGGGCATTCTTGGCGGTTTGCGCGGAGGTGATCGCAGTGGTGGTGGTAGTGGAACACCAGATGTACCTGCAGTAAATGGTTCTGCCACGGTCGACGGACCAACAAGTGACGCTCGATCGGTCTACCCTTGCACCATCCATCACAACGGAAGGCTCGGTGGTCTTTGGACTGTTTACGCTGAGACCGCTCAAGCCCGTGCAGAGTGGAAGCAGAAGCTTGATGAAGCTATTGTCCTTCGGAAAGTTGTCACGGATGCGAATAAAGTCTTTGAGATTGAAACGCTTAGCTCGGAGACGTTCCTTGTGCCGTCTATGCATGCTGCTCAGCAACCTTCCTCATGGAATGATGAGCATGTGTTTACCGGTAAAGTTACGTGCTCGGTGCCATTCTGTAGGTCAAGGATGATTATAGTTCTAAACATTGGCTGACATTCTTGTAGCAACTCCTGATGGTCGAGGTTTGGTTGCTATTGGTTGCGCCGAGGGTGTCTGGATTGGTCTCCGCCATGACCCAAAATGTAAGTACTCTCCAATACTCACCGCCTTTGAGATATCTTATTTGTTCCTTAGCTATGCGGCGCGTATTGCATTTGAAGATGGTCACTCAGTGCGCCATGTTGGAGGACTTCGGAATATTCTTGGTCCTAGCTGATAAGGTTCGCATTGTAGTTCACTTCGTTTTTGCATTCTATCTGACGATTCTTTTCTGTGCAGGCACTATTCGCTTATCATATTGAAGCACTTGTACCATCTTCACCCCCCAATGCAAATGCTTCGCGTACACCGCAGAAGCTAAACGGGAATAAAGATGTTCAATTCTTTACTGTTGGCACACTCGGTGGACGCACCCTTGTCATCTATATGAAGAAGAAAGGAGTGAGTAATGCACTTTGCCATGACCTTTCACGCCTTGACTTATGTCTTCAAGCTTGACAGCGTGTTCCGTGTGCTGGAGCCAGTCATTGGCAAGATCAATGAAAAGGCGAAAGCTCCTGGAGGATTGAGTCGCTTCGGCTTCGGTTCACAGCGATCGGAGTGGTTCCGTATCTTCAGGGTACGTACATTTATAATGACAGTGATCGATTGCTTACGATTAGTACAACAGGACTTCTTCCTGCCATCTGAGTCCTACGATCTTATCTTCCTCAAGGCAAAGATCGCCATTCTGTGCTCAAAGGGCTTCGAAATCATGGATCTCACTGAGTAAGTAGAAGTTTTTATGTCCGTTAAATTGATAATGATTGACGTCTTCATCAGCTTTAAGAGTGTTACTATCCCTCAACGTGACGATCCTCGCCTTGCTGCACTGACGAAGCGGTGCGAATCTTGCAAGCCCATGGGCATGTTCAGATCAAGCGAGAATGAGTTCCTCCTTTGTTATGATGGTCCGTCTTCTGTCAAGTGTCGTACGTAGTGCACTCCAGCTAACGCTCACTTAGAATTCGGTCTGTATGTCGATCGACACGGTGATCCCAGTCGATCAGTGGGAACGATCGAGTGGGAAGGCACCGCTGAGCGAGTTGCCTGGCATCCACCATACGTTCTTCTCTTCGACAGCCGCTTTATCGAAATTCGACATGTCGAGACAGGCCGATTGGCGCAAATTATTCCGGGTAATGATATCCGCTGTATATGGGATGGCCGAGGGTCGAACGTACCACCAGTCGGGACACCTGGGCCTGATGGCTGGGGAGAAGCTGGTCCTCAGGAGGCTCGCATACATGCTGTTATGCAGGCTTCTGAACCGACGGGTAATGGTGCACGACCTTCACGCGCTGTTGCTCAGCACGTCTTCCAGCTTGTCCCTACGATTCCGTTATACCTCCCTGGATCCCTCTCCTCTCCGTCAAACTCGACGTACTTCCCTCAATCAACTTCACCTCCGCACTCGCCGTCGCTCACTCCACGGCACTCGTGGAGGTGAAGGCTTGTAATGATGATACGACTGTTGAAAGCGCTCCGATTCCGATTTTTGACGCTTTATTATGCCTTAGCATCCTATTTTATGCTTTCCACTTGCATTACTTGTGTATTGAATAGATACCTCATGCCATTCGTTGTTCTTCTTTTAATGGCTCTGGAGTTTCCATTGCATTTGTACCATAACTTAAATGGAATTTGCCTGTGCTACGCTCTGCTCAACCAGGCATGCATGAGAGTTTGAATCATATTTGGTGTTCGCAATTACGTTCGGACAAGTCTATCCTGATTACATACTGAATACACAGGAAAATTAGTTATCGCTCTAAGGCATCGTTTTCTCTAGACCTAATCAATCCAACACAACAAACGCAAGTGACACAAGCAAAAGAGGCAGCAGACAAAGAGAAATCACTTCAATACAAATCATTCACTATTACGGTATATGAAATTTAGAGTGTCCATCGTACGAAAGCAAACGGAATGGTAGCGTTGTTGAACTTAGCTACATTCAATTCGGATGCTCTTCACTGTCGCAGATATCGTGGAAGGCGTTCTGTCCCAGTTTATCGGGCCTTTAGCCCATTCACTAGTACCTTCCGGACTTGAAGCGTCCCATATTCCTAGCTGAATTCGGGCCGGCTGAGTAGGATAGTGTTCTGTTCCGTTGATCTTCGTTCGGCCTAGACAGCAATGTTTAGTAATCAAATTTCACTGGGAGTAAATATGGAATATTGAACTCACTAGGTTTCAAAGTGCGGACTTCATGTCCGTCGACGGACCAGACGATACGTTCTGAGGTCCAGTCAATCGTATAGTTGTGATAACTAGAAATCAATGGCAAGCGTGAGGGCACGTCTTCGATTTCTCCGAATACACCCCAGAGAGGTTCTTTGTCGTGAGAGCTGGGCGCGTATACATTTGTCTGCCAATGGCGAGGGTCGCCGCCGAGAAGTTCGACATCAATTTCGTCACGTCCATCCGCTAAGTACCGATCAACTCTCAGTTGCAGTCGACAAAGAAACTGGGCTTACATATGAGAATCGCAGCAGTAACAGCGCCTGCCACCAGAGGCGCTTTCATTACGAATGTAACCTTTCCGTAGCTTGAAATATGTAATGCGTCGATTAGGCTCACATAGCAAATCAGAGAAGAAATTCTCACAGAATAGTAAAAGTAGAGTTAACGGTGGCACCTTCTCCAACTTCGCTGTTGACATTTCCGTGTTTAGTGATATGGCCTTGGGGTTTCTTGAGGTACAGTTGTAAGCCATCGTTTGTTGTTTCGTATGTACCTGGGTGGCTGACGCCAACAAAAGGGGCGTCACTGTAGGGAGTTGGTGCGAGGAAGTCATTCTGAGAGAAGGTCAAGCTAAAGGGCCGACAGTCGCTATGTTCTCGTGTACTAAGTGCTTGTTCAGAGTCCGAAGGCGATACAAGGCCATTAGCGTGGGAGTTGCCAATGACTGTAGCTCGAGCCAGCGAGGCGAATGAACAGAACGAAGAGAGAAGTTGAAACGAGCGCATGGTCTAACGAAAGACGAAGGAAAGTTGTAGTAGCACTTGATGTTGCCGTACAAAGATTCGGAAGAGAGTGGTGGCAGATGGAAACGCAACACACACACACGATCACAGATACAGAACAAAACAAGCACGTCCAGTCAGAACTCAAATCCTGAATCTGTGTGAATTACAAACAATATAATACAAGAATTTTAGTGATTAACATGATGCCGGACCTAGGTCGTGCCTTCGTAAGGAGACGCAGCGTCTTTACCAACTAACGTCATTTCGTCTAGGATCTCATCCTTTTCGGTCCGTTTGTACGTACGGATCGTCTCGCCGTAATCTGAGATATCATATATCCTGAAGCGGCGGTCGAATCTAAAATAGTGTTCAGTCAATTATCGGGCAAATATCTGGGATGTGCGTAACTCACCCAATCTTTGAATACCCGGAGTATGAGCTGGAAACAGCATTCACGTCAGCCTTGATCTGTATGAGACTGTACAGTACGTACCCTCCACCAGCAAAGCACAGCCAAACTCCTCTGATTCTTCTGCAGTTCTCAGTAACTAACGACGTCTATTAGTAGGCATTTCAAAGACGTCAAGGGAAGCCTACCGTGACAGTGCCCGTTACCGATGACCTTAACTTCTTTCACATTACCCCCTGCGCTATGGTCGGTTTCTAATGCTTGCAAAATGCCCTTATCAAAGAAACCGTCGTTTTTCTTGGCATTTCCAGGATCCTCTATATCGTGAATACCAATGTCCAGAGGAATACCCGTATTTGAATCAACGTCTGGAGTGGAATAGCTTTCCGGCCTGGATGACAATCAGTAATTGTTAGTAACACGCCAGCTTACGTCCTTGATTACGTACGTACAGAGGAATATGGAAGAACATAAGTGCATTAGGCTTTGCTAGTTTCTTAGTACCCGGTGTGACTTGACTCGCGGATTGACGTTCCCAAATGTCACCAAAGTCGCTTGCTCCGTCAGGAGTGAACGGTCTTTCTATGGGCTTAATCGAGGCTGACTCCTGCAAGAACCAACTGATTTGATTCTTCGAATGAGGGGCGGAGTATTATTAAACAACGTATCATCATAGAGTAAATGGATCTTACCTCTCGTATGTAGTCGTACTCAGTTGGATGGAAGAATCCTTTTTGAAAAGTCAGATACAGAACAAGGCAAGTGATTGAGCATTATATATACCGAACCAGTCCCAAACACCCGCGGAGTAGGATCCCGAATCCAAGAAGTACATTGTCAAAAGATGCATTTTCGAACTAGTTATCCAAGTCAGCTTCATTCTTTGTTACTCAGTTAACGTACTTACGAGTCTGCGCTATACGCCTTGAGAACATAATTGCCAACGCCATGAACGTCCTTCGGGCCCCGTTGCGTCACACTGTAAGGCATTCCCTGCAGCAGTGCCATCTGATCCTCCCTGTTCATTCCATTCTCTGAGTCATGATTTCCAAATACTGCAGCCCAAGGGATCTTTCTATCGGTCACGGCATTGGCGAATTTGGCCAGAACTGAGCGTGGATCCCATGAGGTTCCTTGTCCATTCAGTTGGTCACCAGTGAACACGACCATATCTGGCTTCTCTTCGTCCAGAACATGCCCCAGAAGAGTATGTGTAAGATTATCTGAATGCGTACACGGACTGAACGAAACGTCTCTGCATTTTCCTTGGGATACCGAGAAGTGTAGGTCCGCTATTTGAAGGATCTTGAACTTCCCGTCCCTGGAGAAATGCAAGGGTGGAGCGCGAGGAGGGCCTAAATCATAACATTCAGAATAACGGCAGTGTACATATAGAAGACAGCACTCACGTTTTACTCCGCGTCGATAAGTGAGCCATGCAGTGTCTAAGTGTCCTTCCCTGCCTTCCGTTGTTGGTGGGTCGAGCTTCTCAAAGCCGTACCATGGCCGATCATCACCGAATAGGACATCCAATTCCGTTATCAGATTTGATTTTTCCTCCGTAGACAAGTAGGACATCCTTGGTCCTAATTTATACCATAGGAATAGTGGTGGCGCACGAGGGACACCATCACGAACGGAGACGTCTACTTTGCGCCAATTGTCTTGTGTTGTCGGCTCCTCGCCTTTAGGTAGAAGTACAATATCATTGACAAGGTCAACGTCCAGTCGACGGCTTCGACGGTAATAAATATACTGAACATGTGATCGTCAGTAATAATGAATGCAATCATTTAAACCTCCGACGTACAAGTGACCAGAATCCAGACATCCTATTCAAATCCCGTTCTACACGAACCCACTTGCCCTTGATAGCATCTGCCTCTGGAGTTGAATCAGGAACGCAGAGGTAAGATAACGCCTGGGGCAGCATGCATTTTGCGACCGTAATCTCTGTTACTGTTGGAGCTCAACGCGCGAGTTCCAAAAGATAACGGTAAGGGGACTCACAGCCCGTTACATGATTCAACAAGGGCGACCAGACGTCCAAAGGTAAGCTTGCTGTATCCGGTTCAGTACTCTGAGTTGACACGTTCCACCAATCGACACCATCATTGTTGCTCGGTACATCACTTCCTGGTACAGAGCTTTGTTCTTCCGCGCTAGAACCGGTCCCAGATGCAAGTTTGGTATCAGATACGGGCTCCCAAGCTTGCCATCCTAATCGTTGCAGTTCTCCTGGGCCCACTATTGGCTGGTAAAGGACGAATATCCATGTCAAGAGAAGACCGAATCCAATGATAGTCGCGGCTGGAGCGAAGATAGCTCGCAGAAAGCGGAAAAATCGACCACAGGCTATCGCCATGGGCTTGAAGTACACAAAAGCCTCCAAATACTAGTTTGATTGTGTACAGTCGCACAAAAGGTTCGTAGGAACTTTATAGTTCAGTGGATGGAAGTACCGACTGTCGCACAGTGCACACGTCTGCTCATTGATGTCACGTGAAACTACGCACACGTGACATAATGCGCTGTGACACGGACATATGACAGTCGCGTCTTGAGCGCGTCTTGTATTCTAACTTTGAGACATGACAGACCGTCGCAAAAACGCGAAACCCGACAAGCTTGCTGCTTATAAACGCGCCAGAGAAGGCGGGGGTCGAGACTGGAAGGTAAGCTAGTCTATCGAATTGTCCCTCGCGGCATACCTTACGACGCGTTTGTAGCCAGAAGAGGACGTTGAGGTGTATGACGAAGTGGACGAGGAGCAATACAAGTCCATCGTGAAGGGGAGACTTCAGAGAGATGATTTCATCGTTGACGATGGAGTAGACGGGTATGCCGACAATGGCATGGATGACTGGGGTGAGGATCAAGGAATGGAGTCCGACGAAGAAGTGAAACCGAAAGGTAGGCGCCTTGCAGTTTTTGATGTGTTTTCCTGCACCTGAATATCGTCTTAGAAAAGAAAAAATCGAAACTCGTGAAGACGAAACCCGCTCCGCCTCCTCCGCCAGTTGCAACCTTCAATGACTATAAGCAGAAGCCATCAGCTGCTGTTGAAGACGACTTCATGTCGTCGCTGCTGGGAAAAATGGAAAAGGTTACGCCGGACACGCGCTTTCGATCGAGAAAGCGAAAGCCGCGTGATATCTCCCCCCTGACCTCGTCTTCTCCGGACGATTTCAATGGGTACAGAGCGCCCGGGGACTTTTACGCGGACACGTCCTCTGACGGCCCAATTGACGAATACTCAGTGCCGCCGAGCGACGACTTGGATATCTCAGGACCCTTCAAACGGCAGAGAAGAGAAGACGCAGACGTCAAGCCAGCGGTACAGAAGTTCAAAATTTTCAATGTTGCCACGAGCTCGGAGGGTCTCAGCACGCCTTATGATGACTCACTCGACGATATTGACATGAGCGAATTTACTCATGATGAAGAGGAGCTGAAGCCGAAGATCGAAATTGTGAAAATGGAGGACGACGACATGGATCTTCTCAACCACCGCCACGCAAAGGAATCAAATGCGGTGAATAACGTAAAGGTCGAGAAAATGGAGGATGAAACGCCTTCTTGGGTAAACGTACATGCTTCGTTGAAAGTCGAAAAGAATGACGACTCCCTTGGCCCTTTGGGTGGACGTAGTGCAAACGTGCGTTCTTCCAACGTTGCGGCTTTGGAAGACGATGGGTCGCTGCGGTTCTTCTGGATTGATTATCTAGAGCAAGACGGGAATGTTCATTTCATTGGTAAGCTCAAGGATAAGAAGACGAAACTCTGGGTCAGTTGCTGTCTTACGGTAGAAAATTTGGAGCGTAACCTCTTTGTTCTGTCGCGTCCGAAGAAACTAGGTATGCTATGCACCACACATTTTACTATGTGCCATCTAACACTCATCCAGAGGATGGCCACGAGACGGACATCGTCCCAGACAATCTTGATGTTGCCAAAGATTTCGATGCTTTGCGGAAGAAAGCTGGAATAAATAAGTTTAAGAGCAAATTCGTCAAACGAAAATACGCCTTTGGAGAACCGGATGTGCCTCTGAATGAACACAGCTGGATGAAAGTCAAATATCCGTTTTCTGGTTTGTCTTTATGTGTCCTATCGAGTTGAAGCGTTCCAATTTCTTTGAAACAGAACCACAATTATCAGAAAATTTACAAACTGATACCATTGCGCGAATCTTCGGCACGAGGACGAGCGCATTCGAACTGCTCGTGTTAAAGAGAAAGATTATGGGACCATGCTGGCTGCAAATTAAAGAGCCTCATGTTGAGCACAAAGGCGTTAGTGAGAAAGAAAACTACAACTCTTATGTATACTGAAAAAAGCTTCAGATATCCTGGTGTAAATTTGAAGCCACGGTCTCCAATCCGAAGGATATCAACCCATTCCCCGAAACCGATGCGGACGCGCCAAAGGAAACGCCACCATTGACGGTTATGAGCCTTACTGTACGTACAGTCGTCAATTACAAGGAAAACAAGAGGGAAGTAGTTTGTGCGACTGCACGTACATGGTCGGACCGTGAGTCATCAAGTAACGCAGTACCTGCAACCTCCTCTGACTAACAGATGACGGAAGTGGATCTTGAGGATCCGACTCCACCTGATCAACTGTCCTGCACCGTGCACACGCTTGTTAGGCCACTGGTCAAATTCCCAGCTAGATTTCAAGATGCCGTTAAGTCGAACAAGAAGGGAACGATCCTTGCAGAGGCAAACGAGAGGGCACTGCTCAATAACCTCCTGCGTAAGTTCTTGTCGGAGCTTCAGAAGTCTTGTTTCTGATGTTACTTCTCCGTCAGTAACGATATTCAGGACGGATCCCGATGTTATCGTTGGCCATGAATTTCTCGGCGTGTCATTAGATGTTCTATTAGATCGCATGCGTGACCAAAAATTAAAAGACTGGTCAAGGATAGGCCGTTTCAGAAGGACGAGGTGGCCGAACATTGGGAAACAAGGAACTAACATCAAATTCCTGAATGGGAGGTTGTTGTGCGACCTTGCTAGCGACGGTGCCAAAGTACAGTATTGCCTTGGATACCAAAAAAAAAACGCTGATAGAGTAATTTTCAGGGCATGATTTCGTCAACTACATGGTCGATGACGGAGATGTGCGCAACGCACTTGAAATGTGAACGCGAAGACATTGATCCAGATGAAGTGGCCGATTACTTCGATGGTAATCTGTCGACACCGGACAAACTCATTAGGTTTGTGCAGCATTGCGAGCTTGATGCTCATTATCAAATGGCCATTGCTGCTCGAGTGCAAATTCTTCCGCTAACGAAGCAATTGACAAACCTTGCCGGAAATTCCTGGTAGGTGCTCTATGTTTTCTGCGGATCGATTCGGAGTTGACCCCTCTTCTAGGAACAAGACACTGAATGGCGGTCGTGCTGAGCGAAACGAGTACATCTTGCTTCACGAATTCCATCGTCTGAAATACATTTGCCCTGATAAAACTTTCGGCAAGAAGGTTGCTGCTGCTGCTGCCGTGAAGGCCGAAGCTGAAGGAGACGGAGTAGTCCCAGTGACACAAAAAAGTAAGAGGGACAAGTATAAGGGCGGCCTGGTCTTCGAGCCGAAGCGTGGCTTGTGGGACAAGTACATTCTTGTCATGGACTTCAACTCGTTGTACCCGAGCATTATCCAGGAATACAACATTGACTTCACCACTGTAGAAAGGGCCGATAGTGAGGTGAGTACTCCCGTGCCGTTCTAAGTACAATACTTGACGTTCTATCTAGGAGGGAGAAGAAGAGAAGATCCCCGATCCACCATCGTCTGATGTCCCCCAAGGAGTGCTTCCAAGGCTCATCGCTACTCTCGTTGCTAGGCGAAGGGAAGTCAAAAAGCTAATGAAGGATCGCTCGACACCACATGCTAAGATGCTCCAGGTAAATGAGACGAATGTGAAAGATGATGGCGACTGACGTGCGAAACTTTTGTAGTACGATATCAAGCAGCAAGCCCTCAAACTCACAGCCAATAGTATGTACGGGTGCCTCGGATTCGAGTATTCAAGGTTCTATGCTCGACCTCTTGCTGCACTCACGACCTATAAAGGACGTGAGATTCTGGCTAGGACACGAGAATTAGCGGAAAACCAGGGTCTCGACGTGAGTGACTTTTTAACGTTCCCCAGACGTCGTGGTTCTCTTTTCTAACTACCAACATCAGGTCATTTATGGCGATACAGATTCCATCTTCGTCAATTCTAATGTCACGGAGTTGCCTCAAGCGCTAAGGATATCAGACACCTTCAAGAAACTGGTCAACGAACAATATGTGAAGCTCGAGATTGACTTGGATGGTATCTTCCAACGTCTGCTTCTCCTACAAAAGAAGAAGTATGCTGCGCTCAAGGTGGAAGACGCAGAGCGGACTTCTGTCGAAGTAAAGGGCTTGGACATGAAGCGTCGAGAATATTGTCAGCTCTCGAAAGATACCTCTCAGTAAGTTCAGTCTCTACAGGCGATGAGTTTGTACTTATTTCCCCTAGCCATATCTTGGAAATGGTTTTGTCTGGCGAAGCTACGGAAACAGTTGTCGAACAGATCCACGAGCATCTATCAAAGCTCGGTGAAGAGGTTCGCGGTGACAAGATCAACTTGGATAAGTTCATTATCAACAAGGTAAGATGAAGTGCGTTACGTTTCTGACTGGGATTAATTCTTTTCTTTTCCCATAGCGTCTTGGTAAAAATCCTGAAGACTATCCGGACGCGAAGAGTCAACCACATGTCACCGTCGCGTTACGTTTGAAGTCGAAGGGCCAGCAACCTAGAGCAGGGGATGTCATTCCATATATATTTTGCCTAAACGAAGGTGCCGAATCGATGAAGTCTGCTCAGGCAGATAGGGCACATCACCCTGACGAGCTCAGAAGGGCAAACGGAGAGCTGAAAATAGGTAAGTACTGCATTCCTCACATCCTCGACGCGTCGCTAACCTTTCGGCGAAGACTATGAGTTTTACCTCTCACAGCAAATCCTTCCGCCTATTGAACGTCTCTGTGAGCCTATCGAAGGCACCGATAGAGCACGTCTCGCGGAATGTCTTGGCCTCGACCCAGGCCGCTTCCGTTCACATTACAATGGTGACTCGGACGACCGTGCATTTGGCACGCTAGAGTCGCAAATGCCTGATAACGTCAGGTTCAAAGATTGTGACCCATTAACGATCCGATGCCGAAAGTGCGAGGGTGAAATGCCATTCACACATATCTCGGAACGAGGGGTAGGTTTTCAATATTTCATTCATAACAATGAACGATGTCGAACGAATGTGATATTTACAGACGTCCATAATACAAACGTCCGGACCGACCTGCAAAGGCTGTCAAGCTCCACTAAAGACGACGAGCATGCAAATGCAGCTCGAAAACCAAATACGGGAGCATATCAATAGATACTACGAAGGCTGGACTGTTTGCGATGATCCAATGTGCCGCAATCGTACACGCATGATGAGCGTGTATGGTAGACGCTGCCTGAAGAGGGAATGCAAAGGCACAGTGGCTTTCGAGGTACGGTAGTTCTTTACTTGTCAGTGATTCATGGAGTGGAGGCTCATGATGTGATACAGTACTCCGATAATCAGCTGTATACCCAACTGATGTTCTACTCGAGTCTTGTTTGCCCTGAGAAGGTTCTGAAGTCTGCAATCGCTAGTCCTCAAAAGAGTGCGTTATTTATTAGAATCCTGGTCACTGGAATGCCTTACTGACTGGCTGTTCGTACATCCAAAATCCAACAGGTACCATTGATGCCGCTGTCCAGAACAATCGGAAACTTCTAGATGACATGAACGAGATTGTTGATAAATACTTGTCACAATGTGGACGGAGATGGGTGGAGCTTGGCAATCTCTTCTCGTTCATGAAGCTCTAGACTCAATTGTCTATTGAACTGGAATCTCGCATCATCAATACTTCGCTTTGTTTGAATGCTTTCTGGAATTGTATTGCTGTATTTATTAGCAAGTAGTATTACTCCGGTAACTCGGTGTCAACCGATAAAGACGTGGATTGGCCCAAGAAAAGAAGTGTATGCAACGCGTAAAATGAAAGTTCCAAACAACCCCTTGTACGTAAATAAAATTAGTATCTAAATGTCAAAGCGGACGAGCTGTTGCATATTTTCTATGATGATATAACAACGGTAAAGCTCCACTTCCTAACGGCAAAGTCCCAACACTCTCAACGCGTACGACGCGCGAAATGAACAATTCAGAAATCACGCTTCCTTCTTTCGCATTAGTGGTGTCAGCCTCGGCATCAACACCTCTACCATCATCGAGAAGATTATGCAACGGCATGCACGTAACGAGCTCGCACGATAACGCACCGAGGGAGCCTGTGAGGACGGGTAAGCCTTCTGCAGTGAGTTCGTGAGGTGTTATCCGGAATGGTTCGGGGAAGAGGTCGGCACGTGCGAAGTGGTGTGCGGTTGTGGATTGGGTGCTTGAGAGGAGGTTGATTACGAGATTTGGTCCTCGTCTTCGTCCTGGTTCACGTTTCTGGTTTTCTCGCGATGAAAAGTCGAAATTGGGATTGTCATTGTGTTCCGACTGCGCTATACGTTCCTTGAGCGAAGTCGCCATCCGAGAAGGTATACGTAACGAGAACGCAACGAGCGGGTGTGGGTACAATGCGATAGAGGTAAACGAGGATAACGTTGCACCATGAAATTTATGCTCTTTTTCATTTTCTTGTTTGCCGTCGAATGGATAGTATGAGGCTACGACCGCAACAGGTTGCGCAGTTTCGCGGAGTAAACGACGTAGAGCGTCTTTCGTCGCGTCATTGTTTGTCGTTGTTGAAATGCACCTGCACAAGAAGGTTTTTCGTTGTGTAGATGAGAGGACGCGACGCGTCTGGTAGCGGGCGAGAGCAAGCATAGGCGTTTCGCGTTCAATGTTTTCTGAGTTTCTGAGCGAGCGTTTATGTATTGCCAAATTAGGAAGTGATCTGCGGTCAAAGTGAAGACGAGTTACCGAAAGAAATTCACTTTTCCTCCGTACACCAACAAACAACGTATTGTACCGCGATGCTGCAGCCATTCCGTGCGACGTCGGCCGTATCGTCCGCGTACAAGTCACTGTTACTTTTTCGACGGGCAACTAGAGCATACGCAACAAACTCCTCAGATTCAAATTCGTCCTCAGACTCTTACAACTCCAACAAATTCGCAGACATCGCCCAAGCCACCTCCGCACCTCTCAAAGTCCAAGACAAACGCGCACAGACAGAAACCGCCTTTGCGCGTAACCCCGAAGATTCCGCGCTCACAATCGAAGAAAAACGTGACTACGTGCGTCCGCCAGTCCTACGCGATTCCGACCGTAGTCGTCTACGTGGTGTCCGAGTAACGCGTCGGTCAGACGGTACCATCGACGAACAAATCGTCGGTCAACGAATCTACCTCCCCAACATCATCTTCACGCTCGTCCGTAACCAAACCCCACCTGGTAAACCTTACAACCCGTACGAAGCGACCTTCTACGTCCCGCAAAATATCACCAAAACAGACATACGCTCGTACCTACTCGCAATATACGGCGTCGAATGCACGTATATCCGTACAGATAACTACTACGTTCCTATAAAACAACGACACGCCGAGACAATCGGCCGTCTCCAAACCCCTCGCGGCCCCAAACGGTCCCACAAACGCGCCGTCGTAGGTCTCAAACAACCCTTTTACTACCCTCAAATGGTAGAAGACATGAACGGGAAAGACCGCTGGCTACGCGAAACCGCTCTCGAAGATGCTTTCCACTTGAAACACATAAAGACCGTACAGAAGGCTATGTCTGTCAAGTTCGATAAGACTACCGGTATAGGCGGACAAAGGGAGAATGATATCGAGAAACTTGCGTCGCTTTGGGATACACGGAAGAAGATTATTCGGAGGTTATGGGAACGTAGAGAGGAAAGGGAGCTGCGTGCTCGAGAGATTGCTAAAGGATTGGAAGAGGTGCGGAAGTAGAGGATTGATAATGTCATACTCGGAGTGCTCTTGGCATTAATTATGTTCATCTACCTGTCACTCGCCTCTCAATAACTTGCTAATCAGACTTAGAGTCTACCTCACGTTGTAAAACGGCCAATTAGCTCGACCGGAAGAAGATCCCACCACCAGAAGTATCCGATATCGACCTAAAGGCTTTCAAGAAAACACCGCGCCGCTCGATTCGTAACATTTTTCAAATGCTTTGCTGGAGTCAACAAGGCCTTCATGTAGACTTTGTTTGATGAACCTTAACTAAAGTGGAAAAACTCAATTGACTTGACAAGGTCTGGTTTAAATGCAGGTAAGATACCACCCGGCTCGATCTAGTGAAATGCACAGTTGCACACTGCCTTGTCCATCGAAAACGTGAGCAGACCAACCAGCTAACATTACAAAGCATCAACTACTATTGATTGGTGTTACAATTGTATCATGTACAGGAACAAGAAAATGCTGGTTGTCTGCTACTACTCAAACTGGATACAAAAAGCATGATTACTATCGAAGAAAAGCGTCGCAAGAAAAACAATGAAAAAGTTAAGCCCGTCTGATGTGTGAAACTGGCTAATCGAGTGTGAGCCTCTGTGATAGCAAAATGAAAGGAAGCGAAAAGCAACGGAGATTCAGATTGTTTTCGGATTGAATGCTGAATTATGACTGATAGCGAAACCCAAATCTATACGTGTGTCATGATGATCGTGAGTGAGTAATGCAGCTCGAGTAAATTACTGGAAAGGTTGTCGATTTGTTTTGTTCTCTCGGGATTATGAATCTGTTTAAAGTGGCCTGTCGTGTGAATTTCGAACGTGAAAAATACATTTAGAGAGCCTCCCGTCGCACTTCTGCATTAAAAGAAAAAATTCAGCGTGCGATAAAATAAACTTCTGTTTTGTCCAGAGAAAAACAAACCTTGTGAGCGGTCCTGCAAGCCGGGCACGGCGACCTTCTCTTTTCAGCCCCCTGTTTTCTAGAACCTCGTTTCTGTGGTGTAACAAGCATGGGTTTGTCGGGTCCTGAAACCGTTCGGGCGCGTTTACTCGCGCTCGTCACGGGTAATGAAAAAGGATTGGAAGAATAAATTTCGGGCCCGGCTGTGTCGGCTTTCCTTTTAAGCGCAGGGTAGAAATTGCCCCGGTCCCGAGACGGATCGGAAACGTCAACGATCGGTTCGGCGGCGACGTCACGGCTGTGGTCGTATGCTGTCAGCGATTCTACCTGAGCCCTCCACGCGGAGATTCGTCGAATTTTGTCATCCTTCAATGATAGATGTCCAGTATTATTTCCCACCACCGGCGCAGACTCTGCACGTAGCACGTTCTGAGTCTGAGTTTCTCGAGGACGAGGCGTCGTATTCGGAGCTAGGAAGGGCATTGACCTGTCATTAGGAGCCTCTTGTTTGACTCGTGGGTTAGTCATGACGACTGGTGAAGGCCTATGATTTTGTGGGTGGATTCGAGGCGGTACACTCACGTCGAAGGGTTGGATAGGAGGCATCATCTTCTCGCATATCGACAGTGGAAGGGTAGGCTGCTGTTGGAGATAAGAAACATCTGTTTTATTGTTGACAAGTGGCGCAGCAGCATGGCTGGGGTACACGTTTTGACCAGCTAGATGCGGAGAAACGTCGAATGGTTGGTAAAACTGTCCATTCAGACCTACAAAAAAGGCCGCATAGTCTGGGTGCACTGGTTGGTTGTATCTAATCGGACCGTTCCAAACAGGATGGCTCGATATCGGATACTGATATGGCACAGTCGACGGCCAGTATCGATACACATCGTGCATAGGGGCAGGATAAGTGGGTAAAGCAACTGGTGGGAGCGACTGGTAGCTAGTTTGTTGAGGAGCCTGTGACATGCGCTATGCAAAGACGTATCGAAATGTTCCCAAAATCTCGAGGATAACGCCTAAGTGAGACGCTTGGAGCCATACACCTGTCGGAGTATTCCACGGTCTTATACGCGAGCACAGAAGTGATGACCTGTCAAGAACATATGACCAGACTTGCGCAACGCTAAACCCGGTCTTTCTAACCTTGCCTGAATGCCGTGAGGGTGCGTAGGTCTGTCAGTGTGGTGGATGGGGGCTAAGATATGAGGCAAAGAGTACTGCGCCAGCGCCCAATCTGCACAGCTGAGTTTCAAATTACAGGCGGAGTTCCAATGTGTCTTTCTCTCCTGACTTGTGAATTCTTTTAATTATAATTTATTTTCCTTTGTTGCAAAAATCCGTCTTTGAGTAAATAAATAAATACACAGATCCATAAACAAGTCCGTAATGGAAAGCGAATTATTGAAAATATACGCGACGTAAGTTAGCTAGCTGCTAACACTCGCAGGACCTGAACCTTCAACTTGAATTGTTAATTCTTCCAGCCCTGAAATTCTCCGGCGTAGAATCGAGTCTACGCGTTCTACGACGCGTTCAGCTGATACCCACGTTGCTTTTGTCGTATCGTCGAGTGAAGGGGTTGCACGCGCTAATTGGACGTGTATCGAGCCGATCAGACTCGAGGAATCTTTTGGCCAGAATCGGGGTGCGGTGTAGTTTACTAGGCCATCTACCATTGATAGCTATCGGAAAATATAATCAGCATCGCTCATTGATAATATCATCGGGAGGGGGCCAAACATGCCTCGGCAAGCGCTTGCTTGATACTATTTTCACGATCTGATACATCGAGACAGAGGACTTTCCCGCTGTCTATGACAAGTGGAACGACACTTGCTACGATGAGGATAGCAATAAACAGGGACGCGATTGGATCAAAGCCAGTCCAGCCATAAAACTGGATGAGCAACGTTGAGATAATAACTCCAACGGAGCCGAGCGTATCCTTGATAAAGTAAAATAGCAAGCAAATCAGTATTCAGTTAAGCTGAATAAAGCTATCCCGGTAACTTACAGCCATTACGTGTAAGAACACGCCACGCATATTATGACTATGTCCTTCATGATCTCCTCCATGACTATGACTATGATCATGCAAGTTCGGCACGTGCCCACCATGTGAATGATCATGGTGTTGCGCAAAATGTGCGTCATGTCCGAATTGATAGCTTGGCGTCAGCGGTGACGAAGGATTATTTTCAGACAGCGACGGAGAAAGAAGGCCGGGAGCAGGCATCATGCTTGGCGTTCGAGTATGCCGTGACATATGAGGCGGGTTCGGGAGTAAATGGCCATTTGGACTCGGTGGAGAGTTGAGAGGTGGACTAAGGTTGTGCCCGGCGGGGATGTGGAGAGATACCGAGCGAACATGAAAGCGCGTGGTGCCTGGAGGTGCAGATGCTGGAACAGTTGCCCCATTTATTTGTGGCACATGTAAGTGACCATCACCATGTGCGTGAACATGTGCGGAAGAAGAGTGAGTCGGTGTTGCGTAATGAGGGGCGAGACCGTGATGGCTCGCGTTGTGCTCTTCATGGTCATGGTGATGCTCTCCAGAACACGCTTCGATGGAGTCGGATATTGTTGAAGAGTTTGAAATCGGGGAGTGGCTATGATTGCGATCATGGTCATGATCGTGGTGAGAGTGCGAAATTCGCAACTCCGGAGAATGCGAATGGCTATGCCCATGTCCCGAATGCGAAGTAGATTCGCCACCATGAGGATGACCATGTGAATGCGAATGGCCCTGGATGTCAAGGAACATAAACACATAACACAATACAAATCAGACGGGCGCGGTCTTACATGGTGATGGTGTCCACCCATCGCAAACATTCCGAAAAGGTTGACGAGAAGCCCGAGCGTACTAACTAGAAGTAGCTGGCTCGTATTCATTTCAGGCGGATCAATACTTCAAGGTCGGAACCAGTTTTAGTCATAAGTCCAGAAAATTTTCACATTTTGTATCACTCACATGCGTTGGATGGCCTCGAACACGATGAAAATGGATATAAGAATGAGGAAAATTCCGTTTGCGAATCCCGACAACGTTTCGATTCTCCCGTACCTTTTTTTGCTGTCATTAAGGGGTGAAGAGGAGATCAACGAAACACTGACCCATATGTAAAACGCTCATTTGGCGGCCAGGTAGCCATGACTGACGCAAAAAGACCCATTGCAATAGCCATGCAGTCAAACGCCATATGAATAGCTGCGGGACCATTAGACTCAATGTTGGAAGTAACAAAGCCGATTAAACTGACCATCCGAGATAAGTCCCAGGCTATTAGTCCAAACACCATAAAGCATCTGGACGAGCATGTACGCTAGATTTAATATCAAGAAATAAAATATCTTGCGTGATTCAGGATTTGCAAGGACTGTCTTCAAGTATGCCTTAGCCAGACGAATCGTCGGAGTACGCGGTGGACTAGCGAGCGTTTGAGTGCTATCTGGAGCAGATCCTGTAATCGATACATTAAAGCAGCCGACTCCTTTGCTCAATTGTTATAGTTGGGCTTACCATAGAAGAGTAGCCCGGCCACAATGCAATCAGACCATGAAGGGAATTGGGAAAACGCAAGCGGTCCGAGAATAAGCGCCGGCACCAGAGTACTCGCATACGAGATCCTGAAGTGCTTTGCTGGTAAAGCAACAGCACTAACGGTTTCCCGCGTTCTTGGTGTAAGGTACAGAAGAGAATATGCAAGTGCTGGTAGGGCTACGAAGGCAACCAAAGGAGCGGCAGGTGCATCGGTGGATTCATACTTTCAACAATTTAGTAAAGTATAGTGCATGGGAGCAGAGGGAAGCTTACAACTAGGCTCTTAAAGAGATAAAATGGAAGGCCAATGACAGTTGCTCCTAGTATTGTAGCCATGCTCGTAGCTTTCACTCCTAAAGCAGGTGCAAGAACACTTTGCGTATGTTCGAGGCCTACGGTGGAGAGCCCGTATATAAATACAACCACATAGCCTGGGAGAGCATATTTGACATTGGACAGCGTAAACCCCATGTCTGAGAGGAACGAAAATAAGAAAGTGACGCCGAGAATAGTCGTTTTGCGCATCTAACGCCAGAATGATCAGTTGAATGTCCACAACGTTCGGGAAATTGGGCGCTTACGGAGTCGTGCTGAACTAGCGCTCCAACCCAGAACGACGCGAAGTTCGTAAATAAAGCAACTCTACAACAACTCCATCAGAGACAGCACAAGACACAAGTCAACTCAATACACGCACCTTATCGCAGAAATTCTATAGAGAGCTGTCAATAAACATGCTTGCTGAACGAACAGCATCAAAGATGCAATTCCAAGGACCGACCACTGTACCACCATTTGCAGAACCACATAAACACGTTAAGTCTGCAATAAACAATATAGTGTTCAAGGCAAAAAGAACTGACCTCGACCCTTGCATTCGCTCTTTTCGTTATCTCCTGTTTAACCCCCTCCCATACCAAAACAGCAAGCCCGCCAAATGCAAGCACTCTAATAAGTACCCAGAAAACGCCTAGGTGTAGGTCGACCGACAAGAGCCATTCCTTCCCTGCGTCGAGAGACGCGACAAGTAGGATGTTGGAGAGGATAAGTCGTGATAGGAGGGTCACGGGAAGACTTTTCGAGTCAGAAATATTTGAAGCTAGATTAGTGAGTGCTACTGTTGGTGAGTTGAAGATGGAGACGTACGAAGCAGATGATATTCGTGAAGGATTGAGCGCGATCTTCGAACGCGTCTTCGAGTTCGGTGCAGACATCCCTTCTCACCAGAGAGATTGGCAGATCAAAATGGCATTACCAGATACTCCTAAATGTTTAAAAGGGACAGAAAGTCGCGAACAAACTTCAGAGGAGGAGGGTAAGAAGCTAAGTAAAGCTTAAACCGCAATACCGCGTCTGGATGATCGACACCTCACCATCCGCGAACACGAAATTCGAGATCAAATGTTTACGTAAATAGTTCATCTAACAACTGGATCCAGGAATAAATGCCACTAAATCAATTACATCGATGCCCTACGTCTTATCATTTGCGTCTCACCAAAATCGCACCGTTACGGGATCTTATCCCATCCCAGGCCAGTGGAATGCGCCTATGCAGATGGACGTATACCGTATCACGGCATTTTCCGTACACACTTCAAAGTTTAGGGCACAAACCTTTCACCAGGATGCTTAGGCATGGGGATGGGAGAAACTACAGAGGCGACGAGGCAAGTGATATTACATTTTATTTCAACGATGCTCACTTCGGTTCATAAACATGATAATGTACTGTAACACGACGTAAAGAAACCCGAAAGCACCAGTCAGAAGACAGCAAAACGCAAAGCAGTGCGTACGAAGAGAAAACAGTGTCAAGCGTTCGTGTACTGAGCCATAAGATTGCTCCAAGCGCTAAGAGGGTCAACATCCTGAGGGGACAACATCTCTTGTCCAGTCTGTCCGTAAGTCGGCGATGCATACACATTCTGCATCCCACTCATGTCGTAATACCCACCCATTTCATACTGCCCACTACTACTTCCAACCACGTTTTGGCTGTACCCAGGTCCCATCATACCGGACATATTCACCTCCGGGCCAACTTGCGAGCCATTGCCATATCCAGTATTAGGCTGCATCCCCACTGGACTATATGCCATCGTCATCGTCTGATTGTTCTGCCATTGCGCTTGGTTCTGTGCGTGCAAGTGAGCCTGTGCCTGGGTATGTACTTGCACGTGTGCATGCATATGTTCAGGCGGGAGGTGCATGCCGAACAGTGCCATCTCCGGTGATTGCTGGTAGCTCGACACAGGGCTCGATTCAATAGGGGAAACAAACTGTTGTTGATGCTGCATATGCGATGACGGCTCGCCATAAAACGAAGTCTGTAAATGTGCCGGACTAACGGGTGATGTAGGAGACGCCGGAGTCTGTGGCATTGGAGAATTAAATGCAACTGCCGGACTTGAGGCGGGCGAACGAGATCCGCGCGAAGACGAAGGAGATTGCGGCTTCTTAGCCACAAGGCGGGTTTTGCCTCCGAGCGTTGTCAGCTCATCTTCGTTCTTCGGGATTAATTCCTGTGATGATTCGCGCTTCGTGCCGCCCATTGTATCTCTTGTTTGATTTTGGTGTTCATCCATGGACGCATGGGCACGGTCTCTTAGTCTTTTGAGCACAGGCTGCATACAATAGTCAACTCAGAAGTTCGGACTCTACTCTGCGTAGCTAAACAACGTACCAAAACCTTCTCGGTCCTGCTCTTTTCCCCCAGCTGTGCAAATAGGTCGTACGCTTGATCCAGGTCTCTCAGTGCGGATCGAGACAACGCCATTCCCGGACATTTAGCCGGAATAGAACCCAGGACAATCTAACAACAGCGATCAGATCGCGAATTACGAAGAAAATTGGAGCCAGCAGGAAGTAGAAAAACATACAGCGCACGAAAAGACATGCGTGAACAAGAACCAGTTCCTTTCTGTCAGGTCTTTATAATGAGACCACAGACTTTTCACGAGTTTGACGAAGAATGATGCGCTCTCGTGGGCTCGCAAGACGGAATGACCATATTTCCCACTGAGTGGATCTACAGGGCTGTCACTCATGGCCTTTGCGAAGAATCCTCGGTGCATATACAATAGCGCTTCATATAACAATCGATCAGCGGTGATCATTGCTGGGTATAAAATTTTAGAACATGTGCGATACTTACTGACTTCCTTGATGGCAAGTATAATATGCCGTTGCATCGTTAAAGCCATTGGCGGATCACCACTAGCTGAGTACATGGGCGCACTGCCGAAGCCGGGGACTTGTAGTGATGGAGGAATATAATAAGCACGGACACGTTTGTCCAGCTCAGTCACGGTCGCGTAAGAAGGGGTCCTCGCGCCGAACACCTGATCATGTACAATGCTAAGTAATTCAGACGAGAAACGGTGTTTCCAAGCATCGACTGCGGGCCGATTCGTTAACAGGGTGACTGATAAAGGATCGGGGGCTATGCGCTCACAAGACATTTCGACCTGCCCGGAAGGAGTCTTCGTAGTTTCGTGCGCCATCTTGCAGTCGATATGGGCCATGGCGAGGGAAGGGGGGCGTCCATAGGTTAAACTCTGCGAAATCTGAATGTAGTATGCGAATTGAAAACCATTATCAGTTCCATACCTGCCAAGAGTCGTACACGTAAATCTCCCAAAACAATTCACGACGAAGTTTCGTCTCCTCCGGAGAGAGCTTCCAACGCGTGCTATCGCGGTCTATATTGATTTGTCAGTTCCCATCAGAAGTGGAAAAGAAGTTCAATTTGACTTACGAAGACCAATCTAAAAGAGGCGGAATTATCAGCGAACTAATAAAAGCAGGAAAAGGAACGGACGGACGCTTTGTGCCAACTTGATCACCGTCCCCATTAACGTCCATCTCTGCGAGTCGACGTCGTTCAAGAACATATAGTGACACATAATCACCTGCCGGACCATCGATAAATGGTTCTGGACATGGATAATCACTAGGTCTCACCAGGGCCTGAATTGCCGGTATGCTCGGATCTTCCAGTACAGCATCAAGGCTGAGTGCCGCCTTGGAGAGTTGGAAGTACCGCACACCAGCAGTATCATGCGAGGGTCGTTTAAGATCAACAAGGATGCCAACAGCGAGGACAATGTACAAGAGGGCGAGTCGGTGACTTTCGAACGAGCCCGAATCGCGGTCTGTCTCTGCGTCCACCGGTGACTCTGCAGTCGCGTACGGATACACACGCGCGAATATGTGCTTGTCGAACTGCTCCTTTGTCACGGGATGATACATCCACGATGCATTGGCAAAGTACAGATCGGCAAGCTCACGAGCCGTTGGTGCGTCCGGTAACGCAGCTAGGAGTGTCGAGCGCAGGTCATCCGCGGCTGCTTGGTTGAGCGACGGCGAAAAGGGGAAGGCGTGACTCAGCCAGGGTATATCCACGGGAAGCGCCAGCATGTGGTGCTCCTCGCCATCCGAGTGGTCGCTCTCTTCGTTCTGAGAAGGGTTTATTATACAGGGAAGATCACATAGATTATATTAGTCAATGACGTTGTGAGGTTAGTTTCAGGGTTCAGAAGAGATGCGCACTTGGAGAAGATACTGGAGAAGACACTTCGTTATTTTTCATTCAAGCGGAGCAAGAAGAAGAAAAGAGACGAACCCAAGAGTTCGCTGTTTGTCCATAGAAATTCGTGCGACCAGTATGGGAGATTGACCTTGAAGACTATGTTAAATCCTGACTGTTCTCTCGCATAACGAATTTGATAATTTACAGTGAACCAACGGCATCAATTGTGTCTTCTTCCTCTTGCGTTCTTGGTGGCTCAGCAATCACCTCTCTTTCTAACGGGTTCTTAACTTTTAGTAGCTCATCACTCAGCAGCGGATGTCTATCATTGTGTATTGCGCTGTGTGCAACTTGAAGGGCGTCTTCAAGGGATCGCACACGGTGAGATAGTTCTGCGATCTTTTCGTGCAGGGTCTCTGTATTCGCGAGTACAAATCTACGGGGAAAAGACGGTAAGTGAACAACCCGAACCGGATGAACAGTAGAATGCAAGCGGTTCCCACCTATTGCCCTTGCCTGTCGTCAGAGAGCCTGAAGAAGGGTATGAGATAACACTCCGGTGAGTGCGGAGTCATAGGGGCTATTACAACCGGACAGAACAGCGGAAGTAAGCGCACCATCTGGACAAATTTGACTACAGCCTCGCTTGATGCAGGCGCCTGACCCAGATTGAGGATGTTAGTGTAGTTCTGATAGTGATTAGAATGAAGGGGATGGACGCACTGCAAGGGAACTTCCTGGTGGTAGCGATCACCGGGACAAAGATTGTTAATCTTCCTGTATGATGGCCTGTATGTCCGAGAGTGGGCGCACCTATCACAACGCAGCTTGAGCCTGGAGTAGGCAGTTTAGAGTGTTAGTATAGTAGCAACCGAGAGTCGCGGAGCAGACGTTATTTGGCGGAGGGCGCGTGTGCCTGGGACTAAGCGACGGCTCACCTTCGGCATTCAGCACAGGACAGCGCAGTGCTTCGTTTCTTGTTTCTCGCCGCCGACCCGACAGCGTCATCGTCGTAGCGCCTCCCGAGCATCGACGATGTCGTGACGAAGACACAAAGAAGGTGAAACGCGTCGCTGCTGACGAAAAGAGCCGTCAAGGGCCGCGGTCAGGCAGAAGCTCGTGATTGCCGACTATAAATCGAAGAAGACGATGCACTGGAGATAAGATCAGCCGGTTCACTCTGCTGCGTTCGCTGCCGCTTGGGTGCACGCAGCGACGATGAAAGGTCGATTGGACAGATAGATGCACGGGGCTGTCGACCGGGCTAATGAACAGGTTACTCAAACGGCTTCCGGGCAGGCGCCTGTCACTTCACGTATACGGCTGTTGACCTGCTAGGACATCCTTTGTCTGTCTATTAATATCGCGTTATTCCAGAAGCTCCCGATTCGTCACCCCTCTCATCTCCCTATATAATCGACCTCTCTCCGATCGCCTGCTTCTTTCTGCTCTCTCTTTCCCTTGTCATCCTCAGATTGCCAATTTTACGTCTCTTTAGCTGACCTCATGGACTGCCGCGAGGCGACGTGACAAATTCAAGGGTTCCTCGCTGATGGGAATTCTCCACCCCCCAAAGGCGCAAAGTTTCGTGGTAGACTATCTGCCATGTGCCATCTCGTACTCGAGGGTCTGTTCTGTGCCTGGACAAGTCGCGTCGCGTCATTTAGTCTCCGCGCTCACGGACTTCTAATTCTGCTTTCATTCCAAGTGCCTTGATGAACTGTCTTTTTCTTTTCGATACTAAATGACTATAATGTTAACTTGCTTGTCATGACGCGACCAATTTTAGTCCAGGCTGATCCACCACCAAGACATTAGACAAATTCTTTGGGCTGACACGGGGTATAAACTATGGACGCTACTCGCTATTCATGCGCTCTTGCAACTCCCACTAGGTCCTGGTGATCCACATACTGTTTGTTATTCATTCGCTTTGCTGCACACAACCTCGGCTGCGCCGTCTATTCCAACGTTCTCTACGCTATCTTTACTACACATACAATTCTTTACCTCCAAACGCTCACGATTTATTTTATTTCTACGCGATGGTTTATCTGACTCCCCGTTTCCTTTGCCTAGCGGCGCTGGTCGCCGCTTTAGTCATACCCTCCGGTATGCCCCAGGTCGATGCGCGTGCTGTCGATGTCGCCCCCCGTCATCATGCTCCCAAATCCTCGGACAACCATGCTGACACTGTCAGAGCAAAGGGCAAAGGCAAATCAACTGCTAAACCTCTTATACCCCTCCCTCTTGTTACGGCTAAGTCAACAGATGGCAAGAGGTCCAAGAAACATCGGAAAGGCGGCAAGAAAAAGAACAATAAGAGGGTAAGTATCATTCGATATTTATCACGATGAAAAATGGCGATAAACTAATAATCATTCCTCGCAACAGAGCATGTATCAGGAGGAAGACATCCAGGTTCCGTTAGGTCTAAAGAAGCGCACTGTATCACGCATTCACCAGGCCGCGAAGGCGGAAGACGCTTCGGGCGATACCTGGGACGCACTTGATCCGCTTCTCCAGATCGGCAGCATGAAGATCGGCGACGGACGAGATGGCTCATACTCCAGCACACATGATTTGCTTGGTGATGGTGGAATCCTAAAGAGGTCTCCACACCACCATGACCACGACGAACATTATGACCATGATGAAATAATTGTGAACGGCGATAACGACAAAGTTCATTATCATGACCGGAGAGCACCGCACCACCACCACGATCACCACGATCACCATGACCATGAAAAGACAGTCGTAAATGGGAACAATGATGATGTTCATGTTCACGGTCGCAGGGAGCCTCACCGTCACCACCACTATGGTCATCATGATCACGAAAAGACAGTTGTGAATGGTGATAACGACGACGTACATGTTCACGGACGCAGAGAGCCTCGTCGTCACCACCACCATGGTCATCACGATCACGAAAAGACAGTCGTGAATGGGAATAACGATGACGTGCATGTTCACGAACGTAGAGAGCCCCATCACCCTCATCACCACCACGGCCACAACGATGGACCTAAGGCAGTCATCAACGGAAACAGCGACACTGTCAATGTGCATGTACGAGATACCAACTCCGCCTCCGGTGTTCAATCAGACTCCTCAGGCGACGGGCATCATGTCAATTGTCCGGACAATGCTTCGGCTTCTCAATGGAAGAGGTCTGACCCAATCAGCCAGACTCCCGGTGTTCCTGGAACGGTGGATATCATGGTAAGCAACTTTGTATAGCATTTCGGCACGCGGTTACTTATATCGACCCATCTTTGTCTTTAAAGGTCGTCGGCGGGCCTGTTGAGAAGAAACTCGCATCTCTTGTCCTCTCATCGGTTCCACAAAACAATACTGCGAACAACGGCACTTTTGGATTGAACAGCACCAAGGAAGCCCTGACTGAAGACAGCCCGTTTGTCCTCGATGCATCAAACACGACTCAGACGCAGTTTTTGCTTGTCTCCAAAGAGATGCCAAGTGCCTCCTCTCTCGAAGCACTGAAGGCAGTTGCTCTTAAGTCGACAGATGAGGACTCCAAGCTGGCTGATATCAAAGTGACATTGCAGGTGCCTGTGTTTGAACCGACAAAGGCGGCGATGAGTCAGTACTGTGCAACGTACGACCCAAACCCACCTGTCCCGGCGCCGCTCACTATGGAGGAATGTGGCAAGGAGACGGAGCGTAGGTCGCAAACGTTCGCGTATAACCCGCGTAGCGGCACCATTCGGCCTATGTGGTTCAGTGATGCCAACCCTGCTAGTGCCAACGCGACACAGCCGATAGCAAACTCGACCTCAGACTCGACGGTCGGCGTAAAGCAGATGAACTTCAAGATTCCGTCGTCAAATAAGGATGTGCCAGTATCGCCCCCAGTAGCTGCACCACTTTCCCCTGCAAATATCACGGGGGCGGCTCCTGCTGTACCGGTCAATGCATCAGCAGCGTCGACGTCGGGCGTGCCTAGCGCGCAGAACGTTACACTCGTGTTCACGCCCATCACTCCTGCAATTCACGTAGTCAACGAAGCGTCGGATGCTGCTTCCTTCCAACCCGCCGACGGCAGCGGTCCTGCAAGCTCGATCACAGACAATGCTTCCAGCACATCGACGTCGTCCGCTTCAGGTACTGCGACGAGCACGGACAGCAGCAAGACGGCGACAGCCACGGATGGCGGCGCACCGGATGTGTCTGCCGTATCTGCCGGAAAGGCTGATGCGCGGCCCACGACAACGACTTCTGGAGGTGCGCCTTCGAACGCCACAGATGTGATGATGAGTGCGACGTCGTCAGGCTCCGGTTCTGCTTCAGAGTCAACTGGAATCACGTCAAGTGTGTCTGACTCTTCGGCTATGCCGAAGTCGACTTCAACAGTCGAACAAGCTGCTATTGAGAGAATGTACCAGCAGAGACCACACATGCATGTCCTCTAATTTGATTTTTCTCTTCCATTTGATTTTTCGTCGTCGATAGCGGATTGTCTTTGTCTTGATTGATTTGCTTTGCTTTGCTTTGTCTCAGGATTACTTAGGCACGAGATAGCTGGCTATGGACGTGGCAAACTCTTACTTTTTTTGAAAATAATGAATTCCGAGACCGGGAACTAAGGACTCGTATTCATCCTCCGATGATCAAGGAGTTCGGATATAGCGTGAGAGATACGAGCGGTCAGCCGGGGTCCCTGCTTCTCGTGTTCCTTCGGTCTTGCTTCTTGTGGAAATTGTGAAGTTAACGGTACACGTGTAGAGTGTAGTGTAGGTGTTCAGTGTCGCTTACACCCAACCGACCTTGAAATTTCCGCTACAACCTGAATTTGACGACATATCTCAAAATGATCTGATTAACGACTGTTAAGGCGAGAGATCGCTATGGACCCACAGATCGACCGGTACCAGGACCTCAATTTAGTTCCAAGGCGAAACTAAAAATCGGACTGGACGGGAATTACCTGTTTTGGGAAGGTGACAATGTCCAGGTACGGTAGCTTCCGGACCGGAAGCAAAAAAATAAGATGAACACAATTCAATATTTAATTAAAAATAGATAGGACCCCGAGGCGGGCAGTTAACAATGTTTGTGCTCGGAGGAGTTCAGTACCGACGGACGTTAACGTCGCCATCAAATTATCAATGGCGGTGTCGATACGGACATGCGTATCTTTCCTTCCTTTGTTGCCTCTTTTGACAGAACGGCCCAAAGGAAGTCTCGTGAGGAGATATATCAAGGCTGATCAAGTAGCAGCTTTCTTGATCAAATATCAGAATCAATCAAAACTGTCCGAAGCATAGAAGTAATACAGGGCTCGTCGGTGTATGTATATGCAGGGCCCCAGGGGTCTCTCTCTGGGTGGTGGTGGATCCGTAGGAGACAGTTTAGGATAGTTCAGTAACTTCAGTTTAGTTCAAGAATAACCAACGAATGAACGAACGACTTGATTGAACACGCGAACGAAGACGAGAAAGCTGAGACATGTTTCATAACTCAACGCGTCTTCTCACCAAGCCCAGTGTCGCGTCTCCTAGGACATGTGTTCTTCTGAACTCGATGTGGATTGAAACAAGATACGCGTAGGCGAACGGGCCGAACACGGCATGATTTCAGTGGATTTTTAGTTCCTATTACGATGAAGACATCGCGCAGATAACTACATGAATTCACGGAATTGAAGCCCGGTCTTCCGAGATACATGTAAAGTGTTGTACCATTTGTAGGATGAGGCGAGGAGAAATGTGAGAAAATGAGACTGGGCCGAGCCGCATAAGGTTATGGCAGGCGCTTATTACTGTTGGATTAAGACTCTCATGAGGAACGCGTACGGCACCTAGACGTGCACTGGGAGAGAAAAACACCGTCGGGGCTGTGCAGCCTGCTCCGGCATTCAATGTGAAATTTAGCATGCTGGAGGAGAGAGATCGGGAGAAGCGATTGATTGGATTTCCGGGGTGGGCCAGAGGCCGTGCTGCTCCAGGGCCGTCTTGAGATGGTGTTATGGTGCTGATGGTCCCAATAAAGCGAGACAGCGCCAAATACAGGTTTCCATCTCTATACGAGAGTGCACCGGATTTGTTTCTCTCCCGCTCGTCAAAGCTTAGGACATACATATATATGCTTTAAGGACGCTACCCCCACATGCTCTGCTGCTGCTCGGACTCGGACTCCTAACTCCATCTCCGGCTCGTTGATGTTACACCTGTGCTGAACTGAATTTAACTTACCTGCTAGTGACTGTTTCTTGTGGTTCCGCTCCTCGCTTGCCCTTTCCGATCTCTCAAAAGTTGCTGACGTTGGCCATCACGCATCTGTCCTGATCTCTCCTTAAGCTTCTCACCTCTTCTTTATCTCCTCCATCGCCATCAACACCTCTTGCTTTCGAACTACCGTCATCTCTCCCACCATTGCGCAATATCTTGATTCTCCGTCGACTATGTCTGCAGCGAGACGGGTTGATCCTCCTCGTCCAGAGTCTGGTACCGGACCTCAGCGCCGTCGTCGCGGTGCTGCTCGGCTCTCATGTGCCGAATGCAGGAGACTGAAGTTGCGATGCGACAGGTGGGCAGTGTGGAGACCTTTGCGGATGAGCGTTTCTTGCTGATGTATGCGCGCTCGTGTGCGCGTCTGTTATAGAAAAGTGCCTTGTGAATCTTGTGTAAAACGAGGCTGCTCCGCCATTTGTCCAGATGGTGAGCATTGTATGCTATGTTGCCTTGTAGTCAATAATCTAACCGAGCGTCTTTCTGCAGGGGCTCTTACAACGGGTAAAGGAAACAGGTACGCATACGTCGACTCCGTCGATCAGAGACCGGAGTGTTGATGACGCACACTCTTCCCTCTCTCTCCAGATTTATACTTGCTTCGACACAAGAATTGCATGAAAAGATCTCCGAGCTTTGCAGCCGGGTCCGTGAGCTCGAAGATGCGCTGCGCGAATCGCATTCGAACCTCTCAGACCAACACCATCCGCTCCTGACCGAAGAGCTGCTGCGCATCAAAATGCCCCTCCAACGTGAAACATCCGAGCCAAATCAGCAGGACGGGAACAAGGAAGAGCTCAGCCCTGATGTTGTCGACTCCTTCGGTTCGCTTTCCATCAGCCAAACGGGCAAGACAAAGTTCTACGGCCACACCGCCAATTCCTGGGTATGTTTCCACTTCTTTCTATTCGCACCGCTTGAAACAATCGCAATTAATACCCGATTCGTCGCCTTTGTTGTTCTCTTAATTTGCAGTACTTCCTTCAAGTGAGTTTTGATTTTGTTCTTGGCTTCGCGTATCGGCGCATCAGCGTAGCCATGGCCTCAAGTGCAATGTCCCTCAATCTGATATGATACTGATTAAAAATTTGCACTGCAACTTTCAATATAGAACGAGAGCCCCGAGGAGGAGTCGGAGGACAGGTCATACGCTCTTGAACAGGTCCTTCCTCCGGAGATTCTCGCCTTAGGAGAGGCCTTCCCGACTTCACCGACTAGCTCGCCCGTAGCATATGCAACTAGTCGATTCAACAACCTCGTTGGATATCTTCCCGACCTTCAGAAGGCTACAGCACTTCGCGATATCTATTATCAGCGCGCCGCATGGATGTGAGTCTCTTCTTTTTCCATCTTCCTTCTCCACTAGTTGCCCCGTGCTACCACCCCATTACCCAAACCTGGCCTGAAACTGATCTTCCGAAAACAAACCATCTTCCCGCGCCGCACAGGTACAACCCGATTTCTCGAACACAGTTCGACGAGGAAGTGTTCCAGCACTTCTACAATGAGAGCTACACACCACCGTCGCCACCGAGCGATTCGGCGTCTGCACATCGACTCGCGCTTATTTTCATCGTACTCGCGGTCGGGACTCTCATGGATCCGAGCGAGCCGCCGTATTGCATTGAGGCTGAGAAGTATCACCAGCTCGCACGCGCTGCGCTCTTCAAGAGTTCCATCTTTGATGACCCCACGCTCCATGCTGTCCAAGCACTCGTGAGTCTTGTTGTTCTGCTTCTTTTTGCTATTTCCTTCATTTGTGCGCCTTCCTACCTCCTACCTCTTGCCACCCGCGCTTCCCTGCCCTGATGAGCGCCCATTCTCTTCGAGGCCTTTTCGTACACGCACCGCCTAGAGGCGCCCAAAGGCACCCATATTGGTATATTACACTTCTCGAACCATAATTTTCGGTGCAACTTTACCACCTATCACCTATCACCCCTATCCGACGAAATTGACTTTGCTTCCGAGAAACGTGTCGTCGACGTTATTCGATTGTGCTAATTTTGTTTCTGCAATGCGGCGCATCTTTATGCCGTGCTGTTCACTCTGTAGTTCTTGATGTCCTACTACCTCTTCTTGGCGGACCGACACGGAACGGGAAGTGGATCACGATGGATCATCATGGGCTTTGCCGTGAAACTTGCTCAAAGTGTGAGTAACACTGATTGAACATGTGATAAATTTGGAAAAACTTACTTCGAAAATTTGACTATGTTTTAGATTGGACTTCGTGAGTTATTATCAACTTCGGGAGCCCTTCTCTTCTCGGTGCTAAAATTTATGTGGTTTCTTCGTAGACCGAGATAGCACTAGATGGCGGATGTCCGACTTGGAGACCCAGACAAGAAGAGAAACCTTCTGGGAGCTGTATACATACGATTCGTGGCAGGTTAGCCCAGAAAGTCCTCACTATATGCAGTACCATGAAACTGACACGGGTCGTAGTGTCTAACGTTCGGCAGACCTCCGTCCTTCTCCCTTCCTCACGTTGACTGCAAGTTCCCTCATCCGGTTGAAGACCCGACCGGAGAACGAAGCTGTAAGCGGAAATCTCCCAAGTCCAACCACGAATATTCCTCAATATTAATCACGACATTCTTTACAGTTGACACATGGAAACATCGCTTCTCAGCAGATTGCATGAGCGTCGTGCACGATCAAGCGTTCGGAGCAAAGGCACCGAGTTACCAAACTATCCTTCAACTCGACCGCAAGCTCCGTGCATTCCCTGTGCCTTCAGTACTTCAAGTCGCTGGCTTTGGAAACTCCGACCCTGGCTCAGAACACCCGTCTGTTAACTCACTAGGTTTGATCATGCAGAGACACATCGTCTTGGCTATTCGTGAGATGAGTAAGTCTTTCGTCTCGCATTGATCCAAAGAGAACAATAAGATTGAGTCGGTTATGAAGACCTGTTGTACATGCACAGAGGATTCTTTGCTCGTGCGATCAGCGATAATCCGAAAGACCCTCTTGGTTCGCCTTACGGTACCTCTGTCATCGCAGCGTATCGTAGTGCAGGTTCGCTTGTTGCTCTAGTCCGTGATCTTGATTCGCAGCTACCTGAACCAACGGAAAGGCTGTGGTTCTTGTGGACACACTTGTTCTCTTGCGCGGTAAGTTGCTGTTCCATCGAAAGCACTTCGATGTCGCTCATTCACCACTGTCGATAGGTTGTACTGGGATCCATTGTGACTCGCTGTCCATCGATGAGTCTCGCGCCTTCGGCACTCGTCCAGCTCGACTCAGCTTGTGAGCTCTTCGATAGGGTTGCAAATAAATTCCGTGCAAATAAAGTCCTGGTAAGCACTGCTCAAACTTTCCGGTCCCGAGTCTAGCTTTGCTCATCTTCCTCTTTCAATTCAAGGGTATCATGCAAACATTGCGTCAAAAGGCACATACCTCCTTGCAAGAGTTCAGAGAAGGGAAGATGTCGCCTGTCAGCGCAAATTTGTCTTACAAGATGTTCCATGAAGGTACTCCCGAATTAGATGAGGACGACGAGCTATCGAAGCTCGGGGGGAAGACGCGACTCATTTCACAGAAAGAACAGTCGAAGTCTCCGTCACCATTAGCTCCATCACCACTACTCGTTACGCGCTCACCAAACACGCACAACCCCGTTGTGCCGCTTCCGCTCCCTGACGCGTCATCAGGCGTACATCCCAATGTTGTCGAGTATCTCTCGACGTTCCATTTCCCTGCTGGTGCACAGCAGGGTCGGCATCTCGCGCCGATGGCACACGAGCAGCGGAGCTTATTTACCAACCAGCAGGGACCTGGAATGTACCGAAGCAGTTTCGAAAGCGACGGCGCGGGCGCGAGTGCGATGCACTTCAACTCGAGCGTCGACTTACAATCACCGCTTCCTACGCCGACGTCTGCTTCGTCATCGCAGACAAGCCATCAATTCGTGTTGCCTAACCCACAAGCACAGGGGCACACCACAAGTACCACTGCTACTACTAGTGGAAACCAACAAAACTACTTCCCGCAGTACTTCCCTGTCTTCGACTACGGTACGGCAGCAAGCGGAAGTGGGTCGGGATACGCGCCAATGCAGCTTACAACAACAAACACTGCTGCATTCGAGCAAGATCACCCAATGGCGTATGATAGTGTATCAGCGGCCTCTCAGAATGGTGGGATAAGCCTTAATGGCGGTGCACTGAACGGAATAAACGGTATTGATGCACGGAGCTATCCTAGTGCGAACGGGCATCAGGGTCGACGCGATATTACGCCTGAGGCGAGTATGCACACTGCTTGGATGGACTTTGTCAACCAGATGAGCGCGGGGATGAGCGGATAGCGCTGGAAGAGAGGAGCCTTGTGACTTGTTTGCTCCCTTTTTCGCGCATTGTCTTTCCCGCTCTTTCTCTCGGAGAGATCCTTTGGATCCGGATCTTGTTGACCTTTAGGAGTATTTATAATATCCTTCGGTGCTTAGTTCGTTCGTCTTTACGATACTCCCCCTGTACCAGTTTTTGTTTTAGATGAGTGGTATAACCTGTACCACTTCAGATCTGTTTCTTCCTTTTTTCGTTACCTATTTTGTAATTACTTCGACAGCTTGTCTTCTTGTAAATTACATCGTCTAGTTGCCGTGTAGGCATTTAAGAGGAATAAGAACGAGTATGTATTCGTCGTCATCGTATAAGTTCACCGGTCATTATTGCTTATAAGCGCCAAGCTGAAGTTATAAACAATCTGATATCCCAGATTATCGGTCCGGTGAGGACGAGGCGCGGGGTATGTAAGACGGGTAGATAGCTCCAGGACACCGCAATGATCACTGCCGACGGTGGAGTGCCGGCATAATACTTATAACAACTTGGATGCAACAACGGTGGTATCGGGTCTCGCGGGGGCGATCAGCTGTGTCAGGGTATCAGGGTAGGCGTTTCGTTAGGACACAGAAATCGAGATGAGCGGCCAAATTTCGGTATGTCGCGGTCATCCAAATACAAAGACTTGTATAGATAGAGACCGTTACCAATATTCCAGGAGCGCCAGTCAACGAATGAATAAGTCGTATAATTCATGCGTAGTCAGAATTCGTAATTCTTTAGCCCTCGTCCATGCCGTCCTCGCCATCGCCACCTCCATTGTCCTCCGTTTGATCCCCAGAGACAGGTTGACCCTGCCACCACGCTAACGGTCCGAGGCCCTGTTCCGCAATAGAACACTGAAAAGAAAAATCATCAGAAAGGAAAAAGAAAAAGGAAGCGTGTCAGAATGCCGAATATGACCGGATTATGCAATGCTGTCAACAGCGAACATATGAATTGATAGATTTGTTGCTTGGCAAAACAAAGAGAAAACTCCAACAAGAGAGGCAAGGAGAAAAAGAAACTCGGCTTTTAGAGGAATTAAAAAGGTAACGTACTATGATACTGTACGGGGGTCTCCGGCGTTCTGCTTTCGTGGACATGACACCCTCGGATGCTCTAGGTGGCCCCGGCTCGTCATCGTAGAATTCGTCAGTCTCAACGCGTACACGAAGAACTTCTCCGGTGTCGATATACATGCGCTCGGAAGTCGGTGTATCTAATAACTCGTGCTGAGTGCAGACGTGTTCTGGATCTTCTTCGAGCGGTGCATGTTTAGCAATCCAGAAATACGCTCGTTCACTTGGATCGCTGTAAACGGAAAACGTCAATTTTATGACGTAGAGTGAATGAATTGCGCAAGGACTTACAAAGCTGAAGGAGCCGGTAGGTAAGAAGGAGGTATATGCATATCATCAAAGAAGCCTATGGATACTAGTTTGACGGATAGAAGATACCCCTGAGCTGGACAGCCCCTCAGAATAATGAAAACCCACATACATCGAATTCCTTCTTCATCAGAGGACTTTACTTTCGCTAAAATCACTTCTCCGGAAAAGGGGCGGAATACTACCATTCGGAAGACCACTACGAGAAAATTTCAATACCGGAAGTATGAGAAAATAATAAGTAAACGGTTTGAAAAAAGGATCATACGGACCTCTGTGCCAAAGACATCCGTCACCGTACCTTACTTTTCCTTCGCCAGCCTGTGCTATGTCAAATACGCATATACATAAACCGACGTCGTGGAGCACCCTATTTGCATACTTCTTGTTCAGTTCGTTAATTATTGCTTGTTCTGCCGGAAGTGCAAAAGTTGACGGTTGGAGGGCGACGGTGTCCTGATTGGTACAATTCGCGTCAAAGCTCGTACTCATTCCATTTCGCGGAGCCTACCTTTATCGTTGACAATACAAACATGATGGTCTATGCACAAGATGCATGCAACTAGACGCATGTTAAACTTCTGGAAGAGCAAGTTAAATTTACGCCTAACGGCTGCAGATCAGTATATCACGGGACTTACCGTCTAATTCTGTCTTACCTAACCACATTTTGCTCATTTGCTTTCTACGTCCTCTCATCCCGCTCAGTGACTTACCTGCTCTCCTGCTCGCCGTGTTCACTTTCAGCAAGCACATAGTAAATAACGAGAATGTCACTAGAAGCAGAATCTTCAAGTCCAGCTCCGCCGGAGGTCGAGGCATCGACCCCGAGCTGGATTCCGGCAAAGTCATACAGGCATTTTGTCGCTGGCGGGTATGTCTGGGGTTTGTTTCTGATTTTTCTATGGACGTTGCTGATATATTTGCTAAAGATTGGGCGGGATGTGTGGTGCTATTGTAACAGCGCCTTTCGACGTAGTCAAGACGCGCTTGCAATCCGACCTTTTTCGCGAAAAACATACTAGTTACAGCGTTGTTGGTGCTGCAGAGGGAGGCGGCGGATCTGCCGTACTCATGCCCCGCCGACCTGGAGGTTTGCTTTACAACTTCGTAGAGACGGGTCATATTTTGCGGTATGCAAATTTCAAAATTTACACTAGAAGCACTTTTGACTAAACTCTGCTTTGAACAGCGATATATACCAGAACGAGTCTCCACGAGCACTTTTCAAAGGTCTTGGACCAACGCTCGTTGGCGTCATCCCTGCACGCTCAATAAACTTCTTCACATACGGGAATGGGAAACAAATCATCGCAAATACCTTTAACCACGGTGAAGAAAACTCATATGTTCACATCGCGGCTGCTGCCTTCGCTGGTATCATGACCGGTACTTGCACAAACCCAATTTGGGTTGTCAAAACCCGAATGCAGCTCTCTGCAGAGCGTAGCGGCTCTGTCGAAGGTGCCGCTCGCCGAGCTATGGGGAGCTGGTTCACTATTAAGAAAATCGCTCGAGAAGAGGGTATTAGAGGGTTTTATAAGGGTTTGTCGGCGAGTTATTTGGGTGTGACGGAGACTACGATTCAGTGGACGTTGTATGAACGATTAAAACGGTTATCTGCGAACACGGAAGGTAGAGGTGGTATGTCAGAGTGGCTTGGTATGCTTGGGAGCGCAGGTACGGCGAAGTGTGTTGCTACGCTAATAACTTACCCGCATGAGGTTGGTACCTTTCTTCCCCATATTTTCTGTCTGATATGTAAATAATATCGTTTGCGTCTGCTTGTTGCCTTAGGTCATCCGAACTCGCTTGCGACAACCATTAGTAGATGGCAAAATGAAATACACAGGGCTCTGGCAAACGCTACGTCTCGTTATCGCAGAGGAAGGCGCAAGATCACTATACGGAGGCCTATCCGCGCATCTTATGCGAGTCGTACCGAACGCAGCTGTCATGTACGCAATATACGAAGGCGTACTACGTTGGGGCGCTGCAAACGATAGACACAATGCTCTGCGATAGCCCGGATAATTGAAGACGGTTCTGGTTCTGTTTATTAAGGCTAATTTTTGATGATCCTTCAATTGCTTTCCTTCGTACTTTCGTTAGGCTTTCTTACATGCTACTTAGCATTTTCACCTCACCTTCACCCTCACGCCCATCCTCGCCTTTTCCTATCACACGTCCCCGCAACCCATTTCTACTTCGCACTCCTTCACCTCGCGTATCTCATAAAAGTATGCATACTTAAGCATCCCATTACATTACTCTCATATAGTCCTGATCCACGCACACTTCTGTATTTTAGAATTAATGCAGACTCCCACCCATTAGACAGGATCTTGCACTACTTGCTCGGCGTTCTCGTGTTAATGTGTGTTTGTTGACGTTAACAGAGAAATTGCCGATGCTCAATCCCCACTTCATTTTCTCATTTTCTCATACATACATGCACACATATCATGCAATATAATGTCAAAACTTCCGCCTTGATTGATTGAATTCTGGATAGAGAACTTGAGATGATCACTTAAGTCTATGACTTGAATTAATTTGAATAAACCTAGTTGAATAGGTACAGTTGGCATTGGGCTGTCTATGTCCGTATGCGCTTTCCAAGTACAGCGTGTACCTCCGCTCCAGGATCGCATTTCTTTAGCCGGTCGTAGTCATACCTGTCGAAAAAGTAAGTTATTCAGACCTTTACGAGCAAAAAGAAAGTCAAATGTCTTGATACGTACCAAACGAGCTTAGAATCAGACGTAGCGACGAAAGTACGTTGAGAATTCGACCAAATTGCAGCAGCGAAGCCAAAATGTGTAGGGTGTGGATTATGTGGTTTGTGAGCAACAATTATCTGTACGGTGTATCAGCATGGTATGAGCTTAGACATATATTCTAAAATAAGTAATCAGAAGAAACTCACGGTATCTGGGTATAACAGAGGTCTACGATACTTGATTGAGACTTCGCCGAGTATAACTGAGATGCCTTTCCCTGTTATCATATCGCGAGCTTTTTGTTCGCCGCCGAGTTTGCGCCCCAGGCTCAGAATCCAATGCATTCTACCCTTGGAACAGTGAATTGTCAGCACTTAGAAACGATGAGGAGTGACGATTAAATGGCTCACAGTTTCTAGGAATCGTACTTCAGTGAACCGGTCAGAACGCAACTTGCAATATTATTATAAAGTCTAAGGTACACACAATATCGAACGTTGTTTACATGTCTGTGGCGGATGTTAGAGCCTCTGCAAAATTAGTATCATCAAAGTCCTCACTGAAAGGAATCCATATCACCCCAAACGACTTTTTGTTCAAAGAATGACTCCGGATCGAACCTGGACTCGGCAATTATATAATGAGATGAGTGTCATCAAATATTATTAATAGTGTCGTACCCTTGCTCAAGTAGTTTTTCTCTCCCTTCTTTGTCCGCATCGACGAATCCTGAGGAATCTGCAGGATTGTCCTCACTTGAAGCGGCAGCTTTAGTATGAAGTTCACGCGCAGGGATATATTCTTTCTCCGGGATCACGAATCCATCACCAGGTGAGCTGGGTCCTTGTGACCCAGACTCCAAGTAGAAAGGTGATGATTTATCGCGGAAGGCGGCCCGCAATTGCTGGACAGTGAGTAAATCGTTAGTATGTTTTTGACATTGAAAGTAAGAATTTTCACAGACACCTATGGTGCCCATTCTTCTATAGTTGGATATAGTAGAATTATATGCCCTTTGAGTTAGCACGAGACATCTCCCAGAAGTTCGCACACTGGAGAGCATCTTGCAAAGTGATGAGAGAATAAAGGAAAGTGCAAAAAGTGTTGTCAAGTCACCGTGGGATCCCCTTCTTCTATCCTTCGGGGATGCAACGGGATGTAATAAACGACATTTGTAAGCAGTGGGATGGGATTAACATAATATTTATTAACAAGCATGCTGGCTAGTTACAGTTGACTCTATATTGCTTATTAGACTTTGTTAAGGGACTGATCTCTGTAATAAAGACTCTTACAATGTTAAATAAATATTCCCTCACGATAAATGGATATTTTTGCATAAATCTAGTTGAATGGGCACAATGGGCATTGGGCGGGACGTCTATGTCCGTATGCGCTTTCCGAGGACGGCGTGTGCTTCTGCACCGGGATCGCATTTCTTTAGTCGGTCATAGTCATACCTATTGTCAAAAATAATCACTCAGACCTCGGATACGAATTAAGAGTATGCATTGACACGTACCAAACGAGCTTAGAATCAGAAGTAGCAACGATAGCACGTTGAGAATTCGACCAAATCGCACCAGCGCAGCTGAAATGCGTAGGATGTGGGTTATGAGGTTTGTGAGCGACAATTAGCTACACAAAAACGAGCATTAATATAACGTAATAAGTTTACATATACTCTAAGAAACGTACGGTATCCGGATATAGAAGAGGTCTACGAAACTTGATGGAGACTTCGCCGAGTATGAATGAAATGCCTTTCCCGGTTATCATCTCGCGCGCCTTTTGTTCACCGCCGAGATCACGTCCGAGGCTTAGCATCCAATGTATTCTACCCTAGAAACGTTAAATTTGTCAGTACCAAAGAAATGCAAAGGAACGACGGTGAACTGGCTCACAGATTCTAGAAATCTTACTGTAAAGGTTAGGTTAAAACGCAGCTTGCACTATTAAAGTGTCTAAGATACACACAATATCGAACGTTGTTCACATGCCTGTAATGGATGACAGGTCATCAGTGGAATTATTGCGTGCATACAAATCAAGGCCCTCACTGGAAGGAGTCCATATCTCCCCAAACGACTTTTTGTTCAAAGAATGACTCTGGATCGAACCTGGACTCGGTAATAATATTAATGAGATAGAGAGTGTCATGTACTGAAGTTCGCACCCTTGCCCTAATAACTTTTCTCTCCCTTCTTTGTCTGCATCGGAAAGCCCTGAGAACTCCGTAGGACTCTCCTCACTTGAAGCAGCAGCTTTAGTATGAAGTTCACGCGCGAGGGTATATTCTTTCTCTGGGATGACGAATCCATCACCTGGAGAACTTGGTCCTTGTGATCCGGGCTCCAAGTAGAATGGGGACGATTTATCTCGGAAAGCAGCCTGCAGTTGCTAGATAACATGTATCTGGTAAATACGTTGTTGGTATTGCGAGCGAGGAGATTTAACAAACATCTATAGTACTCATTCTCCTGGTGAAGCATCGAGCTGGCCCATGAAATCGTCGAGACGCTCGCAAACTAGCGAGCATCTTAGCAAGTGCAAGTGATGGGAGAATGGAAGGAAAGTGTGAATGCAGATCTCGACGCGTCAGACGCGATTACCTCACGTGATTGCTGATAGTCCAAAAATTTTGTAGTCATCGCCCTGTCTGTAGAGACCATCTTGAACTCTTTTCATTTTTTTACATTTTCATCTGAGTGAGTACTTTCATCATCTCTTTCCTTTGTTTTCTCTAGGATGAACTCTAGATGACGAGTCCGATATCCTGTTGGGTACGGTTTCCGTGCTCAACAGACTTGTGACGATACATCTATAAATTTTTACCATTCATGCATTTCTGAAACCCTTCATAACTTCCCCATCTTGTATCCAAGACGAACGTCTAACTTACCTCCTCACAGGATGGCGGTGCCTGTACACCGTGATCCAGACTGGTCAGACTCTGACGAAGAAGACGATCGCTCAGATATCGAGACTTCCGTCCTGCTGGGTATACCTGATGGGCTGATAGAGAAACAGGAAGACTTAGATGACGCTGCTGTTTCGCGCATAGGCGGACATCCTGTACGCTACTTTCGTCTATTATTCGATCACATGTATAGTCTGTATTTACAAAGTATCTTATCTATCATTTGCGCATTTTGTTTGTACCCGCCACAAAAAAACCTACGTTGAAAAAAAAAACACCTCGACAAGTAGGCGTTCTTACCGACTACCGAACCGCCTCTATCAAGTTCACAGTGCAAGAACTGCTCTTTCCCGATGGAATTACTTGTCCAATTGTGGTCTCCGTTTGAGAATAGCACGATGGACCGTGCGTTGTATGTCTTTGGCTGTGCTCGCGGAGAGTGCCAACACAAGCCAGGCAGGTAAGCTATAGTTCTTTCATGTCGCGTCAATAATGAGAATAATCTAAGTCAAATGTGATCAATTTGATGATAGTGTTCGTGCATTTCGTGGATTACGTTTCAACGCCGCGTATGCAGCCAAACTGGAGAAAAAGAAAGCCCAGCAGCGCGAGAAAGAGGCTGCCCGAAGAGAAGCAGCGGAAGAAGCGAATAAACGGAAGGAAGCTGCGAAGGTTAACCCATTCTCGGTACGTATCGGGGCTTTCTTGAATTTTAATTTATTTTGTGCTGTCTTTGGAGGCTAACTGATTGAGATGGTTATAGATGAACACCAGTTCTACCCCTACTGGTGGGCTGTTCGGTGCTGCTCCATCCTTTGGAGGCTCCGGTCTGGGCACTCAGCTCTTCGGATCCTCCGAACCCACTTCCGAACTACAAGGCGAAAATGATGATGCCGCCCCTCCCCCTCCCGAATCAGAACCAGAAGACTCCGACGAAGACTCCGATTCCGAAGCTGAATCCACACCTTCAGTCCTCGCCGCCCCAACCCAAAAACCGTCCTCCACCTCCCCGTGGTCATCCATCCCGTCCTACACACCAGCATTCTACCTCAGCACCGCAACGGAGTACGTCCCTCCAGCGCCGAAGCCCAAGGTTCCTATCGCTGCCGTAGACGATGAGGATGATGACATTGGTGCTGGACTTGGGAAGAGTAAAAAAGCAGAAGCTAGGCGTGCCGAGAAAGAGAAGAAGGGTCAAGATGAATTGAAAGGATGGGAAAGCGCGATGGAGGGATACGAAGATAGTATGGAGGTTGATAAGGTGTTTGAGAGGTTTGCGCGTATTGCTGGGTATGAAGGTGAACAATGCATTCGGTAGGTCCTTCACTTAAACTAATATCATTTCATCGAATTCACTTTTCTTTGTCTGTTATAGATACGAACTAGGAGGCATACCACTCCCCTACTCAAACGACACCATCTTCAAGTCTCTCTTCCCTTCTTCCCCATCCACCTCTAGCTCGTCAATCTCAACAAGCACGAAATTCACTCCAGCAACCCCAGCAAATAACGCCAATACACCCGCACGAAGAACATACAACCCAACCCAACCTTCCCTCATCCCACCCTGTCCCCGATGTACCGCACCAAGAACGTTCGAATGTCAACTCATGCCTCACCTAATATCCGTCTTACATTCTTCTTCCACCTCATCAAACTCTACCACAACTTCCTCGAAAGCACCTACGGAATCCTCTCCCTCTACAGCACTACCGCCCAACGACCAACGAGCCATCGAACAACGTAAACGCGAACTCGAATCTCTCCTCCACCCATCAGGCGGGAACAACGACAAACGAGGAATAGGTATGGAATGGGGAACGTGTATGATCTTCTCCTGTTCGAAGGACTGTCGTCTCGCCGAGCCGCAAGGCTCAAAAGAAGAAAAGGAAATGAGGGAAGAGAGAGAAGTATGGGCTGAAGAGGTCGTCCTCATCCAATGGGATGAGTAGTCAACCCATCAATTGGTGGTCAACTGTCAGGGTCACGATGCAAGTGTACGAATATAAAAATCTGATTAGGACATAGAAGTCATAGCATGTACTAAAATATGGTTGGTTGGATTGGAGAGACAAAAATGCATCTATCGTTTCGATTGGTATAAAACGAACACAGACAAGAATAGGAAAGAAAAAGAAAAAGAAATTAATACATAATTAATTAATACTAATACTATAGAGCTTGAGCAAAAAGGAATAAGACATGTGTATGCATGAATATTATTACTGCTTGTTGTTACTTGTTTCTTTCTTTTTCTGTCTTCTTTCTTCATCATACAGTACCTATCACCCCCACCCCCCACCTCTCCCCACATACTGTCCCCATCAGACCAAAACCAAAGCCAATATCATCGGCGGAAGAAAGGTGATAAAGACGACCAGGCAGAAAACTCCCCCTTAAAGAGCAGAGACAAGAAAAAGAAGAAAGATAAGGGTTGCATGATTAAGATATGAGCATGGTGGCAAGTCGTAGCAGGGTATGGAATGGAGTGGTATGCGAATGAGAACACGAACACAAAACGTCTATCATTCCCCAATCCCATAAAACTTGGAACTCGCAATCAAAGTGAATCCGCGCACAGAAAGAAAATCAACCATACCGAATCCGAATATTGAAACTCAAGCATGAGCAGGATGAATGTAGAGACTGAGAAACTGAGAAAGGGAGGATTAAGCAGCTGCATGCACACTCGTCTCCTCCTTACCCTTCCCATCCACACCAGCATCCAGGTCCCTCACCTCCGACTGTGACTCCGTACTAGTATCACTCTTATTCCTTACCCAAATCTCTGACACCTCGCTCAACTTCGACCTATCATTCCCTTCGACCGACGGACTTCTCGGCTCAGCCTCAGCAGGTTGAGACTCCTTCTCACCAACTGGGGGCGAATGAGGTTGAGGTGGAGAACGAGTATAAGTCTCATCACCCTCACCCTCATCCTCATCGTCCGAGCCCAACCCATTCATCGTAGGCTCCTGCTGTCCATGTGCAGTCGGTGGTCTCACCGGTAACTTCTTGTCCTTATTCGCTTTCCCAGTACTGTCTGAAGCTGGAGACTTGGAAGGCGACGTAACAGAAGTAATCGACGTAATACTCGGCGCTCGTCCACCAAAGAACCCTCCAAAGGTACGCGAAAATGCCCCGCCGGGAGTAGCAGTGCTCGGACTTGGGCTGTTGTTCCCTCCATTCCCACTTCCGTTCGAGGTTGATGAGTTGGTCGAGATTGACGGCGCACCACTCGCCGGAGATGTTGCAGAAGAGCCATTAACAGGCGGTGAGACGTTAGTCGAGGACGACTCCCCAGTCGACCCCGATTCCGTGCGGAACAACTTCCCAAACGACCATCCAGCACCCATACCCGGCCTCGCCGTCATCGTATTCTTCCTGCTCGGCGTTTGTTGCCTTTGTTGTTCCTCGTCGGCGCTCCTCTCGGTAGGCAACGGCGGCAACTTCAAAATCCCCGTCGTACTCACACCCGAGTCCTCACTAGCCGCCTGAGCAGCAATAAACGTCCTCAATGCAGATACACACTGCTCCGACGCTTCTCTCGCTTCTTGCGCTTCTGCTAGTTCTTGTTTAGCCGAGATTAGCTCCGCGCGTGCTGAGTCTCGTTCTTTTCGCAGTGCATCCAGTTCTTCGTTGGTATTATTGTCTACTGCGAGTTGACGGGAGTGTGTGGGTGGAGAAGGCGACGTCGACGCAGATTTGTTCGAACCCATCGACATGGGTATACCACCATAAAACGCACTCGAGCGTCTTCCCTTCTTCGCATTCGCATCACCATTACCATTCTCCTCCGGCCACGAGATAGTCCGACCGACTGGTGATCCCGGTTCTGTACCACCACTCTCAAGAGCAAACGACGGTTCGCTGACCGACGAGATTCGTCGATGGTTGTGCATGCGATGAGTTTGAGGTTGATTGGTAGCACCAGAGCCTGTGAGCGGTGTGAAGGAAGCACGTTTCGAACTTGAGGGTCCTCCACCAAAGAGTGTGTTTGCGCGCGAGGTGTCGACGCTCATATGGCTGCCTATAATGCTCGCGCGCTTGTTCTCTGTTTGTAGACGCATTAACGCGCTCCTGTTTAATACACCAGTCGTGTCAGTATTATGAACGAACGAATGAAACGGCTACTTTGCATGACATGGGTAGCCAGCCACTCGCAAACATACCTGCTCTCCTCAAGCTTAGTCCTAAGCATATTAACCTGATCCTCATCATCCTGACTCTTCTTCCTCAACCCCTCCAACTCACTCTCCAACTTCGCACACCTATCAGTCAACAAACTCAACGCCTCCCTTAACTCCGCCTCACGAGTAGGTGCGTTGGCAAGCGTCTCAGCTAACGCGTCGCGTTCTTGTATCGTTCGTGCGAGCTCGATGCGGAGGTTCGCGACGAGTTGTTGGAGGATTTGTGGGTCGAGTGAGACGCGTTTGTTAGCTTGTGCTGCGCTAACACTTCCCGCAGAAGAATCGTTCAATGGTACTTCCTCGATGTCTGCTTCCTCTCCGGCTGATGCGGAATAGCTAGAACCTGATGTTGTCTCGCGAACTCGCAATCTCCTCCGTCCGTCTAATTGCCGATCATAAACACCATCACCACCATCATCATTATAACCATCTTGTTCTTGGTGGTGATCGTGTTCAGCATCAAGCTCTCGTTCCAAGTTGAGTGCCATATCAATAGAAGCAGGACGATGTTGTTGTTCCTGTACCCTACGTGCAAGGTCCTCCTGTTCGCTCTCCGAATCGTTCGGGTTTGCTCGACGAAAGTCGTTGCTCATATTAATGTTATTTGTGGGAGATATGATTCGTTATGAACGTCGCTGTCGTCAAATATGCCTTCTTTGTTTCTGTTGTTGTTGTTGTAGTGTCGTGGACGTGGATGTGGATAAGAGGAAAGGGAGAGTTGCAGTATTGCGGTGAGAGTGAGAGTGGCATGGGAGGTTGCGACGCGGGCCGCTTAAAGCAGGCGTCTCTCCAGCAAAGCAGCAGCAAAGGTCCTGAGGCATATATCATTTCATATAACTACACAGTTCACATTTCTTTTCATATCTATCCTCTTCTTCTCCTGTATACTCTTTGTTCCTTCCACCCTCTATAATCACCCATCCACCTTTCATCAGTAAAAAGAATCAAAACAAGCGAACAAATAAATGAGCAGGAAAATATTAACCAGGCACATCGAACATTGAAACATTAGACATCCAGCCCTCCCTTTCCCTTTGCACGCGCAAAATCGGTATCGGTATCGGTCCTCCCGGTGGAGTCTCGTCATCAAAGTACCAGTCCATCGCACAAGAGAAACCAAGGGAGGGCTCGAAACGCAGAAGAAAAAATAAAACGAATAATTAATCGGGTAAACAGGGAACCAGGTCTCCACTTTGCACACGCGCATATTTGGCCGCCGTGAGTCCCAGCGTCCCACCGCTACTGTTGCCGCTGCTGCTGCGGAGGACCTGAGACCATCCAGTCTGTTTCATTGCATATGTGTGAGCGGGTCCACACAAATAATCCCGTCCCGTTCGTTCCACGGATATCCCCAATTATGCAACCACTCCCGAATTCCGGTCGCCAGCCGAGCACGCGACGCACCGCGTCCTGGATCCTGCGTCCCCGTGTGCTTTTCTTCGCCGACGATTATGAACGCTAATCCGAAGAAGTTTTCCTTTTCCAGCTGTAGAAGCGAAGTTTAGTTATTAGTATTTAATATGTTTAATGAGAAGAGAAGAGCGGGAATGAAAGAAGGAATGAAATTCTCGGAGACGGGGACTTACAGCAAGCAAGAACTCCTCAAGTACTTCCGTTGCCTCGTTTGAATGCAAGCCGTGTAAGTCAAGTGCAGCTTCCGTGCGTTCCTCTTGAGTCAACTTCACCATCTCTTCTCCCACTTCCTTCCCAACAACACCAAGCAACACGCCTAGGCCACCACCACACGCCTTACCGCGAACCGATCGATCCGCAGGATCTGTCGACCACGCAGCGTCTCGTGCACGTACAGCAGCTTCAGATTCCTTTGCTCGTTCACGTACAAGCTTGATAGCAGCGTCTGCAGCCTCAGCACCCATCTTTGCATTCAAATCATGTCCTTCTCTCGAAAACCGCTTCGCAGCTGCACCGTCACCCCTCCGCCACGCATCAGCCGCACGCGACAAACACGCATTGCGCGCTGCACCAAGCTGCAATGCCCTCGAGCGGTACGCCATATACAACGCATTAATCGACTCTCCAGTCGACAACGTCGGCAACAAAGCAGGCGCACGTAACCGTATCCGCGGCGACGGACGAGGCGCAACGACCGTCGGTCTCGAAAACACACTATCACCCAACGCCGCCTTCGCTTCCCTCCGATTCGCCATTTGCGCTGCCAACCCACCCGCACCCGCACCCGCAGCCGATGCCCCAGCAAACTGCGTTGGCACCTTCTTCACAGCGGCCGCAAAGCGCGTTCGGCTAGGATCATGGTACCCTCTATTTCCAGCACGGTCGCCATAGTGCCCAAACCCGCGCCGGACACCGCGTGCATTCTCGTGTCCCAATGTCGGGAAGTCATCTTGCACCGGTTCGCCCGGTGGACCCTGTGCTACCTTAGCTGCGTCGTTCAAACTGGTTTGAGACATTGCATTCTGGAGACCTTGCATGTCCACTTCGTTTGGTAGGTGATGTAGGAATTCACAAGTCTCGCCTTTCGCACAAGTCCCTCGGAGCCAAAATCTGCACAATGCTCTATCCAAGTCATGACTGCACACGATTCACAAATTAGTATAACGAACTTTACTAAATATGGAGAATTGAGACTGACCTAAATCGACAATCCGCACGCATACACTCCCCAGCAAGGAAATACCGACACACCCTATTATTTCCTTGATTCGGCGGGCGTCCCGTCCCATTTCCATACCTCCCTGCAACGCCTCGTGCATTGGGATTAAAGCCTGCTCGACCACCTCGTAACAAACCCGCCTGTCCACGCGGAACAATGTGCACACCGCCGCCTGCATATATAAGGTTTTGCTGACCTTGTCGTTGCCCTCCTGACTGTGGGCTAGGGCGAGTACGATCAACGAGCCACTGCATGGCACGCTCGAAGTCGTATCCGTTCATTGCAAGTGCCTCCTCAAGTTCACTCGGTGCGAGTGTCGAGCCAAATACACTTGTGAGCACGTCAAAAGGTGTCATACCATCTGTAAGTGCAGCCGCCGCATCCGAGTCCATTTCTGGAGTTCCATCTCCTAAGTTGTTGCCGTTTCCATTGCCAACAGCCTGCATTTGCTGTGGATCGAAATGTGGTCCATACAGTGGATCAACATTATCGAATTCACCGAACATGTCAGGATAGGACAACGAAGGGTGAGGATATGCTCCACCTCCCCAAAGTGCAGCAGGGTCTTCTGCTGCACTCGAGCTCGACTCAAATTCCGTAGAATTTGTGGATGAACTGATAGAATGGAAAGTGGGAGCCGAATTCATCTTGGATGGGGCAAACGGATCGAAGGGATCCTCTTCTTCATCTTCTTCTCCAACCTGCGACGATATCCGAAGAGGCGATGTCGGAGTATGCGCACGCGGTGGTGTTCCAGGTGGTAAAAGCGAGTTGTCCGGAATCAATGGACTGGCAATTGCAAGCCTTGACGCTCCCCTCAGCGAACCAGGACCGTGTGCCCAAAGGTCAGGAGAAGGAGTCTCAGTACGTCTTCCTGCGAAACCGCCCGTCGTACCCGGATTTGACGATGCAGCTGAAAGCGGGCGGGGTGTTGGCCTGAATTCGTGAGCCTTTGCGTTTAGCATCCGTGGAGACGAGAGTGGACTAGCAGGTAAGCTTGTTGCGAGAAACGCAGGTGCCGTGTTATGTGGGAACGTCGGTGACGTACTCGGTGAACTAGTTGCTTGCACCATTGCAGTTGCGGTCATATACGACGAACTACTATGTCCCGTTGCAAGTGGAGACATCACAGGCGTATGGGGACGTCGAATAGGTCCGGGTCCAAGCAAAGAAGGCGAGCTCGGCGCAGAAGCTACAGAACTTGGTGAATCTGCACGCGGAGGACCAGGTGCAAGTCGAAATGAATGATTAGATGTGCGCGAAGATGGTCGGGAGATAGGGCGACGCGTCGGTGTTAGGAAGAGAAACGGCACGCCGCTGATATCGTCCTTGTGCGCATGCATCAATTCGAGCATAGGTGCTTCAGTCTGCATTGCCATTGCATTAGCATTAAAATTCATGCAGGGGCGGAAGCGGAAAATCATGAGCAAATTGTTTCAACGACAATCATCCAGCGGGGGATCGGCGCCGAGCGAACCAGACCCCGCATATGTCGGAGAAAAGATATAGACTAACGACTTACCGCCTCGTCGTCCATTTCAAATGTCTTCTTCAGCAGCTCCTTCAGCTCGTCTTCCTTCTCCTCGTCAAGCAAGGCCGCGACCTGGCGCACCAGCTCCGAGCCAATGCGGTTCTCCGGCTCATCTTCGTAAGCATTGTGGTCTGCATCGCTGCTCTCACTGCCCGCCCCACCGCCGTCCGAACTCGAACGGAAGCGGTGTTCTCGCGCAAGGAGAGCTAGCTGTGCGCGTGTATGCGGGAACTTTTGTGTCTGTGGGACGGGCTGATGACGCGGTGCGCGCAGTCCTGGGGGGTCGTAATCAGAGAGGTTTCCGTCGCTCATCGCAGAGCGGCTGCTCCCCAACCTGACCGCTGTAGCAGGTGAAGCAAGCATCTTGGGTGGCAAGCGGTTATAGAATAGCTTTTGTCAAAAATATGACTAGCCACGAAATTGTTCAGCCTGAGTGATGATATACAAGAGCAAGAAAAAAACGCGGGTGATGCAGATGTCTTTAGTCGACGGAACGCTGTCTCAGTTCGAAGTTGTGCTCGTCGGCAACTACACCGAGCTATCCAAGTTCAGAAACAAGCGACGCGTTGCAGGATGAGCTGCTGCGTCGCTGCGAAAGGCTCGTTACGACGCTACCCGTTGAAGGTGATGGCAGAATGGGTCGATGTTTGACTCAGAGCGCGCTGCCAAGTGGTCCAAGCGCTCTGCAGTGTATCCTACGCCGGCTCTGCTACAAACTGGAGCCAGAAAATACAGAAAATAGGAAGAAAAAGGGAAGAGAGAAAGGGAGGATGCAGCAGAGGAGAGAGGACTGAGTCTGAGGAAAGAAGAGCAACGACGTTCCGAGTATGGCCAATCTCTTATGGCACATTTCCCACGCTCAGCCTCTCCGCATTCAATGACACAAAAATATTTGAGATCAATCTGCTTCCGTTCAGGCTCGATGAAGACTTGTCCATTTTTAACCACCTTATGCGTCTAATGGCGAGCCATGGCTCTAAAAGTTAGATATCTTGTTGCGCAGATGGACGCTCTTCTCCTGTTTTTCTTTTATTTCCGTTTTATAATACTGTACCCATCTGTATGGGTACAACCAGGCAGAGTGCGTTACCGGTGGAAATTGGAAACCTAACTATGTGGACGCGTTACAGTTGCTAATACAGACAACCAGACGGACATTGCCGGAAGTTACTATACTACATTAGTATTAGTATATAAATTCAATCGTAACAATCCAATAAGCTTTTCAAATTTTCTAACACTTGTAGTATACAAAAGTAACAAAACTACACTTGAATTGTCTTATATAATATAATGCTCGCTTAAAACTATGTAACACTCCTTAAGGGAAAGCAACTACTGCTATGCGTTACGCGTTACTGCTAGCAACCAAACCACCCCTGCGTTACACGTTACGGTTGTACCCATACAGATGGGTACAGTATTTATCTCATTCATTTGTTTTTACTCTCTTTCACGGACACGGCACGAACGTGATAATAGGCTATATAACCTGTAAAGACACGCATAAACATAGATTGCAACATGTAAGCACGCGGTCCCTGCATGAGCGTGTCCCGGTCGACGCAGAGCTCGAACGACTACGCTGACGGGATGGGACCAGAAGACGGTCTTCGTGTTCGCCGTCGGCGGCATAGCCATCATCAGTTGGTGACTGAATAACCTCTGCACGAACATTAAAGCCCATGCGCTTGGTTGAAGGGGATTTAATCATCAGTCTCGAATGTCCAGCCTCCATAGCGTCTGGGACCAGCGTGTTGTCTTCGTCGTCGTCGTCGTCGTCGTCGTCGTCAGACGACCCGAGTGTGATTGTTCCGGAGCTCCGCCTGCATGTACTGAGACTGAGCCCAGATATACCGAGGCCTATACGCTCGACTTCCGAAGTAGATGGGTATGCATCATAAAGGGAAGCGCGGAAAGTCGAACTAAGGCTGCTCATGGTAGCAGCACGACGACGGCGACGGTCCGTCGAATGCATGTTCTGAATGAATGCGTATTAAAACTTAGTACGCTCAAATAAGAACAGAGCAGAGACACTGACCATGATCTCGCTACCACTATCCCGAACACCGGACTGTTTCCTAATCTCCGTCGATGTCTCATCGTTGGAGAAGTATCCCTCGTCAAGCAGAGATTGAACGCTCAAAGGGGTATGAAACAACGGTGAATAAACGGAGGGAAACACAGCAGCGCATGGCGGACGCGGTGCACGCGGCGGGGTACGAGGTGAATTATTAGGTGACTGCATGCGCGCTAGGGAGGATCGGTGCATAGCCGACTGGCTGGAGCCGGAGCTGCCCAGAGTGCAAGCCATCGCCATAGTAGATGGGGATGAAGGCGAGGTGCGAATACCGAGGCCGACTAGGTTAGGATGAGTCTGTGCAAACTCGAAGATGCGCTTCAAGGACGGGGATGAAAGAGGGGCGGTTGCAGCAGTTCGAGCAGATGCAAACATCTAGACGATATAGGTTTATTAAAGAGGGTAGTGTAGGTTGATTTTGTACTTGAATGGGTAGTGAGAGTAAGGGCAGCGAATTGGTTTGCGTCGAGTAGATGTTCTGTGCTTGATGGGAAATAGCAGAGGAGTAAGCCGCCATTTTAAATCATTCCTTGACCAGCCTCTAGACTAGTCATCCAGCCACCATCCAGGCCAGCCTCATCTTGCTTCCAAAATTCTCTTGACACAGAACACCACTAAGATAATAAAGCATAGTTACATAGCCATGCGCCAGAGGATATAGTAATTGTTCACTTGAAAGGGAAGAGAACTTCGGACAGCACCAGTAGAAATAGCAGTGCAGATCTAGAACGGAGACAAGGAGCAAAATGTCTTACAGCGTCGATCCCATCTTGGGATAAATGCTAATCTATATATAGCGAACGATCGGCAAACAAACAGAAAGAGCATATCCGAATCCAAAAGATAAAGTACACTTTTTCTACCATTTACCTAAGAAAATAAAGCAGTCTAGATTAAACAATCTGTCAGAACGATGATGGAAATCTTACTTATTTTCAAATATGGAGGCAGCTGGCCTGCATGTTATACTCCAATAACAAATTGTGAAGAACACAGCCATTACGCCAAGGTTGATAGTTAGTCAAACTCACAAATTAGACTTACATGGTATAAAAATTGGCAACGATGAATAGAGGAGTGGATGTACGGGAAAACTGGGTGAGATGCAACAGGAATCGGATTACTACTTAACAGATTTGTTCACCCTTGCAATGCGAGAGCGTCTTGAAGCACAATCAAGGACATCCTGCTCAAGATAGGATGCCTGCTACTCGTAGATTCGAGCCTGTCTCAAAACAATAATTCATGTGTTATTGATTAAACTGACCAAGGTAACCGCCTCAACAGAAGAGTTGAACTAAATAACACACAGTTTAGGAATTCGCCTTAGATCGATAGCGGCAGAACTTACAACAAAAAAGGCGCTGAGAAAGCCCATCCTTGCCTGATAGGCTTTCAGAGTTTTACCATGTTTGTCATCGAGTCATCGACTTTGTGTAGTGTGATAAGATCAAAGGGTGTTTTATATAATAAGCGCTCGTAGCATGTGGTGATTATACCGAGTAGATTGCCTTTTTTGGACTGACCAAAGACAAGCGTCAAAAACGAGTATGTGTCCATAGTAGTATAAATTCCTTTTACTTAGGATAAATACTCCAGAATATTGCGGCCCTTCACTTAAACATTCACCTCCATTATCGAGACTCTGTCCTACTCACTTCCTACATCTTATCAATATGACTGCTACAAAGCCAATATTGCCAAAGCGCTTTGGGAAGAGCAAGCGAAACTCAGATACTGGTAGGATTATAGAATACATTCCATCTGCTATGCGTGTGAGCCTCACATCGCGCAAGCAGACTCGCGTACCTCCTTTGTAACATCAACAAGAGTCGGCACCTTGCATGCGGCCACTCGAGAAGACTTCTACCCTGGTATCCTGTTGAAGGTAATGTAAATAAGATTGTATAGGCGATCAACTCTAACAAAGGTTGATTATGATTAGGAGAACATGAAGTTATCGACTCCAGAGGATGACATTCCTGTTCCATCTGCACCGAAAGTAAGAGTCCGGCTAAATCGACTGATCAATGTTCGCATCTGACTGCTTGTAGATGTCACCGATCGAACTCCCCAAGGTGCCTGATTATCACTATTATCTACCAGGTGGAGTAACTCCCTGGACAGGCTATAATCACTGGTGTTATTCTATTGGCAGAGAGGTCTGGAAATGAGACATAGTCATTTAACATACTCAATCTTGTATTTGTACTTGCACACTGGCAATCCATATGAGCTGCTTGTCTGCACGAGCGATGTAAATATTAAGGTTGGTCAAAGATGGCTATGATCCCGAGGAACCCTATAGCAGGACCGAGAACAGTCATTCTGCTGCAAGGTTAGTATATGCGGCAGTTTCATCTAGACATTTCTGGATTAGAAAGAAGGATGCAGTGGACCAGTACCAGTCTTGTATCCTGTGAGTAGAGCAAGGAGACCATACAAACTAGGAATTACACCTTTATTTCTGCAAAATACGTCGGACAGTTAAAGCAAAACAACAAGGGAAATGACACTTACTGCTTCTATGATGGTATTATAGAGTAGCTAGGTGACGACTGTCAATTACTTGTGAACCAGGACCGTTAACCGAAGAAATATCTTGCATAGAATGTGGAGCAAGTCTCAGAAGCTTTTCAAGCTCCTCATTCAATTCAGATTTGGGTAGGGAGGATTGGGCAATTGTACAATACTATCTCACAGTAAGGTTTGGTGCCGTGTGATCACTGATGTTTGAACTTTGTGTGTATATGTGTAGGTGGCTTAAACCATGCTTGGTTTCCCTCGAGCTCGGCTGCATCCGAGCTGATTCATACACTACGCATATTGGAAATAAAAAAAGTTTGATTGCATCAATTGTTTATCAACATATTTTCCCGTTATATCTCTTTATTTCAAGATTTATTCTCGCGCAAGTTTTCTTTCTTTTTCTTAAAATTCATACACGGCTGTCTGTACTTATTAAAACTTGACTTGAATGCTATCAGATCATGCTGTTCCGAGTCTAGTTTTGGGATTCGCGTTCTCACATGAAAATCATCACGTGTAAACGGATCGGCATCTAATGTACCGAATTGTAGAGGTAGAGAAGTTTTGCTTCCTCGATCAGTGCAAATATATAACACCTGCATCGTTTCTTCGCTTCTCCCATTCGTATGCCAGGCGTCAGCCGTGCGCCCCGAATTTTACATAAATGCTGATTACGCCTTTGTGGCGAATATCTTTTACAACAGTGATCTTGCTGTATCCTATTGGTTATAAGGCAGTCTTCTCTTCCTCCAAGGATACTGGCCGGCTTCCGTTGTCTGTTCTCGTGAAGTCCTCTGAGCTTATCGGAAAGTAGGGACCCGTTCGATCCATTTGACTACGGGGGCATAAAGTCATATTAGTGCCATGCAAATGAATGCGGGGAACGAAGCAGCGGAATTTGCGGGATCTCTCACGGGAACTTTCGTATAAAGCACAGCTTCCACATGCTAGCTTTTCCTCACTTCTGGCACGACTATTTCATACACGAGTGCTATTCTGCAAGAACCTGAGATATGAACTTCTCTCCTGACTTGAAATCCTTGCTTGCGCAAATGAACTCGGCATTGGGACTTAACAACGTTGAGGACCGTACACAGTACTATTCCCTCCTCATGGCGGGGGTGTGTATCGCGATTGTCTCTCTGCCCAGACTTTTCAAGAATCGGAAGCTCGAAGTAAGCTTCCCACACACGTTGAGAAGTTTAGCTGATAAAACTCTACACAGGTTAACGTACCTATCGAGGGATCCTCTGGTGTTGTCTCATCGTACATCGACGCGTATGATTTCATCGCCAATGCCAGGTCTGTTCTCAAGCGAGCTTATGAGAAGGTCTGTCTCGAGTCTATGGACTTACATGTGACGAGGCTCATTTGTACTCAACACTCAGTACGGTCATGGGACATTCAAGATTCCCGAAATGAGTCGGTACACCGTGATAATCAACAAGCGTGATGTTATCGAAGAGATCAGGAAGGCTCCTGACAGTAAAGCCTCATTCGACGCGGCGATGGCTGAGGTAAATCAAGGACTTCCTCGCAAATATTGCATACCAATAGCAGCCATATTTTCGCAGGATTTCGCATTTCGATGGACACTTGGAGAGAATCTCATTAAAGATACATATCACATCACGACTGTCCGCAATCAGCTGACTCGCTCGTTGGGTTTGCTATTCGACGATGTCCGCGACGAGATTATGCGTGCCTTCCACGACCTTATCCCAGTTAAGATTGATGGTGCGACAACAGGCCGATTCTCTTTCTTGAGTAACAATAACTGACGTGAAGATCAATTTAGATTGGGTCGCCTTCCCTGCATTGGATATGGTGAGGAACATCGTATGCAGAGCCAGCAACAGGATATTCGTTGGCGTCCCACTTTGTGAGTCCTAATCAACCTTGCAGAACTAGCAATTCGAGCTTCAATCTTTTTCCTCTTTGTAGGCAGAAATCCAGAGTTTATCGACCTGAGTATCAATTTTACAATTGACATCATGAAAACGGTATTCATGATCCAGGATACGCCAGTCTTTTTACGCCCGTAGGTGTTTCGACGGTGCTAGTCATGATTGGCAGTCGGCGATTAATCTTCACCCACAGTATTGTCGGTGCATATTTTAGTCCAACGGCTCGAAGTGTCCGTCAGGCCATGAAGTTCCTTCGCCCTCTTTTTGAGGAGCGATTCCGAATGTATGATGAAAATGGTGATGATTGGCAAGGAAAACCGGTGAGGTAGAACATACCCAATGCACCGAACAAGAGACTAATAAGTTGAAGGCCGACATGATTTCGTGGCTAATTGACGAAGCACCGGTGAACGAGAAACGAAGCGTTCGAGATCTCACAACGCGGATGCTTGCAATAAACTTCGCTGCTATGCATACGTCTTCGAATGTGAGCAACTCGTCCTTCCTCGTAACTATTTACCGATTCACCTCATCATGGTTGAATACCAGAGTTTCACTCATGCCTTGTTCCACCTTGCGGCGGAGCCACATTACATCCCTCCGCTACGGGAAGAGATCGAGCAGGTAATTAAGGAGGAAGGATGGTCAAAGATAGCAATGACGAAGATGTGGAAACTTGATAGCTTCATGAAGGAGAGCCAGCGGATAAACGGCATCAACCTCTGTAAGTCCATTTTTACTAGATGTATACAGTCCAGCGATTGCTGAAACTATTATCTAGTATCCTTGAATCGCAAGATAATGTGCGACTTGACCCTACCGGATGGCACCTTCCTGCCCGCTGGCACATTTGTCGCCGCGAACTTGGTAGGAGCGCACCGCGATGATTCTCACTACCCGGACGCAGATAGGTTCGATGGCTTTCGGTTCTCGAAATTGCGCGAGCAAAGCTCCGAGGAGGGTGTAAAGCACCAAATGGTCAATACGAGTCCAGAATATCTAGCATTCGGACACGGACGCCATGCCTGGTACGTCTGTGTCCATCATACTGCCTTGATCTCCGTAATGCTTACTCGGCGCATTCATTCTTTGTAGCCCGGGCCGATTTTTCGCAGTAAACGAGCTCAAAGCGATGATGGCATATTTGATTTTGAATTATGACGTGAAGACAGAAGTCGAGGGAGTGCGACCGGAGAATGTCTACCATCGTGCTCGATTGAGCCCGAACCCAAAGGCCAAGGTCCTTTTCAAGAAACGTACAGATGCATAAGTTGTCATTTTTCGCACTGTTGAATCTGTCAAGGATTCGGCGTTTCATTTCATATTGCCATTTTATCTCCTCTGTTGTGCTGGTCAGTAGGACAAGAATGTATGCACTCAATTATCAGATATCCCGTAGTGCGCCGTGTTGTAGCGTCTGGAGGACACGGAAGGTCATGAGGTCCAAGGAATAAGTATATTCCTGAATAGGAACTAAGCAATGGATTACTTCCAGAGCCCAAAGTGACGCTTTTACGATAGAACATAGTGCAATGCACTGTTTTCAGTGTTTCGGGATAAGTCTCGATTCCATATATCATACACTTTGAGGAATTTCGTTTTAGAAATTTTACTCTGGCGAATTTATCAGACCGAGTTAAAACAGCTTGTCTGGATAGGATTCGTCTCTTGCTTGACTTTTTTTAAAGCTATCATGTGCCATTGATTAAGCTGATCAAGGTGAACGCCTCAACTAAGGATCTGTACTAACTTAATTATGCACGTAGTGGGAAATAGCCTTTGATAAACAATAGAGAACAAGCAACGAAAGGGAGGTAAGGAAATCCATTCTTGCTTGATAGGCTTTCAAGATTTAGCTATGTTTGCCATTGACTTTGTGCAGTGTGATTTGTATCAAGGGTGCTTTCCATAATAAGCGCTCCTTGCATGCGGGTGATTATAGCGAGTAGATTGCCTCTTTAGGAGAGATAAAAGAAAAGGCTCAAAAACAAGTATGTGCCCATAGTGGTATAAATTCCCTTTACTTAGGGCAAAATGCTCCAGACAATTCCAACGTACCACTTACACTTATATCCCCATTATCGCTGCTCAGTACTACCTATTTCCTCTATCTCTTCAATATGACTGTCAAACAGCCTATGTCACTAAAGTGCCTTAGGAAGAAAAAGCGAAACGCAGAGCCAGGTATGATCGCGAAATAAATCTCATTTAGAACTTGTGTGAGGCTCACATCGTATGAGCAGACTCGCATAGCTCCCTTCCCGCACCAACGAGGGTCGGCACCTTGCATGCGGCTACCCGAGAAGACTTCTGCCCTGGTATCATGTTAAAGGTAATGCAAGCAACATAGCATAGGCGATCAGCTCTAACAATGGTTGATTATGATTAGGAGAACTTGAAGCTCTCATCTCCAGAGGACGACATTCCCGTTCCATCTGCACCGAAAGTAAGAGTCCGACTAAATCGATTGATTAATGTTTGAGTCTGACTATTTGAAGATGTCACCGATCGAACTCCCCAAGGTGCCTGATTGTACCTATTTCCTACCAGGTGGAGTTACTCCCTGGACGAGCTATGACCATTGGTATTATTCTATCGGCGGAGAGATCTGGAAATGAGACGTAGTTATTTAACATTTTCAATCCTGTATTTGTACTTGGACACTGGCAAACCACGTAAGCTGTTTCTCCGCACGAGCAATGTGAACGCTGAAGTTCAGTCAAAGATGGCTATGGCTGTGAGGAAGCCTACAGCCAGACCATAAATAGTCACCCTGCGGCAAGATTGGTATAGGAAGCAGACTAATCGTCGCGCCTAGCCGTCTAGCATAGCACAATATGAGATAGCGAGCGGCATTAAGGTCAATCACAGCAACCATAGGAGACATCCCGACATTCCTGAGTTGAAATGATGAATAGCACATGACGAGCCAGCACTCTTGCGCCCAGCTGATAGTATAATAGCTCCGACATAGATATGTGAGAGTATAAGTGCTTGGTTTTGGCAGCATGCACATACATGAAACATATGAGTAGAGCGAGGAGATCATAATAGCTAGGAATGATACAGTTATTTCTACAAAACTCGTCAGACAATTGTAGCGAGACGAAGCGGCCAATGACACTCACTGCTACGATGATACCCTCATAGCGGGTCTTGAACCACGCCATTGTGTCCTCCCTCTTAACGCGGTGCTGGAACCCAATGCGTGCCCTCTTCGCCTTTCGCTTTGAAACACGATCACCCGGGCGTCCCATCACAACGTAGAAGTCCATACCGAAGATACCGATGTTGGGGTCGTAACGTGCACCCAAGTCGATATGCTCCGTAATACCAAAACCAAAGTTGCCCATCGCAGAAAAGTTCTTGCGGCGCAACTCGTATTCCTTAACCTTCAAGCCTCGCTCGAGAATTTCCTCTGCTTTTGGCCCACGGATTGTAACGTGTACGGCGATCTTTTCGTTTCTACGAATACCAAACGTACGCACGGTGTATCGTGCTTTTGAAGTTACTGGTGTCTGACCAGTCAGCTGCTCCAAGACTTTTGACGCACGGGTCAGACGATCGCCAGACTCGCCAACTGAGATGTCTGTGAATGCAGGTTAAATCATGAGACGGCGTGCACAAGTACTAGACGCACTGATGACGAGCTTGCTGATACGCAGCTCTTTCATAGGATTAACGGCCTTGGGTTGTGCAGCCTGCATAGAGAGTTAAAGTCATCAGACTTACTTTCTCCTTCGATTTAAAAGCGACATACCATGTCGTCGAGATGGTCTTGAGGATGTTTAACGAATAAGCAAACAGTGTCCAAACAAGATTTCCGCTGCCACGCTGCTATATAGTTTTGTTCCATTTTGGACTGGTATACTCACGATTAGATTTCTTATGTAATGTACAGTCTATTATGTATTTATTCGGAATTTGTTACTTGCGTCGAAACAGCCAATTCTGATTGATTGATGCTTGCATGCATTGTGCATTCCTAGACCATTTCTTTTCGAGCGTTTTTTTCGTTGAATCCGGCAATGTCTGACTGTCGCTTTTCTCTGCTGCTTTTGATGCTGTCTGATTTACAACCTGCCTCTCCTGATAGACATTACGTTGGTAATCTGAAGCCACGTCGTGCTATAAACATTCCCTTGACTCCGAATTGTCCTCTTATCCTTCATATATAATTACTTTTCATGATGGATTGGTCTCTACATAAGGGGTTTCCAATGAACGAATCATCGCGACCGGTCGCCACAAAGGAAAAAATATTGCAATACCAATCCTAGTCGTTCGAGTTTTGCCCCAAGTGTGTAACAGGACCCGTGTTCAAAAAGCCAGATGCTCTGATGGGGTTTGTATGCTTTATTGTGTTGCAGTCATTATAGGTGCAAAACCGTTCTGCTCCAGACCGGATATACGAGTAACTTACAGGGGTTGCCACAATTTGAAGTAAGTGCTTTCCCGAGCCAGTGATCTGCAGAGTATAATACATTGTTGACGCTAAATCGTACAGCCATTTCAATTCATGTCCGACATTCCGTATCTCCGTAGAGTTATCTCGTATGGCCCTGCGGTCCGAGCGCCTGATAGGTATTCGGACCGTGGTGGCGCTCAGTGATTATTCAAAACCCTCTATCGAATGAGAATGGGCGAATCATCCACGACTCCGGGAAGCTCTATAGACTTTAACTGAGCACGCACGTTAGCCAAGGCCTTTCGGAAATGCGGAGCGCTGGCCGACCTTCGGTGCTCCGGGGACGGTCACTATCTCCTGAGTCGACGAAGAGGCCAATTTGACCTGTCTAGTCATCAGACTGGAGACACCTGAAGGCGTAATTCAGTTTGGCAGACCTCGAGCGGGTTGTCCATGGCGAGTCCTGCATTGATGTTCGGTGCTCTGCTTGGTGCAGTGCGGGAGTCTATGAAGTCTAGTACTGCTGTGAGTTCTGGAACGTTTATGAGTGGTTGATACTGGCGAAGAGTTCGTACTGTTCAGAGCATTTCTGCTTGTCATCCTGCCCTTCTGCTCGGATTGTGTCGTGATGGCGGTCATCTCGAATAGCGTCTTGGGACTATGGATCGGAAGTGGACTTTTAAGGCCTGAGATTGAATGGAAGATAGTTCTGGGGCATTCTGTACGTCGCTGTCGACTTATATACCGGACTACACGAAGGCGTATCGGGCATTCGCAAACCATATATAGCGGTGTTTCCCCGGAGTTACACTCCTAGAAGCGACGATAGGAGCAACTTTGTGTTGAGAGGTACGGAGACGATGACCCTCTACGGTCCGATTACGTCCTGTGTGGGATTGGACAGTATTGAGTGCCAATGTCCAAGTGGCTATCTCCTAGATCTATTCTAAGGTCTCATGAATGTGCTATACTAGTATGTACCCTAGATATACTGGGACGATATCATGGTGCGGGTTTACCCTCGTCGACGGAATGATAGCTTAATCCTTGTGTTCTAATAATAGCCTGTTTGTCCGACTTTTCAATATTTAATTTTAAGGATCTGTATATATGATAATCCATCACTGTCCGGGACTGCGGGAGCTACAAGGGCCTGAATGTTGTCAATGCTTTCGTCATGATAAAACCAATGTCCTTGAGAAAAGTGTTGCCTTGAACGATATTAGTACAATAAGTACTGGTACTGCATGAAGGTCCATTGTAAGCAGTCAGCCGAATGGAAGATTGTTTCCCCCTTTTCCAGGAGCGTTTAAATTTCAAATGGATTAAGGTAAGGAGTGGTATGGAAATTGACGAGGGATTTAAGTCGTGCACGGAAGGTTTTAATGCTAAAGTTTGAATCTGTGATGGATACGTAATCATCAGAAAGTTGCCTTTCTTGAACTTGATCTCCTTCAAGCTCGTCCTCTCTTCACCTGGTTGACAGGCAAGACCACTGTATTCCCCTTTCACTGGGGCATCTCCCATCACCGTCTGTTTTGACAATCGATTGGCCTCTCTTTCACTTTTTGTCTCTCGTTTTCGCAAACTGTTTTAATTCCAGAACTAGAACCGTCGACTGCTGGCTCAGCTTTACATGACACACGTCTCTTGCATCTTCGAGCTTCGGGTGAGTCCTTTCTCTGAACAGCAGATGTAAATATATGCTGTGGGGGTACCGAAGAGGTGCTCCTGTTGCTAGTTAGTCATGAAGATGTGCCCAGCCGGCGATAGACGTTATATACGCACGTTGTTTGGGCATGCGCTCTGTGTGTACAATCACGATTGTATATCACATCTAGCTTTGCTGCCACTGCTGGTCTCATTCATTCACTTCACCAAACTGACTGCACTCAATAACTCCACAGAACAAAAATGCAGGCACATCGTCCACGAAGACAAGACACGTTCGATCTGCGTGACCAGATGCACCCGGATGACACGAAACACGCACACCAGCAGTACACTCAAGGCGGTGTCATATCTGAATCAGAGCATTCTATTATGGAGGATTCCTCAGATGCGGAGGGTGAAGATCTCGTTCAGGAGGGTATGGAATCAATGGACCATACTTACGGTGCAGAGCGGGATCATGACTTGGACGACAACGAGGAAGACGACACTATTGGAGACTACATGTCCGATTCGTCTTCATCTTTATCCATCCCAAACGAGTCCATAGACTTTGATCTCGTATATTCTCTGACAAACTTTGCTGCGACCGTCGAAGGCCAGGCGAGCGTCGTGAAGGGCGACAGTCTTTTTCTCATGGACGACAGTAATAGCTACTGGTGGCTAGTACGTGTTCTAAAAACGCAGGAGGTTGGATATATCCCCGCGGAAAATATAGAGACTCCTTTTGAGAGACTCGCGCGATTGAACAGACATCGTAATGTCGATGTAAGTGACATTCATATTGGGAAAATCACATTCTTATTCTTTCGGTAGCTTGCTTCAGCGACCCAGGCCGAGATGGACAGTATTAACCCGGCTGCTTCTAAGTCGTCTCGAACTCGCAACCGTGTACAGATTTCTGCGCCAGCATCTGACTCTAATGGGGGTGAAGACGGTAAACGCGGTGTTGCTTTCCATCGGTCGTCGAGTATATTCCGATATCCTCCCGCTGTTTGGAACGAGGAAGATGAGGAAGGAGAGGGAGAATGGGACGAAGATGACGTCGAAATTGAGGACGCTCCAGTAAAGGATACGTCGGGATCAGCTGAAGATTTTCAGGCGAACAACAACGAAATGCAGACGGACGTGGAGAGCGTCGAGAGGTCGGCGACAAGCACTGAGGACGTTGAGATGGAATGGTCAGATGCACGGCGACAAAATGTGCCAGCTGCGTTGCGCCCTGTGGCGCATGCTGCGACGCAATCTCAGCAAGTTCAACCTGACCAACAGCAAGTACAGCAGGCTCAACCACAAGCACAGCAGCAGGCTCAACCACAAGTACAGCAGCAGGCTCAACAGCAGGCGCAGCAACCGGCACAGCAACAGCAACAGCCTCAGTTGCGAAGTCAGACGTCACGAGAACGCTTGATTGCGCAACAGGGCGCACAAATGGGGCAGCAAGAGGCACGACCCACGCAGATACTTGATCCTGCGCAACAGACGGAAACCAAGAAACTGGTCATTACACCCTCCATCGCAAGAGACGAACCCGTCAAGCAGGAGCAAGAGCAACAACAGCAGCGGACTCCCGGACCTTTATACCCAAGTGCTATTATTCAAAAGCAGCAGGAGAAACTCGAGCAGGAGCGAAAGCGTGCACGAGAGGAGATCGAGGCTGCCGAAGAAGCTGCACGGAAACGCGCTGCAAAAGGCAGAGATATTGGACTGGGACCCGCCCCTGTCCAGCCACAGGCACAACCTCAGAAAGAGTTGACGCGTTCAGCCAGTCAGGAAACACGATCATCCGCAGGATCTGTCCCGAGCAGCGGTGGTAAATTACGGAAGGAACGCAGCGACAAAGATAAGGAGGCAGAGGACAGCGAGCGAGACAGTTCGAAAGAGAAGAAAAAGAAGGGTGGTGTATTTGCTGGGCTCTTTGGGCGCAAGAAGGACAAAGAGAAGGGCAGCAAGACATCAATCGAGAACATTGCAGGAGCTGCAGCTGACGGACGGTTAAGAAATTCGGAGGAATCTAGCGCCACTGTGTCTTCCAGCACCCACTCTCACAACCAGTCATACACGAGTTCACCACCCGAATCTGGAAGGGGCGTTACATCACCTAGTCCGGGCGCTCGTCAGACGGTTCAGCAGCGCGTCCCGACGCCCGTGCAGCAGCCACAAAGGAATCAGTCTCCTACTCCAGTAACTCAGATGCCCCTACAGCCATCAATAACTTTACAAGTCTCACAACATGCTTCCTCACTCCGAGAGCGTGATCAGCAGCAACAAGCTCTGTATTTCGAGTACCTCAAACGTTCACCATCGGCGCCTGATCAGCCTTCATATGCCACGCAATCAGCCTCACTTGTCATGCCCACCCAAGGATCCGGTTCAATTTCGGGTTCACCCAATACATCAGGACTTGGACTGGGACTTGCACCCGTTAACTCCTCCTTCCGTACGCCGAGTGGTAGACCAGGTTCTCTCATCTTGTCTCCAGCGACCGGTCCTGATGGGCAAAGCGGCATAGGCTTACCAGAACTCAGCGTCATTCGAGTCTTTGCAGGCGACAACTTGCAAAGCGATGCAACTTTCAAGACGGTGCTACTCAATTCATCGACAACGGTCGCTGACCTAGTGCGTCAGTCGATGCAACGGTTCCGTCTCGCTGCCGGTGAAGATGCCTCAGACTATTATTTGACCGTTAAGCAAGTTGAAGGATCTAGTTTAAAGCTTACGTCCGACATGAAGCCACTTGGCGTGTTTGAGCAGCTTGTGGAGGAGGCGGAACAAATGCCGAAGACAGTCAAGCGAAGTAGCATGGGCAGTATAAGCTCCGTCGCAAGCAACCTATCCGCTCACCCTGCAATCCGCAAACTTAATATGAATGACTTTACGGATGACTCAGCAGTTAAATTTTACTTGAACCGGGTTAGCGATCGAGACAGGGATGAATCAGATCTTACTGATTCCTCTGGTGCAGCCAGTAGAACCGGAGCAGATGGTGATGGACGAGGTCGTACCGTATCCGCTTCAAACTCAAGCCTAAGCAGTGGCAGCCCAGAAAGATTCAGCTCTCCTTCAGTTCGGTTCCCGATGCAACTGATCATATATCCTAATGAACTGCCCGACAATATGGTCTTCGATCCACATACCGAGGCTATCGTCTTCAAGGAGACTTTACGTGACAGATCGGAATCAAGTGCTGCTGTCAACCCTGGTGTTTCTCAAAATGAGCGGAAGAAGTATTTCAGCTTCCCGAAGAACATTACGGTTGCGGAGGTCATTGAGCTTGGATTGGAACGCTTTGGCATCTTAGAGGGCGTTGTCGATGGAGGAGATGAAGTTGAAGATAAGTTAACAAAGCGGCGTAGTTCCTCCCGTGTGCGTTACACCTTGACGGTTAAATTTGATGGACAAGGTAAGGGAATGTATCTCACTTTCAGTTCGTCTACTGATCACCTGATAGAACGCGAGCTGCAGCCATCGGGCAAGGTTATAGATGCTTTCCCTCGTCCACCAATGTTTAGGCGATCAAGCGAAATGAAGCGCCGTTCTGTGGATTCGGCCCAGCTTCTCATGGGATCTATGGAGGACATCCAGAATGATGATCCCTTATTCATCTTGCGTCGCGCCGTTGCATACAGGTCTACGTCAACGCGCCACCATCGACTTTCTGCTCCTCTTGATGAGCTTGCGCTATCTCACTTGCATCGCGATTCAGCATCGTCTGATTCAACTGTGACCTCTCCCAGCGACACAAAGCCTCGCCAGCTATCTCGTCAAGAAATCATTGCTGCACAGCGTGCTGCATCTAGAGCAAATCAGAAAGCAGTTCTGTCGACTCAGGTTAACTCCCAGCGCGGGGTTGACGTCATGCTGCCTGACAAGGCAATGCTTCGTAGTCAACGAGTTGACACAGATAGCAAGATACGTTACTCGTACATGCAGCCAGATGGCGAGACATATGATATCAGCGATATTGTGGAGGAAGAGTTCAGGGCATCGAATCCATCTCAGTCGCTTAGTGCATCAAGCTCTGAGGGTTCAACAAACGACCTTCTAAGCGGGGCTATGAAGGGATCACAACCGAGCGTCTTAATCAACCGTGTCCTTGACAAGATAAAGAACGGGCCAGTCACCCAATCACACTCAACGTCGACGTTCCGTTCGACTTCGCCTTCCATGTACTCTGAGGATGGTCAGAGCGATGGCTCTGGTAGTCGGGCTGCGACTCCAACTGCATCGGGGATGGCGCATCGTTCAATCACCCCGACTGCAAGCAAGGATACCAGTACAGGCAGGTCACGATCTGTCACCCCTACGGCTGGTGGAACAGAAGAATCGGAAAGCCCAACACACCGCCATTATCAGCCGTCCATTGAATCTGTATTATCAGATGTCTCAGATTATCGTACTGCAGCTTCAGGGACGCCACTCGCTATGGCTCCATCTCGCGCTGCGATGAGCCCTTCGCCTATAATGGCAAAACGACCTAAAATCCCGAAGGATGAGTTTGGACTAACTGAGATGCTCGCTGTTATCAAAACTAGGGCTATGCTTGGTAAGGAGCCGCGTCCACCCTCACCGGACGAAGTGGAAAAGTTGTACTTTGGCACACCTATTGATCTTGAGACTGTTCATCCGCAAGTTCGCGATGTATATGCGGGGACGTTCAAGAAGATGAAGGAGATAGACATGGTGAGTTTCTGACTTTCGTATTGATGCCATAAAATGCGTATACTGATACTCGAGCGCGTTTAGGAACTCGATACCCTATTACAGAAATCTCTTAGTCTTTTTTGATACTCTCCGTTCTTTGATTGCTTTCGACTTTGTGGTGTAATATGTTGTGACTATTTATTGTTCTTTGGATAACTTATGTAGAAACTGCATTCACTCCTTTTATCAACTGCTCGTGCAGATAAATTTGATGCATGCGAGATGAAGCAAGGTCGTAATCAGACGTGAATTGAAGAACACGCTGAGCAAGAAAAGTCCAGACACCAGTCAGTATTTGCAGTGTTGCACCGATCCTCAAGTCCTCAACATGCCTTGCGATGAATCGACGAGATATAAAGTCTAATTGGACTTCTAGGTTATTTCGGATGTTTCTAATCAACCAAATGTATAGTGGTTTGGAAAGGCTGCAGGCCGTTTGGCGTGACACGAATTAAGCATAAATAAAAATAAAAATAAAAATAAAGGTACAAAGGCAGTGTATGACAATATTATTGCGGTGGATAGCATATGCAAGCTCGAAGGAATCCTCCAGAAGACGGCGGTATATAGCATGGGATACGATGCGGCGACATAATACGAATAATCAGTTGACCGTCACCTTCGTGTTCGCGGTGTTCGCGATACCGACGCGGTTGTTCGTCGTGTCGTACACTGAGTAGAAACGTTCGAGGAACGAGTAGCCATTAATGAAGTCAAGACCCTTGCCGCTGTTGGATCCAAGCTGAATAAGGGAGAGATTGATGATCAGCACAACAATTCCGATGACAGTTAACAAAGAGATAGTCTACTTACGTCGGCGATAACAAGATAAATACCGTCTGAAGAACCACCAATGAACTTGTTAAGTGCACGAGGCCAGATTTGAGCATTGGCAGTGAGCTCGAATTTGGTATTGCCAATGTTAAAGTATAAGCTCTGGAGCTTCTCGTACTGGTCGTTCGTGATCTTCAGCAGGCCTGTCTTGCCATCGAGCGTCGCACCAGTAGCCGATTCGTAGCGGCTGAACGCATCAGATGCGAGTAGGGTAAGGGTGGTTCCGGTGTCGACGATTCCTGCCGTTGAGGAAAGGATGTTTTGGCCAGACGAACCGTATGTGATGCTCTGGTCAATCCCCCAGTAGTTTTTCGCCGGAGACGATTTCGTGATAGAAGCGTATGTAATGTCCCCAGTGTATTTTGACTTATCGATATCTCCGAACGTGAGCTCGCCGTTCTTGTTACCCGTCGTAGTAGTAGGGTTGTATGAGATACCGATGACCTCTGATTTAATTTTCTTTTGTGCGTAGAGGTTGTCGGCGACGGTTGGAACCTTCTGACTACCAGTGACGGTGCCAGAGGTCAAGGCGACGGGTCCAAGACCAAGAATTCCGTCTACACCGTCTGAGACTCCGCTTGCCAAAGTAGCTACGCCAATCATCTGCTTGTCGATGACGAGCGAGTCAGAAAGCGAGACTGTGTCAGTGTCTGGAAAGAAGGAGTTGAGTGAGAGGTTCAGGGACCGTGTGAAGCAAGGACTTACATTCGATGCCTACAATCTTTCCGGAGCCGTAATTGACGGTGATTGAGCCTCCAGTTGCTTTACTGGAGCTAGTCTGTGAATATGGCTTGCCCGCGCCCACCTAAGAATCATAATAAGTATTTAACATGGTTTATACGAAAGATAGATGACTAACCCAAGTGTTCGAAGAGCCCGTATCAATTAAGAGATTATAGTCCGTCGCGGGACTACCAACGCCAACAGTAGTAGTATACGTCACCGCAGTGTTGGTGACGTTGATGGTCGATGCCCGTCTCAAAAGATTAGTCGAGTCGGCCGTATTCGGGTCTTGGGCGTTGGCATGGTCCATTTGCTTGCCTTGCTGCATAAAAAATGCAGCGCGGGTACGGTCAAGCTCTGCGAGTGTCGTGCCGTTTAGGTTTAGATTCACGGCGAAGGGTAGAGTGACACTCGATGCGTCATCCCGTATCGTGATAGGGGATGCGGCGACGGAAATTGCAACGAGGGCGGTAGTAAGAAGGGTTGATGAGGAGAACATTGTTATGGGCTCGAATAGTTATAGAGAGGTAAGTTGGGTGAGTTTGGTGGGCTTTGCGATAACGAGTGAATAGCTGCAGATTTCGTCCTGCAAAACCTCTCGAATTTATACATTTTCCTTCCAGCATCACGTTTTCTATTGCCGTATTGTTTTGCCAGAGGCTATGACACAGTGGAGTAAAGTAAGACAGGAATTCTGAATAGATGGTACCATATGTTTATTGTAGATTAAAATCTTTACAATAAAAGTCAATTAACGCTTGACTGTGAGTCTAAAAATAGAACTCACTTCAATGTCTCAGAAGAGGATCGTCTGATTGTAGTACATAGCATCCCACCTCAATGGAAGCTTAACCTATAGCTTCTATTGCTAAAAGCTTGTTCCACCGTTCTTCTACTCCTTGAAAGTTCGGCCTAGGCAAAGATTCTGGAGTCGCCCAGGCAAGTTGTGGTGCAGAGACTTGCCGATAACATAGGTTGATAATAAAAGTTTGGACATTTAGCGAAAGGCAGCAAACAGGAGTGGAGTGCTGCTAGAAGACTGTCATGAAAGAGTGAAACCACGAATAATTAAAGCTTGAGGGCACGAGAAGAGTGGCTCTTGTCCAGAGGCGCTGTTCATGCTTCATTCGAAAAAACAACCGTTTTTGTATTCAGACCTTTGGACCATGAAGACGACAGTACCAGACTAAGCCAAACCAAGCTTACGGGTGCACAGTTTCAAGGCAAGAAATATTTTAACTGGGAGTTAGAGTGGACTCTGAACGTTGTCAGTACGATTTGACTCCGATGGGAGCTAGAGTCAAGTATTCGAAATTCGGCCTTCGGCATAGGCTGATAAATCATCACGTGACTAAAGTTATCGGGCCGGAGACAATATTGAAGAGAGACATAAGAGGAAATTAGCGTGAACAAAACAGAACAGAATGTGCATCCCTTCAGCTCATAAATAACATATAAGTAATTTTAATTATACCTTGGGTTCGGTTGTATAAAATTATTGAAATTAGAAGAGTAAGAAAAGAGTACGGGAAAAGCCGACCTTGCATCAACATGACGGACGAATGAATTGGGAGAGAATGACTCTCGGATTGCGTGCTTGCGAATGACCTTCTCATTATTTTTTATCTCTCAATTTATAATGCGTGCGACAAGCTCACCCAGTCCTGTAACCGTCATCTCGACAGCTCTAGCAGGTACGTTACCTTCGTTTTCTGTACTCAATGTCGATGACTGAAACAATTCCAACGACTAGCAGATGGCCTCCACCTCTGCGGCAGAAGCGGTTGCTAGAATTGCATACATTTGCTCAGATGTTGTCGTCAGCTCTCAGATAGCAGACGGATCCTCTCCCTTCTCGAGCGAGTATAAGAATCTTGCAAGAAAGGTCCTCCGACGACCGCAACTCGTCTCTGTACCAGATGCCACAGACTCCGGATCGTATATTCGGCTCCACAAGTCTGCTGGGTTATTGTCCTTTACTGCACCTTCGAGTTCCCGCATACTTTCGCAATTCCTTCCCCACTTGTCAGAACTCTCGACTTCTCCTGTCGTGCTGCACATCGCCGTGAGCAGCGATCTTTCCAATGTATTATACCTCCGATCAGCGGTCCCTTATTTCATACATTCATCTACCGTCATTCAAGCCCATGATAATGCTCTGGTAGCCTCGAAACTCGCACTAACTGAAGGCAAGATCGTTCTTCACGCGTTTCAATTAGAGGCCGAGGAGGCCGAGTTGGAGGAACTGTCAGAGGAGCAAATTCATTCGTATCTAGCCGATACTCGACAAGTATCAGCTGTCAATGGTAATGGGAAACATGTCATTGGCAATGGTTATTCTAATGGCAGCGCAAACGGGCAGCCTAACGGGAGTGCAAGTGGATACGCGAATGGGTACGCGAATGGGCAGGCGAATGGACACGCAAACGGTCGTTCAAACGGTTATGCGAATGGATATGCAAATGGTGTCAATACTCCGGATGGATCCTCTAGTGGATATAGCACGCCCGACTCTCCCGCTGTTACTCCGCAAGATGCGGATGACCAAGCACTTGTGTCCTTATACAAGGCTTACGAAGCTGCTTCCCTCTCCGCTGTTGCCCTTGTGCGCCGGGCAATTCATCCTTTGATTAAGCACGGCCCGGCAGAACCTCACACGGTGATCTTCGTTCTCGGACAGGCACCAACTTTCGACCTGGACGGTGTATCATGGGTAGAGGTATCTCTCTTGAGCCCGCTACTTCCTTCAAGGATCCTTCGTTCCATACCCTCCTCTGTTAGACGGGTCGTCGTATTAGAACAGCTATACACTTGGAATGTCAAATGGACTCCTCTCTATCTGGAGGTGATGGCAACAATTCAGCACCTCGATGAACCGTCTCGTCCGGATGTGCAGTCTGGATTTTTGGGACATGTATCGACGATACAACAAACAGACGTACTCAAACTTCTGCAGAACAGTGGTGCTGAGCGCCTACGACTCGGGAAGCCTCTACGGCTAGAAGCTGCTACAAGGACAGTGGAAACTTTACCTCATGTACCAAAGCATGAGGCTTCCTACACGAAGATCCTTGAACATCTATTCAGTGAAAGGCTTGCGGTAGCAAATGCACCCGACCACGTAGCGACTCATGGACCCCTTGCGACTACTCCGGAATTTGCTCTTGGTCGCGTACAAAGGCAGCTCGGAGAGCGCCAGAAACTCGTACAAGCTGTCGAGACAGTCCTCGCTTCATCAACTATCTCGTCTGAATTACACGCGCTCCTTAGCAAATGGTTACTTGCAAAGGACGATCCTCAGAAGAGCCGTACTTTAGGCGAACGAATTGTTGCTGAACTCGAAGCAGTCACTTCTCTCCATGACAGCATTCCGACGATCCTGTCCTTGAGATCTCACTTCCCGTCCGTTTCCCGTTGGATTGTTGGATCAGACGCATGGTCGTACGATCTTGGCGCTTCTGGTTTGCATCACCTAATTGCGTCCGGTCTGAACGTTAATACTCTGATTCTCGACACCGTACCTTACTCGTACCGCGATACCAGTGACCCTCTTCGTCGCAAACGAGATGTCGGATTATACGCGATGCACCATTCAGACGTCTATGTCGCAAGCGTCGCTGTTTACTCGTCGTACACCCAAGTCCTCCAGGCGTTCGCAGAAGCGGACCGTTTCCCAGGGCCTTCCGTCATACTCGCATACCTACCCTATCAGAATGAGGATACTCCTGCCCTCGAAGTATTGAAGGAGACGAAATTGGCTGTTGACACCGGGTACTGGCCACTGTACCGCTGGGATCCTGCGAAAGAGCGTGAAGGAAAAGAACCCTTCTCACTTGACTCGGACGCCATTAAAACGGAACTACGTGAATTCCTCGATCGACAGAACCATCTCAGCCAGCTTACACGTTCGAAGCCGGAATTGGCAGCAGAGCTTGTGGGTAGTCTCGGCGAGAGCATTAAGAGTGCGCGCCAGAAACGTGCGCAACAGGCTTACGCAGATTTATTAAACAATATCTCTGGTGCACCACTACTCGTGCTTTATGCATCGGACGGCGGAAGCGCAGAGAAGAAGGCGAAGCGACTAGCGAACCGCGGAAGAGCGCGTGGACTTGCAACGACTGTCGCGACGTTGGACTCCATTTCACTTGAAGAACTGGCCAAAGAGGAGTACGTCGCTGTTATTACTTCCGTTGCTGGACAAGGAGAACCTCCTCAGAATGGCCGTACATTCTTCAAGGCGGTCAATGCGGCTGTTGCACGCAAGGAATCTCCGCTGTCATCTGTTAAATACTCTGTCTTCGGTATGGGTGACTCGCACTATTGGCCGCGTCCAGAGGACGCACAATACTATAACAAACCCGGAAAGGACCTTGATGCACGACTAGCTGCTCTTGGTGCAACTCGCTTTGCTGATTTAGGCCTTGGAGATGATCAGGATGCCGATGGCCCAGAGACTGGTTATAAGCTTTGGGAGCCACTCGTTTGGAAGGCACTTGGCGTCGATAACATTGAGGTGACAGAGGCAGAACCAGACCCAATCACGAATGAACATATGAAGATTGCATCGAATTATCTGCGTGGTACAATCGTCGAAGGTCTTGAAGACACTACGACAGGCGCCCTTGCAGCGAGTGACACGCAACTGACGAAGTTCCACGGAATATACCAACAAGACGATCGTGATATCCGGGACGAGCGTCAAGCTCAGGGTGCCGAGCCTGCTTATGCATTCATGATACGTGTGCGACTTCCTGGAGGAGTGTGCACAGCTGAACAATGGCTCCAGATGGATCAGATTGCAGACGAACATGGAAATGGGACATTCAAGATCACGACAAGGCAGACTTTCCAGTTCCATGGTGTGATCAAGAGGCATCTCAAGCAGACGATTCGAGATATCAACAGAGTGCTCCTGGATACACTCGCAGCATGTGGAGACGTTAACAGGTAAAGTTTTCCTCGGTTTCTGTGCTTCGTTTTATACCTTTATTGAGATATTTTTAGGAACGTCATCACCTCCGCTATACCCACGAAATCGCAACTGCATGCCGAAGTCTATGACTTTGCGAGGAGATTGAGTGAAAGACTCCTTCCTCGAACTACTGCCTATCATGAAATTTGGCTTGATAAGAAGCTCGTAGCTGGTGGAGCTGTTCGTGACTTTGAACCTCTATATGGTGAATACTATTTGCCGCGAAAGGTACGGCTGAGTTTCTTTCTCTTCTGTACTTCATCATTCATTCGTGCTTTAGTTCAAGGTCGCGGTGGCCGTGCCTCCTACAAACGATGTAGACGTGTTTGCCAATGACGTTGGATTCATCGCTATTGTTGGCAAGGACGGAAGACTTGAAGGATTTAATGTCACCGCTGGCGGTGGTATGGGTGTCACTCACGGAAGCAAGAAGACATACCCGCGGCTGGGTAGTATTCTCGGATTCTGCACGCCAGAGCAAGGTCTTGACGTTGCGGAGAAGATTATGCTTGTTCAAAGAGATAACGGAAACCGCGCAGAGTAGGCAATTATTTTCACAACTCAATATCTTTGACTAACTTGATTACGCTTCTAGTCGCAAGAACGCTCGATTAAAATACACAATCGATCGTATGGGTCTGGACGTATTCAAGGGTGAGGTCGAGAAACTCCTTGGCTGGTCACTTGAACCCGCACGACCGTACACCTTTGACCGAAACATCGATGACTTCGGCTGGTCAACCGGACAGAACGGAAAGCACAACTACATGATGTTCATTGAGAACGGACGTGTGCAGAACGAACCTGGGAGTGAATTTAAGAAGGGACTTCGTGAGATCGCGAAGATACACAAGGGCACGTTCCGTCTGACTACGAATCAGCATCTTATGCTCGCGGATATACCAACTGAAGAGCTGCCGCGGATAAAGGCTTTACTGGCGGAGTACAAGCTTGATAATCTAGATCATTCTGCGCTGCGATTGTCTTCTTCCGCTTGCGTTGCGTTCCCGACATGTGGTCTCGCAATGGCAGAATCGGAGAGGGTGAGCGGAGACTTTGTATTCAAGATGGTATATCGAACTGATCTGACTCCACTAGTATCTTCCCATTCTAATCAGCAAGGTGGAAGCTTTTTGCGAGGAGAATGGTCTCCGGAACGACTCGATCGTCATGCGAATGACTGGGTGTCCTAACGGTTGCGCTCGACCCTACGTTGCGGAAGTTGCATTCGTCGGAAAGGCACCTGGGTCATACCTAATGTTGCTTGGCGGTGGGTACTACGGGCAGCGTCTCAACAAAATATACCGCGGTACGTTGTCCTTGCTCCTCCACGCTATCGAAACTCACACACCCTACCCTCTTTTAGAGTCGGTTACGGAACCGGAAATACTCGCAATACTTAGACCAATGATTAAGCATTATGCACTTGAACGACTGGAAGGAGAGCACTTTGGGGATTTCGTGCTTCGTGCTGGCTATATTTCAGAAACTACTTCTGGGAAGGAGTGGTATGATGGTATGGGTGGACTTGGACCTCATCGGGAGATCAGTGCGGCTGCATAGTTTGCGAGGGTATAATAGATGTCTTATGGGATCTGGAACGTTAGCATTTATTTTGTACAAACCACAATGAAAAGATATGTCATAATTTATTTGTCATTGTGGTGGTCACGAGGATTTTGCGTGATTGGATCGACGCGTCCACCCAGCTCCGTAACTTGGGCCTTCAAGCTGCTTCTTACCACAACGTCAACACGGGATGAAGGCATACAATGTCTAGCTTCTACCATATTTCCGTCCAAATAAGCAAGTCCAATCATCAAACAGGCAAAGAAGCTGAAGAACGTTTCCCAAGATCGCTATTTGACGAGCTACCCTCTCACCCGTCTACTCCGATAAGCAAGCGTCGCGACACACTACTCCGTAATACGAACAAGAAGGATTATAGATTCGGGACTATTAGGATCGAGTGGATTGACTTTGAGACGATGAGCGGTACAGAAGGCAATAATAAGGATTCGAGAACTAAGTCGGGCCAGACAGAAGAATGGCGTACGTATGCTCCCTTTCGCTTATGAGGCGCATATACTAACGCGCCTTTATGACTTCCAGAGACTCCTGTAGCTCTATTCGTCCCTGGCTCTCCCTCTCCAAGCCGAACGACTAACTTACCAGACGGAATTGTGCACATCTTCCGAGAAAGACCTGACAGACCTATTCGCGACGCTCAGCCTGTCCCATCCTCTTCAGCAGGGTCCACAACCGCAGAGGCATCCACTTCAAGTGCAACAAGTGCCTCACCGACTGAAGTTCCATCTGGTCAAGCTGCTACGACTGTTGCTGTGTTAGCTGTGCCACCATGGATGACACCGGCGGATTTCCTGGCTTTTGTTGCTCCTGCTGCGGAAGGGATGAAGCACCTTCGTCTCATTCGAGATGTTTCGCCGAATAGGAATATGGTAGTTATACAGTTCAGAAAGGCTCCGGATGCCACGGAGTTCATTGAAGAATTCAATGGGAAATTATTTAACTCTGTCGAGGTCTTAGTTCAGCCAGTCTATTTATATCTCTCGCTGACTTGGACTTTCCACAGCCAGAGACGTGTAGCGTCGTCCGCGTGAAATCCGTTGAGATCGACACGGATGATCCAGTATCCTTAACCTTCAACAGAACGTCTACGAACACTTCCTCTATCTACGAGTTACCCACCTGTCCTGTCTGTCTTGACAGGATGGATACGTCAGTCACTGGTCTAGTAACAGTGCCTTGTTCGCATACATTCCATTGTATGTGCTTGAGCAAATGGGGAGACAGTCGGTAAGTATCCTCATCCAAAACTCTTTCTTTCCCTTATATTTTTCCTTATCTAATGATAATGATAATGAAGATGTCCCGTCTGTCGATACTCACAAATCGCACTCTCCTCGGCCTCCCAATCCACTTCTGGCTTCTCGTACGCTCCACCTCCAGCAGGGACCCGACTCGTCTCATGTACAGAATGCGACTCCCGTCTTAACCTCTGGATCTGTCTTATATGCGGTAACGTCGGGTGCGGTCGACAAGGCCGTGCACACGCCAAGGGGCATTATGACCTGGCTTCACACCGCTACGCTATGGAGTTATCAACTCAACGTGTATGGGACTACGCAGGGGATAACTACGTCCACAGGTTAATTCAGAACAAAGCAGACGGAAAACTCGTAGAGTTGCCCTCTGCTGCAGGTGTCGAAGAGTCACAGGGAGGAGGACAGGGGAGGGGTAGACCAGGTCAAGGACCTGGAGAAGATGATAACCTCAAAGCGGAGAAAATGGAGATACTCGCGATGCAATATTCGCAAATCTTACAACGCGCGATGGAAGATCAGCGTGTGGCGTATGACGAGCAGACTGCAGAGCTGAGACGAAGACTTGAAGATGCACAGCGGAAGGTAGAGATCATGTCTGAAGATACGGAACGGAAAGTCCGCGAAGCGCATGAAGAACTGCAGAGGAGACGGCTCGAAGATGAGGAACGACAGGCTCATCTCGAGAGGGAACGAGTGAAGGCGGAGAAGAAGGCGGAGAAGAAGGCGGAGAAGATGACGGAGGTGGCTCGGAAGTTGGAGAAGGAGTTGAAGGAGGAGCGCACGGTTAGTGAAGGGTTGTTCAATAATATTTCTACGTTGAGGGGGAAAGTAGAGACGATGGAGAAGGAGAAAACCGAGCTAGCGTCGAAAGTTTCGGATTTAGAGGAACAGATGAGGGATCTGATGTTCTTCCTCGAAGCTCGAGACAAGATCGAACAAGGCGGAGGTGTCGTATCCGAAGCTGCAGGCGGCTCCATCGAGTTGCCTCAACCTCCACCGGATCGCACCGGGGCGGGTGGCAAGAAGAAAAAGAAGAGATAAAATCACGACAAGCACGAATAGAAGTGATATTTATGAATGTATGGGTAGAATAGTCGTATAATGTAGCTACAATCTGTATGCACATCCATAAATACAAAAAAAAAACTGTATTACTACACTACAAGAGGCTAGCAGACATCTCTATGATGGCTTTCGGGCCCTTTGACCCATAGTCTCCTTTCGAGACAAAGTTTTTACTATTTGGGTCCGAGAAGATGATCTTAAGTCGCAAAAACGTCGAGATATCAGCATAACAAATTTCGTGATAAAATTCATGAATGATGACTTACTTTCGCGACAATGCTGGCCCCGAGGAAAGCAGCCAGTCCGTCCCCCTTTTCTCGATAGTTTGCGAAATACTCTGGGACGTGGAGGACGCGGATTTGTTTCGGTTGCGCGTCGTTTTGGTGGTCGGGATTTCCTAGTATGAAGTGTTCGAGTCGGGTTTGCAAGGCGTGTCCAATTCCTATAAAATAAGTTCGTTAAATGAACGTAGAAAACGTGGACTTTGTACAAGGAGGAGCACACCTTTCACCAAACTCGCACAATCACCAGTAACAAACAACCCCTCCCATATCGACACCCTAGCATCCAAATCCGCCTTCGCAACAGCATACCCACAAATATCTTGTAAAGGAATCAAGTCCCCCCCTCTCCACGTCTTCCCATCCGATCCATTCACACCCCTCAAACGCGTCGGGTCAAAAAGCGGGTCCAACAACCGATGTCGTTCCCTCCCAACCGTCACCTGTTTATCTCTAAAATCAATAGTGATAAGGTCGAGCGCCTCAATCTCGCGTGCTCGTGCTTGTTCCGCTGCACTTGCTTTCTGCGTAGCGCGTTTCTTTTGGTTAGACTCGATGACGGCTTTTTCTTTCCCTGCGACGAGGACGGCAGCGATGTTCGTTACGCCTTCTTCTTCACTTGCTACTTCTGCTTCTCCCAGCTTTACGTGTCCTTCATGCCAAATTTGTCGAACGAGTGCAAGGAGTTGTGTCTGTAGCTCTTCATCCGTTAGTGGAGCCTCCGGAGGCGAGAGCGTCGAAACAAGTTGTTCGTTATTCCGTAACAAACTCGCCAAGTACGCTTCACAATCTGCTAACCCAATAGGCGTATGGTCTGAACAATTATGTTGGACTGCACATTCGTATATCGGTACGACGTCTGTCCTATGATGGCCTATATCAATAACGATCCCGTTAAGCGAGTTCGCAGCGTATAGCTGCGAAAGTGGTCGTTCGAGGATACTCAAGGCGGCCATGTTGAACCTCTCGAAGAAGATTTGGCAGATCCTCTCGTATGTGTCTCGAGAGAGTCCGTGGGGGAAGGTTAGGATCGCTGGAGACTCGTTTTGTGTACGTTTGAGTCCGAGTTGGTTGAATAGAACGTATTTCCTACATCAACAGTTAGTAAGAACCACATAATTATGTTCTGAAAGACGCACCAAAGAGCCTCAGCAGCAACGTAATCCTTAATACCCCCATCCTCAAACGGCCAAGACACAACAACATCCATTCCCGCCGCAAGCGCCTCATCAAGCTGCCTCCCCACAAGATAATCATTCACCTTCGGCTGCGAATGTGCCTTCGACGTCGACGACTGTCCATTACCAAAACCATTCTCCTCGTTCGTCCGCCTCAACCCAACGCGCGCCTCAACCTCAACAGTCGGCCTCTCAATCAACTCCGCCAACCCACGAATCGCACGTATAGCCGTACATCCCGTCTCTATGATGACGACGCTCGAGTCTCTGAACGCGATGTTGCTCATTTTGTTTTGTTTGTTCTGCGCGGTAATGGACGGTGTTTTAAGTATGTTCGCTACACTACAATTCGAAACGCGCGTTTCTGTCACGTGCAGCGCATCACCCACTTTTATAATAATTTTTTTGACCAATTTAATTTCTAATTAAGAGTGAAATGCTGGTAATAAATCATCATCCAAACATCACCAAGAAAAATGTAAAGCAAAGCAAGAAAATAAGAACTATGATAAAAGTCATGAATACAGGGTCCGTCTAGATACAATGTATACAAGTTGTTGATTGACACGAGATGTGGCGTATGTGACGGTATAGTCATGTTCATGTCATGAATATAGTGCAGATTGTGTGGGTGAGCACAGACGAGAAATGAGGACGAATCGATAAAGTGAACCGTCGTTATGCGGCTGGAATGGCGTTTGGATCTCGGAATACCTACAAAAATTATTGAGTGGATCAATAACCATGGTGCAATAGTAAAGTCGGAGCAACGAACCTTTAGCCCCCAAAGATTCCCAACCCGCGTTTCCTCTTCTTCCTCCTCTTCGGTAACAACGATATTCTGAGGCAAAACGCCCTCATCTTCCTCACCAACTTCGAGTTTCAATCCCCGTTCATTCGCAAGATGAAGAAGACAAATGAAACAGAAGCTCGTGCTAATATCCGCCATCTTATCCTTCGGATACGACGTATGCAAGCCAGAAATGACTGATGTAAATACTCGTGCTTCTTCGGGATCTGTGGGCGGTCGAGAATCCAGCGTTGTCTGAACAAGATAATCAAAATTAGGACAAATATCATAGCTCTTTACTTCAAGTCTTACCATTGGAACATCCTCTTCCTCATTCTCCAGGCCTTGAGACGGGGGAACGACAATATCCAACCCCTTCCAGATATTCTCCTTTAATTTACGAACATCCACTCGCTTGGCACGTCGTGCATAATTAACAGTCTCAGGACGAACGCGACGCGATGTACCTTGCGTTTCAGCAAGGAGGTCCCGTTCCCCAGGTTCTGCATCGATTCCCAAGCCCTCGCCTCCTGCATCACCGTCGTAGATATCATCAAAGCCTGGACCGTCGTCATACTCATCGTGGAAGAACTGTGTGTTGAAGGGAATCGCTCCTTCGGGTGCACCTACAAAGATATTCGTGAGCGAAGGGAACAGAAGAGGCACCGCCTGTAAACATACCCTCTTCACCATCATCTGCTTGCCGGCCAGCGGCCTGGTCTGCAGCAGCCTGAGCCCAGAATCGCTCGTCGACCTCCCCATCATTAGCATTGAGACGTGCTCGGTTACCCCGCATCTTAAGCTATGAAAGGACTTAGTACCACCTCTCTCAGGAAGCATGAACAAAAAATCACATACCGCGAAATTAGGTTTAAGGAAAAGAGTAACAAGTTGTCGACTCGAGAAGTGCATATCGTCCGGAAGCGTATGATCACCGCGCTTCTCCTTCTCCTTTCCCTTTCGACTCTTCTTCGCAAAACCAGGTAAAGTGATACTTGCACCACGCGTAACCGGAGCGAAGATCTCCTTCGTCACTTCTTTCTGGGACTTCTCAGATGGAGTGAGGAAGTCAATCTTGAACGGCTCCTTCTTTTCACGCGTTTTCGTCTTGTTTGCTGACGTATCCGCATTTGCCTCAGCTAAACAACGTAAACACCTATCAGGGTCATGTAGAATGATAAAGATAAGACTACGTACGTCGTCGAATGACCTTACGGATTTTCCAATGCTCAGGACCAGCCCAGTTCTTAAGGAACGTCTGATCGAAATAATCAAGGGAACTCCCATTAGCACCTGGCTCAGTCATAGCAAGTAGCAAATCGCGTTCGTTCGGTGCGCGTCGAGGGTCGAAGGGCTCAAATCCTCCTGTTTGAGGTGCTTGTGTTGCACCCCTTCCGTCAACGTCTCCGCTGCTTTCACCACCAGTCTGACTTCGGTCATCTCCACCAGCATCAAAACCGCCATCGTAACCGAAGTCATCTACAACAGCTTGTTCGCCGACGAAGAAGTCTTGGACATCTTCGCCGCCTCCGACGGCACCATCGACGTCCATGGGCGCACCAGCGTCGCCGACATCAGCGCCAGCTCCAAAGTCGTCGTCATCTAAGTCTGCTGCATAGGTTGAATTCATGAAGTTCGACTGTTCAAAGGACGTGTCGCCTTTTGAAAATGAGAATCCTTCTAATGAAGGGGCAATAGTTTTATCTTCCAGGGCAGAGAGGTCGGGAAGAAATTCGCCTAACCACAAAGTCACGTCAGAATAAGGTCATACAATGACTAAATAAGCTAGGTCTTACTTCGGATGTTGGTGAGGTCGATATCATCATAAGGCTCGATATCTACAGCCTCTTCATCTTCCTCTCTCCCTTTACCCATGGAGTCACTAGCGTCGAAGATCACCCGCATGCTACCCTCGCTTCCAATCCCAAGGCTCAGGTGGTTCATCAAGAGTCCCTGTGCGCCTCCTTCGTCGAAGTCTGCGCAAGTCTTCTTGAACAACGGATCTACGCTGAACTCCAGGTCAAGTTTCTTGCTACGTAGCTGCGACACATTCTTCGCGAGCGTTGACTCGGTTCGGGAGGCCTTCGCAGCACGTTTGCGCTGCGCCTGGTCTTGTACATCAGGATTGTCCGACAAATCTTCATCGTCCGCCTCGACTTTCCCTTCAGTTGCAAGATTGCTCAGTAGCTTCCCTGTCTCCGTACCGACGCTGTCGACACGGCTAGTCCAGATCTTCACGCAGCCATCAAGAGTACATGATGCTTTCTGGAAGTTGATAGAGTTGTCTACGTTGTTCCGCAGCAGGGACATGTCATGGAAATAGTCTATGAGCGCGAAGTTCCACGAGTTGGTTGCATTAATTTTCTATCATTCAATTCGTCAGTAAAGCCTCGGATGACTAATAGAGCAGTTGATTTACATTATCAGTAGCCATCTTCATCCACTCTTCAAAGTTCGAGCTCATAACATCCAGAGGCACGTTAATAACCGGCGTCTCCGTAACAGCCATAAGCTGCTGCTTATGTTTAGCGTGCCTATTCGCCTTCGGAGTATCCCCAGGTTCACGAGTCGACGAGCTCGCCCCAGCAGCACTCCCATTCGCCATCTCAGCATCGTCAACAAGTACCATAGGCGCAGCAAGCTTGGCGCTCTTCCTGCGCTTTCGTTTCTCCGCCTCATCGTCATTAATATTCACAGTCTTGAACGGTACTCGATGGTTCCCATTCGGGCTGCTACCACTGTCTCCAGGCTGGTAGACATCCGAGGCGCGTTTCTTTCCCTTTGCTTTTCCGTTGGGCGCACCTCGCGCGTGTTTTGCTCGTGGCGTGGCTTCCTGGTCAGAGCTGTCGTTCTCGTTCTCATCACCATCAGAGTCGGAGTCAGCGTATAATGGGACATGAGCGCGTGGGCGTGTTGACCTTGCCATTGCTTGTCTGTGAAGCTACAGGAGGTATGCGCAGGTTACAAGACGCAACGAACCAGGAGTGTGACTGTTGACCTCTAGTGACGTTGTGTGACCTTACGCGGCGTGTTGTGCACACGTGGTTTCAACGCCTGCACACACGAGTGTCGTCATCATGCAATAGCAATGAACTCGGCGACAGTCACTGTTTCGCTCGAGCCGCATCTCAAGCAATCACTCAACCGTCTTCTTCCAATCTTACCAAAAGAACTACACATCTCTCTCCAATCACAATTAAACCAAAAAGAAATCCACTATGCCCTCCTCACTCAAATATCCCGCTGGGCGCGATCTGACGCTGGCCAATCGAAACTTCTCTCCGCACAGCTCTCACCACACGACTATGACAACATAGTTTCCCTATTAGCAGGTACTCGTACAGCCCCTTCATCAAAACCGCCACCCGACCCAGCGCCTGGCTCAGAGGAATCCTCATCCCCAGAAGTTCGTATTCGAAGAGAACTGAACGACAGAAAGGCGCTCGTTGCGGTGCTCAATGGGCTTCTTAGTATCGGCTGTGCTGGAGGCGCTGCTTGGTGGGCTGCTGATAAGTCTGGTTGGCGGGACGAATGGGTTTGTACTCACTTTGCAGTGTCCAATCGATCGAAGACTCAACAAATCAAATCATAATTAATCTATCCCTCTCTAGAAAGTCCTTGTCGCTCTCATGGTAGCAACCATCGTCGGTGTTTCCGAAACGATCCTCTTGGTTATCTGGCAATCTCGCCTGTCAGCTTCTCCTGATCGCGTATACAACGTCCGACAGCGAATCCAGCAGCAGCAGCAGCAGCAGCCAAACGAAAAGTCCGACAACAGCGGCGAGCTGGTGGAGCCGTCCTCATCACCATCTTCATCTTCATCTTCGCCTCAGGAAGCTATCAATACTATCACCATACAGGACAAAGACTCCCATCTGCGGCGGAGAGCCGTACGTTATTAAGATACAAATGTGGGTATTCATCACGGAAACGCGGAAGAAGATCGGATGGATATGGAATATGGAATGTGGGATGAACGGATGACGGTAAAACAAAAACTGCACCGCCAGAACTGCCCACAACGTAAACCACTGCCATCTGTCAGATCGACCCTGTCCTCCTACAAGCGCTCCAGCACAGCTACGAACTCTACCAAACCAATGCTATTTGTCTGTCCTGTCCTGTCCTGTACTGCATCCGCTACCATACGTCTTATACCCTATTTTTAACCACCCTCATCATCACCACACACTTTGGCATATTCACTTTTGCGGCGTCACTTCACTCGATCATTTTGCCTTTCTTCTGGAAAACAGTTCAAGGGCAAGGGTAAGGGCATCTTGATTCTTTTTGCAGTCTTTGCAGTTTGCAGTTGCACAGCAGAAGCATGCTCGGAGGCGAAAGTACCATCTACCATCGATCCTAATCCTACTCCACAATTCTAGACATCTAAACATACACACCCAGCGCGCGCATGAGTAAGTTAAGGTACCACCCCGTCAAACCCCACACTTCAAGCTTCCCTTCCCTCCCTCCACCAACTTCATCTACATCTGTCTCTCCCGCCCACTCAACAGGGACAACAGGATCCCGGTTATCTACTCTCTCTCCGTTCCTTCCGTTCCCTCTGTCTCCCCCGCTTTTCACGGAAGAAGAGGAAGAGGAAGAGGAAGAGGAGGAAGAAGCGGCGGCGGCAACGACATCGGTAACATCAACAGCCCAATAAGGTCTCTCACCACGAAATTGATGGGATCGAAGACGTCTGGGTTGGACGAGCTGTGCGAGTGATAGGTGGAAGACGTGTGCTACTTCGGGAGTTGAGGCGTTTAGTGAGGACATGTTGATTGAGGGTAGAGGCGTGTCTTCCATCTCTATGTCTGTGTCCGTGTCTGTGTCTAGTATACGCGAATTTGCATTTTCGTCTGCGTTATTAGTGCTGTCTATATCATCATGCGGTGACCTTGAGGAGGTTGAGGAACCGGAAGGCGGTGTCCTAGTAATAGTATTGGCGGTAGGATGTACGAAACCCTATACAAGTATTGAAGTAAAGTTAGTAACTTAGTTTATCAACTAAAGTCTCTCAATCATGACCATAACCATGAATGAGGAACGAAATTAAATTAAATTCACTGTCAGTCAACGTACAACATACGGCCAAACTCTCAACCCGCTAAGTGAGCGTTGAGGCGGTCCAAGTTCACCCAATATTTCAACTCGTCCAGGTGAGAGTGCGATTTCCTCGTCTGCTTCTCGTAGAGCAGCTGCTAAGTGCGATGCATCCGTCTGTTTCGATCATACATTAATCTATCTTTACCAGATAGATAGAATGATTTTGTGTCATAGATGATAGGCTTTACTTACTTCATCAACTCGTCCACCAGTGAAACTAGAAAAAAAGAAAAAACCAATAAACACATTAATATATATTTATTGTGACATATTAGAAAAATAGAAATTAGATTCCAGGTAGGTTCGCAGATACATACGACCAAAGAAAGAAAAAAAATAACAAAATGATATATGTCGGAATTAATCAACGAGCCCACAAGTCAATCAGAAATCGAAATCGAAATCACCGAGAAATTGTTGTTGTTAATTTCATTAATCGACATCGTCGCAGCGCACCTTACCTAACTTCACCAGCATGACTCCTCAATGGTCCACGCAGCTCAAGTATTACACCTGGTACGCCGTTCACGTTTGCTAGCGGGACTAACACAGCTGCGTTTAGTTCTGTATTATCAATATCATATGGTTTCGCAGTCAGAGAAGCTTGAAGAGCGTTCCGAATAGCCAGCAGTGAGCGTGGAGTGAAGGGAGCGGTTAGCGAGATGACGTGTTGGGCTGAGGTGAGTCGGGGTAGGGTGAGTCCTAGCAAGCTGGACATAGCATTTGAAGGGGAGCACGGTGGAGGTGGAGGAAGGAGGCAACAAACTACAACGCTAATGAATTATGAATGCATGACGTTGCTTACGGATCTACGTCTACATTCATGATCGACGACGGGACTATTCAAGAAAATTATATTAAATTTGTGACATCCAGTCCTCCGTAGTAAAATCATTGCAAGAAAGGCTAGGCAATCAATGCCCGTTCCCATTAGCTACATGACCATTAGTAGCCTTCTTCCCTTGCCGCTTGGCATACAACCGTTCAAGATAATGATGCGCACGCCCAAGCATCCAAATCGTGAACGAGAACTTAAAGTTCGGGTACACAATCGCACACGTCTTGCTAAACATCCCTTCGATAGCTTCCTGCGCCCAGGAGCCATCCTACCGAGCAAGAGAAGGAGAGAGAAAAAACACTAAGCAGGTAGCAGATAGATAGATAGATGGCTACTTACTGGCAGTTGACGAGACATGACCATCTTCACAGCACGTTCAATTGGCTCAGGCTCCGGATACTGAGCGTACATGAGCGCCATTGCCGCCCATGAAGTCATGACGACCTGCGTCTTCTCGTGGTCAACCCATTTCTCATATACACACGACTTCAATAAAGATGGGTTAGATACATCAATAACTTATTAAACTCAATAAATTGGGCGACGATGATGAAGCTTACCTCGTAGCTCTCGCCCCACCCACCATCCTCTTTTTGGTGACTTAAGAGGAAATGACAAGCCCTGCGTACGCTCTCGCTCGTCTCGTACGTCTCTCCGACAAGCGAAAGACTCTCGAGGGCAAATTGCGTCGCATATGTAAAGCAAATTCCCCAAGAACCATACCAGCCTCCCTCGGGTCTTTGTGCAGCGTGTAGATACTTTACGGCTTTTCGAATTGTGTTTCTAAATAGTCATGAGTCAGCGGCATGTTCTCGACATCGAGAACACCTATCCTTACTCTATATCCGACGCTCGATAATCTGGATAGTGTTTACGAAAAATGGCAAGCGCCGTAATCACTGACGTCGTACATTCCGGATATTCGTATTCAATCATGATGTTACCTAGACGTGGAGCTATGGATAAACCCGCTTTCGAGAAACGTAACAAAGCTCACCGAACACCTCAGCGGGGTTGATCCACTCCACCCACTTCGGACCCCGCACCAATTCGTAACTTGCGAACCCACCACTCGGGTTCTGCAATGATATCATTGTGTCCACTGCATCACAAAGGCGCTCCTTGGAAACTAGCTTCGGCATAAACCTACAGGCTACTTCAGTAATTTCGGATCGCAATCTCATAAGTCGACTTACGGCAGGTGCTCTTGGAGGTAGATTACGGCCTTCAAGCCCTCGCCGGTACAATCACTAACGGTATACCCTTGTTCCTTAGTGCTGAATGGCCAGGCACCCTTTGTCCGATGTCGATACGCGCTTTCGTAATGCTTCGGGTTTTCCCTAATCTGACATTCGTCAAGCCATTTCAAAGCCTTCAACAGACATTTGCGATTTTCCTCGTCCTGAGCCAGCCCAGTCTCCACAAGCGCCTGAACGATAAACGCAAGGTCCCATAGTTGTACACCGTTGGTTCCACCCATACTCATACCATTCGGTCCGAGCCACATGAAGTCGCGACGCTTTATCTTGTGCTGTGCGTATGCTTCCGATTCCGGTCCTTCAACGATTGCTCGTGCAACGAGGTTCAGCATCTTATTGACGGGGCCTAGATCTTGGTATTCCGTATTTTCATCCTCTTTAACTATTAGGTCGTATAATCGCGCCATGGCTGCTTTACGAACAGGAGGGATTGCACATGGCTCGTACAAGCCTAATACACCAAAGAGCATATCAAGAATACGAGAGTGAGGAGCATAAAGATCGATCGGAGCTATGTTATTTCTCTGGGCAGGCCAATCGATGGAATAATAGTCTTCGACGTAGAGCTCTCGTCGTAGAGACAGAATTAGCTCGTTTTCCGGCATTTTGAATCGCTTGGCATATAAGAAGCTCATGGGAATGAAGACATTTCTACAGTGGATCCACCAGCGATATGGATGAACGGGTATCCATTCGGGTAGCATCCAGAGCTCAGGCGGGATTGCATTATTCCCTTCCCAGTCGTAGCAGTTGAGAATCGATAACCAGACTTTCCCCCATTGAGGTGAACGAACGGCACCACCTGAATAATGTTTCAGTATTGATATTCCCTGCTATATACGTGACGTACCGAGTTTATGCAATGTAGTCCTTGCTTTTATCATAATAGGGTGATCCGGACCAACACCCAATATCCGTAATGCAGCATAATTACACGCGGTTCCAAATACTGTCGTCTCTCCCTCTATATGTCTAATGACAAAAGTGAAAAGTAATTCAAAATAATTGCAAAAAAAGTACTTACAGACCCCAACCTCCGTCTACTTTGTGTGCTTTCCGGAATAAATAACGAATAAGCTCTAATCGTTCTTCCCGTCTGAGCTCCATGCCCGTCACATAAGAACCGATAACAAGACCCGGAGTAAGGAACATAGGGCCGTCATATTCGCACGGCCAATGACCGTCGGGAGCTTGCATGTGCCTCAAGAACGAAAAACCATTGCGAGCAGCCTCAAGTGCGTTTTTTGGTCGTGGTAACTCTGGGAGTCCCTGGACAAGTGTTATTTCTTCGAGAACTCGCGTTCTGTGATTTATTTAGACGCACAGTTGGTAGACCAAGGAAAAACTTGTCCATTATAGTCTGTGGACGCGCTTGACATGCCTCGTCCGACTCAAGGTAGTCCCATATATGACGTCCCTGGTCTGTTGCGTTCAGTCGCCAGCGAGTGTAATCTGTAAAATAGACATCGCCGTTCTCTGGAACGTCAAGAGGCTCCCACATACTATAGGTGGGATGTAGAGTTGAGAAAAATGCGGGGAAGTAAATACTGGTGCATGAAGTGACACGACTTTGAGTTCTTTTCACCAATCCATTACAAGACTGACACGATCACGACGCGTCTGAAGAATTCTTTTCTGCTCTCAAAGCATGATTATGTCATATTCAATATTACATACTTACTTGCCGATGTTGTGTCCTATGGTGTGTTGTTGTCAAGTCAACAACTGTTCCGAGTCACCTTGAGTCAATCCTGTACCACTGTGCCGCGGTCAACTCCCTGCATCAATCTGAGCGGGCTCTGGAAAGTGTTGCACAGTGCACCTGGAACAATCGAGTTCTCTTCCTGGCCTCGTGTTGCTGTTATGACTTGCAATCGTTTGCAGTCCTACTCCTCCTGACTCGTTGCAGCACTGCAAAAGTCAAAAGAAGTCGATTTGTTACACTCCTTTGGGTACCTACCTCATATCTGAATTAGTGGAGTTAGAACCCCACTTGTTGACCCTGACATCAAGCGTACGGCGACGTAAACTTCATTTTCTCGACCTCGGATATTCTCATGTCCGCGTCTTTGTCCTTTCTTGTTTCGGTCGGTACGTCTACTGTAACCGCATCGAGGCGTTCGGTTTGGTGCCCTTCAGAACTATTTGACTGATATGCACTCAATTGATTTCCACGTCTTAGGAAAGGAGCACATTGGGGACTTATGTTCCAGAACATGTGTAGACACCTAGCCTGGAACTTATCAAAACTCTTAGTACAGCCTTCTGCAACCACACCGTGCTTATCCGCGACAGCTGTTGCATCTGGTGCCTTTTTCGGGGTTGTACACTCCATTAGGCCTTTGCTCGCCTCGTTTATACTCGACCTAATGACCCGTCATGTTCCGAAGTCCTTCCACCTTGGACTGCATGAGAGATGAAACTGCCAATGATCGACCTCCCATCTCCTTGGAGCCAATTCGAAGGACCTGGAAGCCTCGAGTAATGCGGAATAACGTTATGCAGCGCAATTTGCTCATTTGCTGCCATCAACTGAGTGGGTTGTAGCATCCTCCTCTTGGCCTCGAGTCGCTTTAATGATTCAGATCGTCCGCTTTCCGACACATCCTGAGTCGTTAGTTCACTAGTTGGTTCCATACACACTTTACCCTGCTTTACGGGAATTAGAATCCATCCGTTATTCCTAGCATCAAGGAAGTAGCAAACCGTTTCAGATACATTTTCTCGGCCTCGGTCATTCTCACGTCAGTATCATTGTCCTTGTTTGTCTCGAGAGTCAGTGTTTACGGTATTTACTCCACTCCTCCAAAATAATTTAGCTGATGGAAAAATTTCCCCTCAATTCATCCAGGCATGAGAACGGTGCGCTGCGCTCGCTGTAGAGCATGTGATGGCACCCCAGTCCAGAGCCAGGTGCGTTTCATATTGTCAAAACTCCTAATACAGCTCTACATGAGCATATGGCACATACTTATACTTATCATATACGACGTTTTCGCAATGCCGTACGTTCCATTAGTTTTTTTCTTGCCTTGTTCATACCCGGTCTAACATCCCACCATACTCTGGGGGGTTTCCAGCTCGGACTGCGTGGGGAGGGGGTGGTGAAACTGTCTCCAGTCAATCTTTCAGTTTTTCTTTCGTGTCAAGTCCAACAGACTAGAAGTTTCCAGTTACTGTATTCTGACCAACGGTACACGACGTGGATTGCCAACTTGACGGCTTGTAACCGATCCTATCGGAGACAGTTACACACGGAAAAAGCTGGATTGAATCCGACTCGGAGCTCGAAGACAGTCATCCCGGCGTATGAAGAGTAGGTGTCCTGTTCAGTAGACGCGACAAGAAAACTTGCAGCTATAATGTCGACTTGAATACTTGTCCGATTCCGGCTCGGACAGACTGCCGATTGGATTTCTGTTGTGCCTCTGGAATACATTCTGGAAGAACTATTCTCAGTCAGGATAAAATTTCCACATTAATGTGGTCAAGACGTGTTTCTGGCATGGAGGAATGAGGACTATGTACCTATCTGAAAGCGCAGACTTACGATCGGCGCGAGGGCCGAGATGCTTCGTATACCTGAAGATTGTAGACGGTATTCTGAAACAAAAAGTGTCAGCGTGCAGCGCCATAGCAAGTCGGGGCTTCTCGCTTTCTCTGCGCACGCAGCCCGAAGCACCATGACCGATGACTGTCGGATAGCGTGCGTAGTGGGTCCAACACAAAGTCCCGATATGGGAAATTTCCGATCAGCGCGACCGCAGCGCGTGCCTAATGATTGGATTGCTTTGTTTGATTACAGAAGCTGGGGATGGCGGGCAGAATCGCATGTGATTCCTGATTGAAGGAATACCCAACTAGGCGCAGTGATTGGATAGAATTCTTGCTCAAGGTACACGCCCAAGGTTAGTCTTTTTGTGAACACCGAGCCCCGCGTGGAATCGGAACTAGATGGTCGTATTAGTCCGGGGTCAAGGATTTGTATTGAGTCTATTGACTCACCACTTCCCTACCAAGCTAAAACAGCCGTACTGCCTGAGAACGATCAGGACGCAACTCGTCTGCCGACTGAGCACAATAAGAAAACAAATGGAACGCAGTTCGCTTTCAACGGCCGAATCGATACTCCGCGTACTATGACGTGATAAGCAAATGTCGGGGGAATGATGCGTACAAGTCCGTAAGGGTCGTCTTTCCGACGGGATTGATCCCAGCAAAAAATCCGAGCTGAGCTTGAACAACCCAAGATCGTCGGTGCGCTTGAGCTTCCGTGGTGGGGAATAGGTTATTTAATACAAATAAAGCTTAATTTTCTGAAACGATTTATGAAACAACAAGTGGGGCTTGAACGGCCCGTGGCCAAGCTCTCTGAGATCATCAATCAATAACCAACGGCGAACACTGGACACTTTAACTAATGGCGCTCAACGCTCTATCAGGTGTGATTCGCGATTCATCCATCCTAACAACGAAAGGACACGATTGAATGGGAATGGGACTGAAAAGGTAGATCGACGAAAACGTGGAAGAGATAGAACATAAGGACCCAATGATGGAACCTTGATGGTCGCTGGGCACGTTTTGTTCGTAAGTGACCAGAACACGTCGGATTGACCCCAGCGTGAGATGTAGATCAGAAGTAAGCATGTCTTTGGCAAGAACGAGTCGGACCTTGGGTAAAGGGGCATAAGGTTTCAGCGCGCCCAGCTAAATGTGGAACAAAATACAATTAGTTCACCGGGATTGAATGATCTTTGGCGCCGGAACAGTACAGCCGTACTAGGCTCATACACTAGTTTGGCAAGGTACAAGAAGGTTGTGGTGAATTACAGCCCTATGCAGCAAGACAGCTATTTCGGACGAATAAGTTGTGAAGAAGCACGTATAATAATTTCGAAATGTATTAAACAACAGAATTATAGAGATACAAAGCGAATTTTGTTGGGTAGCAAGTACGAATTGGGTGACCGATACGATACAACTTGTAGTATAACGAAAAGCAAGAAAGAAAGGAAAATGAAAGGGGTATGCGCCGTAATTATACGCGGATTTAGAGATGTGCGAATCGATTATGCAAAATGGCAACAAACTTGTGAAAATACATTAGAAAGAAAAACTTGACACGACGGAGAAGGGGGGGGATCTGTAGTTTATGTATGATACGCAGACTGCATTGATTTGCTTAGGATCGTCTCTAGGGGCTGGTTGAGGCAGAGGTTGGCCTGCCAACTGCCTCTTGAAACGTGGTGAATGCTCAGCAACACCACATCGTTGAATTCAATTCTGCCCGGTCCAACTTGCCAGGCTGGATTTGAGTTTGGCGGCAGTTGACGGTCGATGTGTTCCTACGAGAGTCGAATGAGCATATGTCCAACCTAATTGAAAGGTAGGGCGGCAAACGTACATCAATGAACCTCTGGACCGTCTTGGCTATGTTCTTCGCCAGGACTTTCCTTGTGATTGGACCTTGAGGGACCTTAAAGTTTCTAGTCGGAATCTGACGACTCCAAGGATCATAGCCCTCCCACTACGAGCAAATATCAGATATCTAGGCGAGAGGCAAGGTGGCCAAAGAGACTTACGTTCAGCCGAATGGAAATTGATGGCCCAGCGTCTTGAAGCAGCTCATCGTCGTAACCCTGAAGTCGCTTAAAGCGCTGGGCAAGGCAGTCCACCAGTGAAATACCAAGCTCCACCGGTTCTACTCTCTTGAAATAGATAGGTGGCCGAAGCTCTGCTTGCTCGACGTATCTACGTCTGTCGCTCGCCGTATGAGGCGTGTACTGCTGCTGCGGAACCAACGGGCCGGGTAGGCAGTAGCCCTCCCATATATACTCAGGACGGGCAACCAGCGTAACGTCGGTGAACGACCTGTTTCTGTCGCTGCGGACACTAGCACTCCTTGCCGGGGCCGGACTTGGCACTGGATATGGTGAGTATGTCGGCGCTGAGGCAGTTCGCTGCAGGGGCCGTTCCAGAGCCGAATGCGAGTGCCTGCGAACGAGAACGTTCATTTGACTCGCGTTAGACATGTAGTCGTCAAACTGTTGCTGTACATGCGGCGACTGTGGGAGCGACGGCAGAAAAGAAAGATGCGTATCAGATCCTGTGTGACGATAATACTGGTTTGTGAGCTGGGTGTTTGGAAACTCGTCCGGTGGTATCGTCATTGTGGACGAAGACTGAGCCGGTGAGGGCGCGAGGTGTAAAACCTCGTTACTCCCCTGTGACCCGGGGGACGGGAGTGACGACGCGAGCGGCGAACGCTCGACGGTCGAAAGTGGGGTGTTGGGTGTAAGAGGACTGTACCCTTGAGACAAGGGAGAGCCACTCAAAAGATTCGACTGGGAGTCAAAATGGTCATTACCCGTTGTCCAACCATGCTGCATAGTAGGCGCATGGAAGGCAGATTGGTGGGGCTGAGTGAGCCTTGAGGCGTTCGAGTACTGTTGGTGTGCATTGCCTGGACCAGTTGCGCCATTACCCTGCATCACAGCTGCTGGCTGGCTTAGCCTAGTTGTGAGGAGGGGCACTAGTGGTCGAGCGTGATAGGGCTTTATAGACTGTTAAGCCCCAATGAAGAAAAATAGATGCGGTATAGTAGAACGTACATTGCCAGGAAGCCCTGAAGCGGAGATCTGCGGGAATGTATAACTGTTTTGGCCGGACGGTCCAAGGTGATCTTCCGGACAAGAAGGTGTACCGTCGTGATGACCGAATACAATGCCAGTTGGCTGGAATTGGAGGGCGTTGGCAAATGGGTCGTCCTCTTCAGGTCTAGGGATGGGGGTTAATGGCTCTGTCACTCAGTGACTTAAATAAAGTTCGAATAGGATGACTCACTTTATGACACTAATATTATAAGATGGCTCCATGATTACGGAGAGCGGGGAGGGGGGGAGGAGGAAGGAGGAGGGAGAGACGGAATTTAAGAACGGAGGACAACGGGTTGTGATATAATCACACTGGATAGCAGTTCACGTCAACTTCTCTTTTAAGCTCTGTGTGGGAGCACGATGAAAAATTGAGCGAAGATGCTTCCGAGGGTGATGTGTCTTGTGGTCAGATGGCGGAGAGAGAGGAACACTGCCAATTGTATTGAACAGGAGCCATTCTGGGGAAGTTGCAAAGGGTCATACACTGTTCTTATAGGCCTGTGCAAACGGGGAACGGGGCGGAGCCAGTGCATTTGCATTCGAAGGACTTTTTCGAAGCTGAGAAGAACGCTAGTTGGCTAAATCCGGTGTGGCGACACAAAACGGGATGCCTTTGAAACCTACGTGTGTTTTCAAAGCGGTGCTTATCTGGGTATCCCATTCAAAAGCCCTCGGCATTGCGTATGTATGCGCACGAACAAGGCCACCTCGTCGGCATATGTTGCACGCCGCGCACTTGCACATCAAAAAATGGAACACCGACATGATCATTTGTTATGGCACTCTTCAAAGCAAGGGCTTCCCAGAGCATATTCTGAGGCGACTAGAGGCGAATGAAGAGGACCAGGGCTTGAATGGTGACTCGCGCGTAAGAGAGATGTATACGGAAGCGGTTCCGTAGGCTGTTCATGCTGTGTACACAGCATATGTTGACTCGACCGACGAGGACGGCGAAGCGAGCGCTTGACGTCGATGGCCTTCAACAACGTGAACTCACAGCATCCCCATTACGGCAGTTGCATATTACGTAACCCACCGCCGATTCCGCTTGCCGTTTTGCGCGAGGCCTGTTTTGGATGCATTTTTTATCACTCCTTCAACGCCTAGATGTCATTGTCATATCAGCAAAATGCAGCAGTCAATCAGTGTCTGCTCGCACTCTGCTCGAGCCCATTCGGTAGTGAAGAATTTGGAAATGCACTTCAAGATCTGGACAGAATTTCTGCTGCTCTCGTGCAAGATGCCGACGTAAGGAAGACTATAGGTAGCCAATCTCCAAGTATCTGGGGGAGACTGCACGAAACCTGGCGAATTCTGGGCTCAAGGAGCATCGATTCGCTCATCTCCAACTCGCTTCAAAGACAATGGACCCTGTCAGTTGCCCGATTTACTCGTAACCTTGTTGCCGGAAATTCGTCCAATCAGCGAGAAGCATTGTATGTTTCCCCTTCCCCTTCGAATTCCGTCTATGGCTCTTGACTGAACATTCCGCAGCAAATTCGAACCAGAAATACGGACAGTAGCGCACGCGTATACTTCTCATGTACTCATTCTGGACAAGGAAGGTGGGTCTTATTTACTAGCGCTACAGCCTAGAAGTTAATAGATTGCGAAGAATTGACAGTCACACGATTCTTGATGCAAACATTGTCAAATATTGTCACTTCAAATGAAGTGCTGTTGGAGGAACTTTGGCGTACCTATCTAGCTCTCCCGGAGGAAAAGAATATTTTACTGTGCATTTATTCGCCAAACATCAGAATCGAAATTCCAAATGACATGCCACCTGTAGGCGTATGCTCGGTCACCCAGACGACGGCACCGTTGCAGCAGCACTCGTTTTAATCAACAATTGCGTCATTGACAACCGTGAAAGAATGTGTGCATAGCATTTACTCTACTCCAGATCTTTCTTGCGTCTTACCCCATTCATAGGCGCATATTAGTAGAGACAGCAATAGGCGGGCGTCTTTGCGTGGCAACGCTAGATAGGCTATCCAGACATGTCGAGAGCAGTGATGAAGATGAAAACTCAGATATGTTCAGCCTTGGGTTCGTATTCTATCTTTTCGCACCAGTATTTACCTGACGAGAGTGACCGTATAGATGGACAATATTCAGGACACTGTTCGGTAATGGATTTGCATCTTCACTGCTATCCATAACAACAATGTGCGTTGTCTCATTTTTTCGGTCCTTTAGCGCATCCGTGATTTCCGTTCCAGGCAAGACGAAATAGTAAACCCTCATCAAACAACGCTGTTCAAGCTTCTGGACTCCTATCTGATATATTTGTCGAATACAAAGGACGACAAAGAAAAGGAAACAGATATCGATCTCCGAGTTCGCGCCTCCTTCCCACAGATTTCCGAAATACTCTTGATCAAGTTCTTCGAACTCGTCGGCAATGCACAGTCGTCTGTACGAAATTCGTTAGGAGGCTCCAGCACAGCAAACACAGCGTCTAGAGATAACTCAATTCCAAATTCAGAGCATCCGACTGCAGAGAACGTGCAGACAGACGCCCTTGCCTCTTTGCAGAGCCTGGACGTCCTCCTTCCGAAGGTCTGTGAAGCCATCGTACTTGTGGCGCAGTGCTTCTGCACGATGACCCTTGCCCAAGATACCAATCGCAACGTTTCTGAAGAGGCGCGGAGGATACGACATCTTCTGACTGACGCCTCGTTGCCAAATGGCGATGGACTGATTGAAAGCCTGATAGGTGAAGATGGATTTCGCTTCCTCAACGCCGCTCTTTGAATATCTTGTCAAACGTCTGTGACTGCACACATGCTTTCTAACAAAAATCTTTGTTTTCAGACTTGTTGCGTCTATTGGACGCTTTCCTCCCGCGAATCATACTCGGCAAAGCATCGTGGAGTACGGTCAGCCCAGATGCTCCCACGCCCTCCACAGCAATAGACAAAAAGGAAGAGAAGGGGTTCTCCTATCTAAAGCGCGACCTAGTGCGTTTACTAGGCATCATGTGCTATGAGAACAGAGCTGTGCAAGACCGTGTACGGAAGTGCGACGGCATCCCAGTTATCATGAATTTATGCATCACTGACGAACGGAACCCTTGTGCGTGCCTTTCAATACATTTTCATTCTCAGTGCCATTCCGCATCACTAACGCGGGTGCGCCTTTAAACACCGAATGCGATGACGAAATTTTTTTCAATCGAATTGATCTGCCAAACAATGCCTTTGGCCGTGCTATTTTTGGCCATCCCCGAAACAGACTTGCGGGAACATGCTTTGTTCGCGTTACGAAATTTGTTACACGACAATGTCGATAATCAGGTCATCGTCGACGCAATAAAGCCGATGGGAACTTGGGACGAAAACGGTGTTCTGCGCGACGTACCTGGGTTCGAAAGTGAGGTACAATTGGCGCGTGGATTCGAGACAAAATAAAATAGCACAGCATTTAATGAAACTGTATATTCGTACATTCACGCATTCAAACAGTGGGCGCGGAACAGCATTCGGCAGTTTACTCTTCTTCTTCGTCGTCGTCTAATGCGATGGCGCGTTTTTTGCGGGAACCCGTTCCTGTTCTCCGAATGTTGAATTCTTCGTCTTCGTCTTCGCTCTCAACATCCATATCCATAGCCACATCCTCAGACTCCTTACCAGCTGCTGGACCTGCACTGTCTTGCGCGTCTTCATCAGTCCGGTTCGAAGATTGCTTCTTTCGGCGTCTCTCTTCTTCCTGCCGTGCGATTTCTTCGTCGAGCTTGTCCAAGGCATCGACTTCGCCTTCGGCATCGTTGTCCTCGGAATGCCGTCTGCGCTTCTTCTTGTCTTTCCGCTTTGGGCTTTCTCCGAACTCGTCCTCGCCTTCAGAAGAATCGGCGACAAGGAAGTCATCGGCCTGATACTCTCCGGCGCCACGCTTGGTATCTGCGCCTTTGTGTCCTTCGCCAGAGCCGCGTCTCTTGCGTGGAGAAGAATCATAATCACCCTCGTCTTCCTCGTCAGTCTCTTCAAACGTTCCCGGTTCTGGTTCTTCATCCGACCAAACGCTTTCGCGACGACGCGCATAACCACGCCGTCTGCGTGCGGAGCTGCCAAAGTCTCCGCTCTCGCGTGATCCAGTTGCACGTGTTCGTTTTGGCTTCTTCTGTGCCGCCTTCAATGCTTCTTGAGCATCACGCTCCATAGACACGTCAGCAATGCGCAATTTTGCGACTCGCGAGTGCTTTTGGCCAACAGCACGCGCAAGTCTTCGGTGTGTCTCGCTTTGCATGCCCGTAGGTCGGATCGACATTTGACCTGTGATAGGAACTTCTGTTTGCAGAATCCCTGGACGCTTGTGTTGCGCGACTAGGTAGTTAAGGCCGGATCCTCTTCCAGCTGCCGTTTGCGAAGCAGCACCTTGACTAGCATTTTGGCTCTGAGAGACAGAGCTGAAGCTCGAAGACGGCCGAATGCCCCCGGGTGCACCTTCATAGTTTTGGGACACGTCAAAGAGTTCTTTCCCAAGTAAGAGACTAAGTGTTCCGTCCGACCATCGAATGAGTCGACCATTAGATTGTCGTTTCTTTCCACATGCTCCTTTCAGAACCAGTAAAGACAAGTCAACGTGAGAATAGCACCAACCTCTTGTCCAGATCCGTCCTTTGTCCATCTCCACCGAATAGTGTTTTCTACATCGAGTTTGATACTCATGCTTTTCTCTCTCTCTGATTCACCATCCGCAGATTGATCTGGACCGGTATACGCATCTGGATGGAATGGCTTTGGGTCCAGCTTAACGAAATTAGGCATTCTGATCACCCAGTACTATAATTCAAACAGCCGATAGTGCCAGCTAATAAATCTTGTAACCATAAGAATAATAATGTAGCCTCACGTTTCCGTCCGTGCTTTTTGGCATTGGAATGTTTGGTATCGAGAGAACAGCATGCTTGAGTTCTACGACGTTCTCATCTTGACCTTCGTCCTCTTCATATTCCATTGCTTGTCGATGTCTGAGTTCTGAAGCGGAAAGTGCTTCTGAACCCTCTCGTGCAGCACTTGCAGCCGGAGAAGGTGACCTGAAAGTTCACTGCTCAACACTTGTGCATTGACACAATCCAAGTATCGACGCACATTTCTTTTGCCGGTTCTACCGTGGCCTCCTCGTCACCAAATAGATCCTCCATTTCTTCATCCTGCTCCGGCACCTCGACCTTCAGTTGTTCCTTCTCGCTTTTCGGTTGGACATCAGTGCCGAAGAGATCATCTTGGACATTTGTTTCAAGAAGCTGAGGATCCAGAAAGGCTTCCATGACTGTTATGTCCAGCAGGAACGAGAGAGGAAGAGTACGAAAGAAATTCCGGAGGTGAACAAGACGCGTGAGGCTGCGCGTCACTAAACACGGCAAACCCCGTATCTGTATTTGTTGCGTTGTGTTCAAAGTCACTTTCATACAAACTCAATAATCAAGCCTATCCTCTAGGACTTGAAACATACGCAAAGACTAACGTTGGCCCGTACCACCTGGAGTGTTCTTATCAAACAGATACCGCACGAGCACCCGACGAGTCCTTCCGTGGCGTGTTTCTGTGACGAAACGGCATGCACAGGAATACAAAGTACTTGCCGGCAAGAATACTCACCGAGGTATTGTTCAAGTTATGGACCAGTCCTAATTGGTAAACAAATCGCTACTGTGCTTTATCAACTGACTCTGCTTCGGTCATGGCAAATCTCCCCTCCGGGTTGTAATTTTGTTTAACTGTGCTTGGTGAGGGAATACCTTCCTTCTTCCACGTATCACGCCGGGCATGCAGGCGATGCCAACCACGTCTATCGAAGCTTATTTTTAGTCTTCTATCTGACCCTGTGTCAGGAAATGCGAGCTTTCTACTGATACATGCTTCACTCCGCGAAAGTTACTGGTCAGTGTGGACGAACAAAATTTATGTTGCTACACTACGGTCAACATATTGGCGATGTACAGAGATCCGACAACTATACCTTGGCATTTCTCAATACTGGACTGAAACGGACAGAGCGGCGTCGATGTCAGTGCCTACTTTGCATACCCCTTTAGGCTCTGGCGACTAGGCTTCTTATTGATAAAATGAGAGCGAATCTGAAATATTTTTGCTCTCGTGCTCTCATACGTTCCTTCTAATTCAGTTCACTTAAGGAACTAGCTTAGCTCCGGAAGCTTTACTGCGATAGTCCAGCCACAATGATTTTACGCTTCATTTACCCCATGGAAGAGTGACAGACCACATGTAAGACTAAATACCTCTTAATTGAAACCTAATATCGCAACTCGTACGCACTTTGCAAGTCTCTGTGCCCTGTTGCAGACCTCAACAAGCAGAAGATTTGGCGCGTTTCGGGGTGGGTATGTGTCCATTACGCTACTTGCCTCCCAGGATCAATAGTCCGCGCTAAGCTTTTCTCGAAACAGATACTTCAACTGGACGAGTGCAGCGAACAGGAGGAATTCTGAAGGTAAACTTCCATTTTATTGACAATAAATCATCAGAAAACTTCATTGCATCAAGTGTGAGAAGGTCTTCTCGCATTCTTTGTAACCGGCGGGCCTGCTCGTAGTACATGAGCTGCACTATTATGCCAGAAATGCCTAACCGAAACTCCGCTCTTAAACTTTCAGGCGCTTTCTCACCCCCACAGGTGGTAGACCTCATCACTTCCTGGGCCATACCTTCCTCCCTTGACCGGATGCTCATCCAAAATCTTCTGCACTTCCTGCACGTCAGCAGTGGATATCGGAATGTCAGCCGCTGCCATGTTCTCGTCCGTCCGCTCCTTGTTCCTGTTTCAGATGTAAATGGTTACAAACACCATCTGTCACAGAGATAAAGGACTACATACGAAGAACCGGGGATGGGGACAACGTGTGGACCCAAGGCAGAAACCCAGGTAATACACAGTTGAGCCGGCGTGATGCCCTTCTTCTCAGCCAGGGACTTCACACCGTCGACGATCGCTTGGTTATGTTTCATGTTCTGTTTGATTACCGTTCAGTGACCAGTCCTAGGAGCACAAGAAGGATGCCTACCTCTTCCTGGAATCGTGCCGAATGTCTTCTAATGTCGCCATCTAGATGGAATGAGTTAAATCTCTTTCACTGTCGCAACATTGCCGAAGTGATAATAACAGACCCTCTAAGTCTTGGAGACTCTTGAATCTCCCACTAAGGAAGCCTCGTCCGAGGGGTCTAGTAATGGCAACATTGGTCAATTTGCAATCTTTTCAGAGCTATAAACTCACGAGTAAGCGCATACAATAGCGCCAACTTCCTGGGATGCTGCAATAACTAACCGTGAATTTAGTCGACTGTTGTATATATGCTCGAACCGAAAACGTACCCTCTTTCACCTGATCCTCATATGACCAAGGGCTGACTTCAATTTCAACAGCCGCGATTGGGTGAATCTGGACCTAAATCAGTGGCGTTACTCATGAGGAAGAGAACAAAGCTCACAGCGTTGGCACGCTTGAGTGTCGAGGCCTTGCACTCAGATAGCCCAATATAATCAAACTTGCCCTCGGCGACAAATCCAGAAAGGATTCTGATAGTATCTTCGATAGCACAGTCCTTATCCACGCGAGCTGGTTCGAAGAGATCGAGCCTTTTAGTTCCACGAAGCTTCTCGAGGATACGGTCGACGCTGCGCTTCAAGTTCTCTGGACTTCGCAAAGCATCAGAATATGCGTGTGAATAAGCCACTACAAAAACACTCACGAAGAGTCTGGCTTGAGTAATTCGAAGTTTGCAGCTCCCTACGGAAGAATGCATAGTCTATCTAATCAATAGATCGCTGAAAAAACTACATACCTTTACAGAGAGGAACGCTTTATCGGCATATTCTGGATATTTCTCAAGAAACGGGCAATTAGCTCAAGGTTTGCTTCACGAGGATTAATGCCGTAGAATTCGCCTATATTTCTCAAGTAAGTTCACGGATTCCAATTGGATTGAATGAAACTTTTAGGAGATATACCGCTGTTCAGAACCATTTTTGTGCCAGGTGGCACTGAGTCTAAGGATGCTTTGATAGCCTCAAAGCATACTTCATCTGGCACTGGGGTAGGTTTCCAGCTGCAGGTGGCTCAATATTCCATAGTTCTCTTAGAGGAGACAAATATACGCACGTCATCATCATAAGGCCATGCTGCAGAATTTCTATGAGTATACTCCGTATCTGACTACGGAAAATGAGAAATCACTACTTACGCCAATTTTTCCAACAGTTATGGCTTTATCACCAGAACCGAGTGTCGTTGTGCTCTTCATGTTCACTTTGTTTTGCTGAAAGGACAATAGACAGTAGTTGTGTGATAAAGGGAGAAGAACGATTCTGATATCTATATAGGCATTACTGAATACCAATATTTGCTGCCGCGGCATGAGGCGTCGTCATCTTATTAGGTAGGGACTCGGATGTACTAAAGCACATATGGGAAAACACGTCTCTTGCCGTAGAATTGTTGTCAGCTCGGCTAATGTTCAGCTTACAACGAGACAATTTGATTCCGAATCGGACATAAGTTTTTGAAATGAAATAATGTCTCAGCTCTTGAGTATTGGAAATACTTCGATTTACAGTAATGGTCCTTACCTAAAACGTATTTCCCATATCTGATCATTCGTCAGACGCGAAGGTTGCACTCTTTCTCTTGAGAAGTTCGAGTCGAAAAGATTTCATTTTGGGAGAGAATGACCGACCAGTCATAAGTAAGCGCTATGTATTATTCGATTAAAACATCATGACATTGTGACAGTTCAGACAGTGCTGCAGCCGAATTTTCCTAGTGCTGAACAAGCATGTCTTCTAGAAATAGGATCCGTGATAAATCCGGGCGATGCGGGCCTCTTGGTGAGTATTACTGCCAGCTGCCTTCGTGACAAGATCAGCAAGGTGTCATTTCTATAAAGTTGTTAATCACAGTTCATTGTTATCCTCCTCAACATCTCGTTCAGTCCATAGGGATGATAATCCTAAGCGTTTGCACTCGGATTTCCTCAATTGATGGCAATTTCGATGCACTTCATTTTACTGACAAAAAGCCACCAGAGAATCCATTGTATCAAGACTCAGAAGATCTTATTATACTCTGTATGAAATTATGTAGTACATGTACTGAATCGTTACACAGTGATGCTTAATCGGGACCTTGTTCTCAAACCCCTAATCAAATTTCAACCCCACAGGTGGTAGACCTCATCACTTCCCGGGCCATACCTTCCTCCCTTGACCGGATGCTCATCCAGAATCTTCTGCACTTCTTGCACGTCAGCAGCAGACATTGGAATGTCTGCTGCAGCATTGTTCTCCTTCGTCCGCTTCTCGTTCCTGTTTCAATGTTAAACGGTTACAATCACTATCTGCCACAGAGGTAAAAGACTACATACGAAGACCCGGGGATGGGGACAACGTGTGGACCCAAGGCAGAAACCCAGGCAATACACAGTTGAGCCGGCGTGATGCCCTTCTTCTCAGCCAGGGACTTCACACCGTCAACAATCGCTTGGTTATGTTTCATGTTCTGTTTGACTACCATTCAATGACCAATCCCGCGAGAGCGACAGAGATGCCTACCTCTTCCTGGAATCGCTGCAGATGCTTCCTAAAGTCGCCATCTGGAGGGAAGAAGCGAAATCTCTGTCATTCTTTGTAATATTGTTATTATGGCAAAAACGAACCTTCAAAGTCTTGGATGCTCTTGATTGTTCCAGTAAGGAAGCCTCGGCCGAGAGGTCTAGTAAGAGCAGCGTCGGTAAATTTTTCAATATTTTCAGAACTGTAAACTCACGAGTAAGCGCATACAATGGCTCCAACCTCCTGGGAGGCCGCAATAACTAACCGTGAATTCAGTTGACTGCTGCCTATATGCACAGAAACGGGAAACGTACCCTCTTTCACCTGATCGTCATATGACCAAGGGCTAACTTCAATTTCAACAGCCGCGATTGGGTGAATCTAAACCTAATCAGTAGCATTATCTGCGTGCAATAGCAAAAGACGAACAGCATTAGCACGCCTGAGTGTGGACGCCTTGCACTCAGACAGGCCGATATAGTCGAACTTGCCCTCAGCAACAAATCCAGAGAGGACTCTGATAGTATCTTCGATGGCATAGTCCTTATCCACGCGGGCGGGCTCGAAAAGGTCGAGCCGTTTTGTTCCACGAAGCTTCTCGAGTATGCAGTCGACGCTGCGTTTCAAGTTTGCCGGACTTCGCAATTTATTAGCATATATGCATGATAGGCTGGAACAAAAATACCTACGAGGAGTCAGGCTGAAGTGATTCGGCTTTTGAACCACCCTAAAAGTATACGTAGTCTATCTAGCCTGTCGATTACTGAAGAAAACTACGTACCTTTACGGAGAGGAACGCTTTATCTGCATACTCTGGATATTTCTCAAAGAATCGTGCAATTAACTCAAGGTTTGCTTCACGAGGACTAATGCCGTAGAACTCGCCTACATGATTCAAGTAAGCTCTCAAAATCTAACCAGAGTATACGAAGCTTTTAGGTGACATACCGCTGTTCAGTACCATTTTTGTGCCGAGTGGCACCGAGTCTAAAGATGCTTTAATGGCCTCAAAACACTCGTCGTCTGGCACTGGAGTTGGTTTCCAGCTGCAGATGGCTCAATATTCCATAGTCCTCTTGGACAAGGTAAGTATACGCACGTCATCATCATAAGGCCATGCTACAGAATTTCCGTGAGAACCATGGTATCGGACATCGCGAAATGAGAAATACTACTTACGCCAATTTTTCCAACAGTTATGGCTTTATCACCAGAACCGAGTGTTGTTGTGCTCTTCATGCTTGCTTTGTTTTGCTGAATGGATAATAGTTGTGTGATAAAGGGAGAAGAACGATTCTGATATATATATATATGCATTGATAAATATCAATAATTGCAGCCGCGGCACGAGGTCGTCATCTTCTTAGAATGTGCCAAAAGCACATGGGAAAACGTCTCCTGCCGTAGGATCGTCGTCAGCGTCGGCCAATGTTCAGCTTATACATAATAAGACATTTGATTCCGAATCGGACATATGTTTTTTGAAATACAATCTCAGCTCTTGAGAATTGGAAATACTATGAGTCACAGTAATAATAATAAAAAGTATGCCATGGTACGATAGTCCGTCAGTTACGGAGGTTGCACGTTTTCTTGAGAAGTTAGAGTGAGAATGACTGACCAGTCCTGAGTAAGCGCCATGTATTATTAGATTTAAACATCGTGACATCGTGACATCATGACGATATAGACGGCTCTGCAGCCGCGGTGGTAAATTAGTTCTCCTAACACTGAACAGGCATGTCATCCTGACTGGAACTCGTGATAAATCCGGGCGATGCGGACCTCTTGGCAGACTACTGTCAACTACCTTCACGACAAGGTCAACGAGGTGCCATTTCCGCAAATTCGTATATTATAATTCATTGTTATCATCTTCGACACGCTTTCGTTCAGTCCCGATGTATGATAATCCTCCTCCTTGCTGGTCCATACCTTCCTCTCTTACGAGGATGTCGCTCCAACGCCTTCCTGACAGCTTGACATCCCGTATGATCGAGAGTTTGTGATTTTGCTCCTCAATCGACAGCTTAGTGCACTGGATACCACCAGAAAGGTTCATTACATCTATCTCAGAATATCTTATTGTGACCGTGCGTAATTTTTTTGTACATTTGCTGAATCCTTACGCAACATTTTTTTTTTGCTTGAACGGAACCTTTTCTCAAACCTCTAAGCACATTCTCAACCCCACAAATGGTAGTCCTCGTCATTTCCTGTACCGGCTCTTCCTCCCTTGACCGGATTCGCATCTATAATCTTCTGAACCTCTTGCATATCTTCAGCAGATATCGGAATATCTACTGCAGCTACGTTCTCCTCCGTCCTCTTCTTGTTCCTATTGCAACGGCGAATAAACATGAAAATATCATTCATGGAGTGGATGGTGCACTTACGAAGATCCAGGAATAGGAACGACATGCGGACTCAAGGCACAGACCCAGGCAATACACAATTGAGCTGGCGTAACGCCTTTCTTCTCAGCTAGCGATTTTACACTATCGACAATCGCCTGGTTATGTTTCACATTCTGTTAAAATGAATGTTATAAGTGCTTGATCGTGCAAGCACAGCAGGTACACATGCCCCTTCAGAATTTCGATTGACATGCTTCCTAATGTCTCCCTCTGAAAAAAAGAGTAGTCAAGTCTTCCTCATATAATGTCGCATTAATGATAATCACAAACCTTCCAAGTCTTGGACACTTTTGATTCTTCCAGTAAGGAAGCCTCGACCGAGAGGTCTAATAATGGTAACCATGGCGTTGGTGATTGTGCAATCTACCTGAGATTGTAAACTCACGAATAACCGCATACAAGTGCACCAACATCCTTGGATACCTCAATAACTAGTCGTGGATTTAGTCAGCTGCCGCTCATATGCACTGAGACGAAAGCCGTACCTTCTTTCACCTGATCGCCGTATGTCCAGTGACTAATTTCAATCTCAATAATCGCGATGGGGTGAATCTGAATCTTACTCAGTGATGTCATTCGAGAGCAAGAATATATGACTTACAGCATTGGCACGCCTGAGTGTCGAAGCCTTGGACTCGGATAGTCCGATATAGTCAAACTTGCCCTCGTCAACAAATCCAGAGAGGACTCTGACAGTATCTTCGATAGCGTACTTCTGATCCACACGAGCGCACTCGAAGAGATCGAGCTTTTTAGTGCCACGAAGCTTCGCAAGGATACAATCAACACTGCGTTTCAAGTTCACCGGACTTCGCGAGGCATCAATATATGCGCGTGAATAAGTCACTGTGAACACTTACGAGGAATCCGGCTCAAGCCCATCGGGTTTCAGACCACCCTGTGTAAAACTTATGTATTATACTCAACTGTCGATTGATAAGATAAACGATGTACCTTTACGGAAAGAAACGCTTTATCTGCATAGTCCGGATATTTCTCAAAGAACCGAGCGAGTAGCTCAAGATTGGCTTCGGGAGGATTGACACCGTAGAACTCGCCTGTATAATTTAATTAATTTCTCATTGTCCAATCCGAATGCACAAAGCGTCAAAGTGACTTACTGCTATTCAGAATCATTTTTTCGCCAGGTGGAACTGAGTCTAAAGACGTTTTGATAGCCCCAAAACAGTCTTCATCTGGTACCGGAGTGGGTTTCCAGCTGCAAAGAGTTAATGTTCCATAGTCATATGGATGATGAATATATGCACGTCATCATCATAAGGCCATGCTATAGCAATTCTGTCCATAAACATGCATAGCACAGAGCTATTGCAGATTGAGGAAGTCATTACTTACACCGACTTTTCCAACAGTTATGACCTTATTTCCCGTGCCGAGTTTTGTTGTGTTCTTCATGTTTTCCTTGTTTTTACTGTGTAGCGGTTATGTGTAGCGGTAGAGAGAATAGACTCTGGATGCGAAACCAGGCTGAGCATAAGCCTCTTAAAGAATAGATGCATTGTCTCTGATTCTGAAATGTTACAGTCGCAGCATCAACGTGTCGTCATCTTCTCAAAACGGCGCTGAGTAAGGGGCAACGCAACGCCATTGAGGAAACACACACCGTCTCCTGCCGTAGATAAGCTAATACATGAGACATGCGACTCCGAGTCGGACAGCTTTTGAGCTAACAGCGTCTCAAGTATTGAAGCTTTTACTATCACAGGTGTATTCATTTATCCAAAATGCACACACGATTACCGCCATTTCGCTGGTTGCGAACATGGTACCTCTCGTGAGCGTCCAGGGTAAGATAATTACGGATACGAAGCTTGAGTTGAGAGAGCCCAGCAGGTCAACATAATGAGAGACCTGACTTCTGAGGCAGTGGATTCAAACTACTGCAGGTCCGTCGGTACCGGATCGGGCACATGACTAATACGAGCAGATGCAGATGAGAAGTACCAAGCTACCTTCATGATAAAATCGATCAGTTATTATTTCTCCTGCTCTGCATGGTTGTTCACTATTCTAAAATTAGTCCTCAACATCCGTCGTTCAATTACAGAGGTTGTAAGCCTTGTCACCACCCGGACCATACCTTCCTCCCTTAACAGGATGTTCCTCCAGAATCTTCTTGACAGCTTCCACTTCAGCTGCGCTTAGTTCGATGTCTGCGGCTGCGCAATTTTCTTCAGTACGCGCTTTGGTACTGGACAATTCAAGTATTTCTTGAGCTCTTGGTTTCTATAAATGAGGATTTCCACTTACGAAGAGCCAGGAATGGGGACCATGTGGGGTCCCAAGGCAGACACCCAAGCAATGCAAAGTTGTGCCGGAGTTACACCCTTCTGGGCAGCAATGTTCTGAACACCGTCAATGATAGCCTGATTATGCTTGAAATTCTGCGCAAACGAAATCAGCGATTACTTTAATCGCATTGGCATTGGAGACAACGTACTTCTTCTTCTAAACGTTCCATGGTCCTTCTAAAATCATGTTCTGGGTTCACAGTTAGAAATTGAGACTACTTGTGCCATGCATGGGACCCGACTCTGACCTTCCAAATCTCCGACAGTCTTGTACTTGCCAGAAAGGAAACCTCGTCCAAGCGGTCTTAAGACATCCGAGAGTCAGCATATGACTGCTCATTAATTCTGAAACACCTACGAATACGCGTTGACAATAGAGCCTAGTTCCTCGCATGTAGCAATGACTGGAGAATAAGTCATCAACGCCCAATCCTCTTATACATGTAGCGAGGATGCCCACCGTCCTTAACCATCTCATCATACGACCAAGGGCTAACTTCAATCTCAACAGCAGCAATGTGATGGACCTACAAAATCCGTTGAATATTGAGTTCTAGACTGGTAACGTAACAATAGTCAGCAGTCTCACAGCATTCGCGCGTCTGAGCGTCGAGGCTCTACATTCCGACATGCCGATGTAGTCAAATTTACCTTCCGCAATGAAGCCAGCGAGGGTCTTCGTTGCTTCTTCGACGGGAATGTTCGGGTCTACCCGTGCACATTGAAAGAGATCGAGTCTCTTTGTCCCGCGAAGCTTCTCGAGGACGACGTCAACGCTGCGCTTCAGATTATCTGGGCTATATGAACACAGTCAGCATATGTTACTATCAATGCAACCTTGAAGTGCTTACGAAGAATCAGGCATGAGGCTATCAGGTTTAGTACCTCCCTGAATTAATCATACATCTCAGAGCTCGATGCAACGACTCAGGGAAAGAGTAGAAACCTTGACTGAAAGGAAAGCCTTTTCTGTATACTCAGGATATTTCTCAAAAAATCGGGCGATGAGCTCGAGGTTTGCTGTCCATGCACCAGGCCCAAGGATTCCATAAAATTCAGCTAAGGGAAGGCATGATACTTGTTCATTGCGCGATCATGAGTAATCATATTGATACGCACCACTATTCAAGACCATCTTTGCTCCAGGCGGGACAGAATCCAAAGATGCCTTGATAGAGTCGAAAGCCTCTTCGTCGGACATTGCCATCTTCCGATTTGAACTGTTCACGAAGTCAATTGCTGTCAATCTTTACTATTACTGAGAGTTGTGAAGTGAGTCCCGTACGTCATCAGCATAAGGCCATGCTACCCCGTAGAACATATCAGTGGATGAAAGACAATGCATGAACTGACTGTCGAACTTACACCGACTTTCCCGACGGTGATTGTCTTGTCACCAGAGCCAAGTGTCGCTGTACTTTTCATATTTACTCAATCTTAAGTGCTCGAACGGAGTAACTGAGAGAAGCAATAAGGGTACTTGGGAAAACTGCGCATTTGCTAGTTATTTGTACGCCTTCAGCGCTCCGGAGTGCATTACAAACGTGGGTTAGTCCAAGTCCGTTTGAGAGTATCAATCGGCATCATTGGACAAACTGAAGGGACGTTATGATGTTGCGTGCCGCCGCGTCATCATTACTTGGGCTATTAGCCGAACATAGCACCTAGACAATTATCCACAATACCCCACGTTCATTGTAAATTGCTCCAGATTACGTTGGGCCTGTAAGAGGAAGGACTGAGTGGAAAAGAGAGTGGACAAAGTCCGCACGGAATAAAGCAAGGAGAACTAAAGCCCTTACGGGTAGACACCCATAGTAAATGCCACAGCATACTGGAGTGCTGGAGACACTGGGAATAGATGACTACAGGTTTTTCACGTACTTCCGATATGAACGGCAGCATCATCGACGCAGAGGATCGCAACGCAAATAGAATTCTGCATCTGTAACACTGCTAGTCTGCAACGAAAATCGGAACAATTTCTTGCCACCATAAAAATCTTGATACGCATCAAATGCGATAAGAAACTGATCAGGGTAGCCGATCTGAGGACAGCTATCCCTGGGCAACTCGTATTGAAAGACGTTCCCATGAAGCAAATACTGCATTGCTTGTGGCTATAAACGATACCGCGTCCTCATCACGTGGATTTTTCAGCTTGATTTCAATTTGCAACAGGCAGAGCACATCGGCATAATTAAGACATTCCATGGCACATAGTGCATGGGTAGCATACAAATAAGGTGCGGAATAAGTCTATGCATTGTTACCTTCCGCAATAGTGAGAAGGTCACTGTCTCCCTGGTCTGAGATGGTCATGACACTAATATTGATGCGTAATGGATAATCAGCACAAGAACTAGATGAAATAATAATTTCAATAACGCACCTGACCCGGAAGAGCTTCCCCGCAGCAGTTCCCAATGCGACGTTCGTGCCTGCAAAGTGATGCACCGTCGTTTTCGAAAGCATGGCGTAGTATTCCAGCTCGGATTTTCGGAGTGGCGGACAGTTACCCGAGATCAAGACAAGTTTTGCTACATTGATACACAGTAGTCAGCAAGGGGACCTTCTCAGCCTCACGCTCCAGCCCCCGGAGAGAGTTGAAGCGAACGGTGCTCACCCTTGCCAGAGCACATCTGCTTGAGCGCGCTTTTGTAGCCGAGAGTGTATTTGCCCGACTTTACGACAAGCGCGAGACGAGAAGCGATAGATTCAGTCGACTTCGCCGACTTTGACTTCTTGGAGGGTGCCATCGCGTCAGTTGTAGCGTGTCGCGCGGAAAGATCGTTGGCGGTTGGCGAGTGTCTAAACGACTTCAAAAATATGGTGATGAAGTTAACAACAGTCCTAAATTATGTAATTGCGCTGTACAGCAGCTCTGCACGTGAGAGTTGCGCACGTGCGCTAGTTTACTCGTGTTTGCACATGTTTTTACGCTTGCTTTCCTTGATACTTCTCCCCATGTGGATTGACCATAAATTCAAAAAGGAAAGCCTTTCGCGAGAACCTGCCTCAGGTACACCGCTATTATGCTCTACAAATCTTGCATCTAGCTCTTGTCTGAATGATATGAGCACAACTAAACTGCCTTCTTGAGCCTCTTCTAGCCCTGCAAGAAGAGCTCCTTCAGAACACGTGCGGTGTCTTCCGGGCTCGAGACAGAATGTCCAATAGTCCTTGAGTCCGTAAATATCTCATAGTCATTTCCTCCCTATACAACGTCCAGCATTAGCAAGCTTTGCGTTTAAGGTGAGACACGTACTGGGTATGTCTTGTCACCAAAAAAGTGAACTTCCTCAAACCCTTCATCAGTTATACGTTCCAGACAGTAAGTTTTGTCCCATCCCCGCGGGAATACATCAAAGGATATTTGTCCGCCGATTGAAAAAGTCAAACCATAATCAGTGAACTTCTCGCGCAGCACATCTACGAAGGCAGCACGTAGTTTGTGTTCCTGCATTGCATTCTTAATAAAAGCAAGAAGATATGATTCCTTTGCTAACCTTGTCGTAGGCCTCAAACTCGTTTCGTTCTTCAACGCTGGAGGCCGATTTAGTTAATGATTGATTTGGATAATACATTCTCGTACGTAGCATTTCGCCCAATCGGGCTTACGTTGATCATACCATTACGGAACTCGACAAAAGTGCCACTGAGCATAAACAATAAGTTAGGTGAAAGTACTGCTTCGAGCGAAGAGAGGGCAAACCGTTTGATTGGGATATCCATGTCAGCAAGATAATGTAGAACGAAATTGACGAGTGTCTTGTATTTCTCTTCGCCGATGAATTTGATAAATGACTGTGATTCGAGTTTCTTTCCCAACCTGTATGCAGTCAAACCATTCTCGGCGAAGGCAAAGTCAAAATCATCGTAAACTACATATGGGATACAGTTTCTTATTCTGTAAGAAAACCTGGTTCGGACGAAAGCAAAAGAGTGCCGCCCACCATTGTTTCCTGAAACACCAAGTTGCTCCTGGATCTTGTTGAGATCGGACCCACCTACGAATCCGATCACAACCTGCTTGCGAAGCTCACGAAGGAGATTGATCATTTCCGGCGACGCGGACTACATATGCGGTTCAATGCCTGCCGTACAAGATCGGGCTTGGCTAAGAACTGCATGACTCACGCGTCTAGCTGGAGTTAATGTCCCGTCCACATCAAATAGAACAAGCTTTTTGTGTCTGCGGTCTGCAAAGGAGGTCATGATGGGTGTGGTCAAGTAGTAACTGCGCAGGACGTCGATCCCGAGATTAATATTGAATGAAGACATCGCGCACACGTGACCGCATGACCAGGACCTTACGGACATGGGGCATTTCACAATTCCTTACCTTAAAAAATAACTTACATAATGATAAACATTATTTGAAATTTATTTTCCCATTTTTGAC